TAAAAATTCGATTTTTCTAAGATTGGATACGAGTAGGCATTCATATTTTCCAGCAAAAACAATTACAGAGTTACCGGTCCTGTCGCAAAACGTTCTTTGAGATATTCTTCCGCATGCTTTAACACAATTTTTCGGTACGTGTGCATTGATATTATCAATGATTTTTTACTTATATATATATATATCTAACTACAAAACATTTTCACATTATTAATTTATGTTGTAAACAAAAATATTTTTATCAGTATTCATTGAAGAGATGTATTTATATCAAATGACAAGGAATGTTATTTTGCACTCGTTTATGTGCGCATATTTATCATGTTTATAGATCGGTTACAAACCCAAAAATAATTTACATAATGGAAATCTAGGCGATAGCAATACATCGGAATGACCTCAAGGTCATCGCGATGTAAAAATCGACAGATTTTGACGAATCACGTTAATTTTTTTCCAAAAATAACGGTAACGATAATTATTTGAGACCTCTGACGAATCACGATAAGGATATGTTGACGAATCACGGTAAAATTTTAACCAATTTGACGCTAACGGTAGCCGAAAATGACCGTTTGACGCCTGACGGTAAAGGGCATTCATACCCTCATTTTACAGTTGCTCAATGACATGGAAGACTGGTCACTATTTATGGAAAATGGTATATCCTGGGATACAATAAGAAAGCTTTATTTAGATTCAGTATAGTTACAAACTACGAAACATAAGCTCTATAGAACTTTTAACCGAATACATACAAACATACACAATATAAAAAGCACAATCATGCAAGCAAACTAAAAATAGGGAAGCGCACACAAAAGTAGACAAAACACAAGCATTGCAGAGCAAACTATAAATGCTAGCATAACTATAAACTAGAGGCTCTAAAGAGCATGTGTCGCTCACCTTGGTCTCTGTGCATTTTCAACAAAGGACACTCTCCAACATTATGACAAAAATCTGTTTTGTTGATCTTGTATTGCAGATCTTTTAGTCTGTTTAGTTTCTCTCTATCTTCTTTAGGTTTTGCTCAAAATCTAAAGGAGGGTAAAATAAATCCTCATTTAAGGGCAATCAATCCTATAAATAGCGGCTACTAACTATATCGGCAAAATTTGACTTGTTAGTTGATAATGCCTTGCTGATCATTTTTGATATTTAAAGTGTCTATTCATCTATTAAAATTTTTATCATTAAGGAAAAACGCAAAAAAATGGTAAAATCGTCAATAAAGGGCAATAACTCCAATAAGGAGTTGTTGGACCGTCAATTTCCTCTGGATTGTCTTATTTGTAGATCTTAGGAGTCGACTGACGATTTTGACCATGAGGACTTGTTTGTTGAATTGGTCTTGCTGATCATTTTTGCAATTTAAAGTTTCTCTTTATCTATTATAGTTTTCAAGATAAAAGGCAAAAATGAAAAAAAAAAAAATGGTAATATATTTGTCATTTAAGGGCAACAACTGCAGTAAGAAGTCGTCTGACAGTTTTGACCTATATGGACAATTGGTAGAGCTCACCATTAATTCTGAACGTTTCTACTCCTGTCAGATTTTCTCTATTTTCTAAGTATAACAGTTTTCAAAAAAATAGACAAAACTTGCATTTTACCCCTATTTTCCATTTTAGCTACTAGTATGTCGGCCATCTTGGTTTGCAAGGAGGGGGGTCATATGACACATTTTTAAAACTAGATACCCCAATGATGATTGTGGCCAAGTTTGGTTAAATTGGGCCCAGCAGTTTCAGAGTAGATGTTTGTAAAAGTTAACAAACGACGACGGACGATGGACGCGAAGTGATGAGAAAAGCAAATGGGCCAAGTGAGCTAAAAAGCAAAGTAATGTAAAACGAGCACAGTGAAATAAAATGAAAGCTTGTCTACATACAAAACAGCGACATTCCGAGCCATTCCAGGACTGTAAAAGACTCAACTATGAAATACTGTTCCACAATGTAACAGCAGCATATTTGAAACTTTTCTTACTGTAAGTAGCAGTTTTTTTATTGTGGAGTATCCAATATATTGCTATATCTGAAAGAATATTTCGATAGTTTTACCTTTAATAAGTCGTGTAAACATACAGGTGATAAGTTATTAACAATTTTAAAAGTTTCAATCGCCATTGTTATCATTTTTCTGACCTGCAGAGAAGGCATCTCCACTTTTTCTAGTAAATTTTCATACAAGAGAAATTCTCGCATATACAAAACGGAGTGCTTTTACTTGCACTTTTTCCTTCTTTTTTTTTTAATTATTCTCTGTGCACAAATGCCACGCCAAAGGGCAAAAGTTGAAATTACTCAAGATAAATGAACGAAAAATGCTTAATTTAGCCAGTTTGTTCAAAAAGGTTCCTAAACGTATGAGGATATTTAGTTGCTTGGATGCCTTCCTGTAAATCTTACTTATATGTACGTCAAAATTTAGTTGATAATCTATATACCAAGTAATTTAACTATAGTTTCACATAAAAGTGTTTTGAATATGAATACAAGGATTTTTACTATAAGTGTTTTACCAACAGCCAAAACTTGAAACTTATCAGGGTTTGCTTGCATCTTATTCACCCTGACCCAATCTATTAGTTGAAGTGACCCATATTATTCCAATGTTGAAATTAAAGTATTATAATCAGGACTATAAAATGAAAGCTAGGTATTATCATTTGCATATAATTAATTGTACAGTGATCCCTTTTTGATAAATAAAATTTTTCATTTATATAAAAATGTTGGCAAAGGTCTTTTTGATATCAGCCCAGCTACTAAGAACGAAATTTAAGATCACTTAATTGAATCTGTTGCTTTCTATCTGACAAGTACGATTTTAGAAGAGAAACAGACTGCGCCGAAACACATATGCCGACAATTAATCAGGCAAAATTTCATGTGGTAGCAGTCAAAAGCCTTTAAATGGTCCATCAACTTGAACAGCAGCAATATAAAGGTTTTTATCAGTTAATCTTCAAGCAGTCTAAGTAGTGTGGTTTGACATCCATGGGTACGACAGATAACTCAAAGATATGGATTAAATCAGAATAATCAGCAAGTTGTAGCTAAAAAACTTTTTAAAGGATTTGGAAAAAATATGCAAGACTGACTGGTCTGTAATTTGATTTGTCTAGTTGATCGTTTCTATTTGCAGTGGTGTATATACTTCGATTTGCAAGAGCTTTCGATAAAATGTCTCATAAAAGATTATCAAAAACCCTGTATACATCCGGTATCCCATCTTCGCTAACCAATGAATACGATCCACTCCCCTCTTAAGATACTGGATCGTAACTCTTGGCTAGCGAAGATGCCGGTATCCATGGACCCATGTTGGGATGATTAAACGACTTCTTAACTGAACGTATACAATAACTTGAATAAGTTGTCGCTAAATGGGGGAAATCTGAATGACAAAATGTTACAAGTGGATTACACCAAGGCAGAGTACTAGTGCGTCATCTTTTTATTATATATATCAATGATTTAACAGATGCTGTATATAGAATATAGTAAACATTCTTTCTGTCTGTGTGCCTGAAGAAAATGGTTAGATTCCCTTTCTTGATTGGAATGAAGACACACGAAAGGAAACTAATTAAGCATACTGACCTTAGGGTCAATAGGCCTAAATTCCATGGTCACTGATACTATATAAAATATATAGATATATTAAAATTATTTCTAGAGGTTACTTTAGTTTCCCTTGAATGATTGAAATAATTTTAAGGCCACCTGAAAAAAGTAATTTTTAGAAAAAACGTAATTTCTTCCAAATGTAAATGTTACCAAAAGTTTTTTTCTTCTGTATATTGGGGCTCTTGGGGAAAGAATTGGTAAAATTTTGATTCCAGACTTTGTAGACACCCTGTATAATATAGTCCTTGCTTGGTCATGTTTTTTTTAATGATAACTTCAATATCCCATTTTTTGCAACATATTTCTACGGATGAAAAATTAGCAATAATAATTATTTTATTACATGTTTGTTTTATTTTGTCCCTCAAAGTACACTATTTTGAACCATTGAAATACAAGAAAACCAAACAATTTATGCATTTTTTTCCCTCATTTATTGTGCCGTTCAGGGAGGATCTGTATGCAGTGCCAACTATCCAGTTACCATCTGTAAATTGTTATGTGTTGACTAGTCTACTGCACAGATTTAAGGAATATTGGTTTGATATTGTAGTCAAAGATGCACTTTTAAAATATTATTTCTTAATTCAGACAAAAGAAATCTTTTGTAGTAAGCTTTCATCATCTTGGCTTATTCTGCAATTTATTTTGATCATATTTAAATATACCAGACAAATTGAAGTACCAATTAATTAACCTTCACTTGAACACCATGTGTCTCCTGACAAAAACTGTTTATGAACAATAGAATTAATTTAATAAGTAATAATTTTCCTGTTTCATCAAAACATTTGTTTTTTTCTGTATATTGAATGCTAGTCATCATGGTACAAAATTTACATGTATCTAATAAGCACATCTATTGTTAACTAGCCTTAATACAGGAGTTGACAATAAAACTATTTCTACATAATTATATATATATGTTTATCAAGCAGTGAATTGTCTTTCCACTAATAAACAAAATATTTGTTTTTTCTCTGTACATGCTGTATATTGAATGTTATTTATCATGGTACAAAATGTACAGGTATTTCATAAGCATATCTATTTTAAATAGCCTTAATACTAGTGTTGACAATCAAATGATTTCAGCATATATATCAAGCAGTGAATTGCCTTTTCAATAAAAAACAGGAAACATTTCTATAGAATTTGGCAATCATTTATAAATATTCTGAATAAGTTTGGACTTAAATTGTCCCCTTAATTCACTCCAATTTAATTCCCTGAAGATTCATTTATCAAAGGCCTTCTGATTCCTATCAAAGAAGGCATACAAATAAGATATTCAGGACCACGTTTTTGTTTTGTGTATAGGCAAGATCCATATTGTGGATTCCACTACTAAGATACATGAACTGTATTTCAAAACATTTAATAACTTAGTAAAATAATGATAGAAAATCAGATTAAAAACAATACATTATTCAATACATTGCCATTGGCCATGTTGGCAAAAGTACACCAAATGACTTAGGTTTTTTATCTGTGATATTGTGGTATGCATCAACTTTTTCTTAATTATTTTGACAGTTGTGCCAAAATCAAGATAACTTTAACCATTTTGTTGTTTCAAATGTCCAAAATGTTTTCATTATAATTTTTGTACAAATATTGTGAAAATTTCAATGTCAGATACAGTTTTTCAGTTCAGCGTAAACATAGAAATCATAACAAAATTAACATACAAACTGTCAGATGCAATTATAAAGACTTTAAACACATTAAATAATCAATCTATTAAAATATGTCATTGTATGTAAAGTATTCTTATTTAGGTAGATCAAAGTGACCAGTTTTCACACAAAAAAATAAAACTTCTTATTGATTGCTTGTTCTATTTGTTGCTTGTTTGATGTCCAGCAGCAAATATTTCATTCATGCACTATATTGAGAACAAGACTTTTATTTGAAATTATAACAAGTTCTTGTTCAATTTTAAAGTCCAGTTATTTCTTTGCTATTTTTCCATATTTTAAGTTGAGTTTCTTTGCATGATGAAACATCAGGCCATGGTTCCTGTACACAGCTGCCAAAATAGCCACCTGATTTCCCTTCCAATTCCTCAGAAATTGCACAGTGTACAACTGTTTGGCACCCCTGACTGGCTGTTTTGATTAAGAGCAATTTTAAAGGATAAAGTAGCTTCCAAAGCCATTTTGACACTGAATGCCTAGCTAGTTCAGTATCTACCATACCAGGGTGAACTGTGAACACATCTACTTTGGAGCCTGACAAACGATCATGTAACTCCCTAGCAAAATATACATTTGCTAATTTGCTATTGGCATACCCTTTTGTCTGCTTCCCTTTCAAGTTTTCAAAGTCAATTTCTCCTCTTTTATGTAAAGCTGATGATACAAAAACTATTCTACTTGGAGAATTCTCCTTCAACTTTGGAAGCAACAGATTTGTCAATAAAAATACTGAAAAGTGATTTACTGCCATGTGCATTTCTATCCCATCCTCGGAAACCTGGTAAGGATGTCCCATTACACCAGCATTATTTATCAAGACATTTAAAGAATGCGCTTCTTCTAAAATGCCACTACAAAATTCTTTTACCGAAGCATGAGATGCAAGATCCAAAGGTCTGAATACCAAACTTCCATTTTCTGTTCTTGATTTTACGTATTCAATAGCTTTTCTTGCTTTATTTTGATCTCGACATGCCATTATTACACGTGCGTGGCGTTTAGCTAACTCTAATGCGGTCTGAAGTCCTATGCCGGTATTTGCACCAGTCACGATACATGTTTTGCCATGCAGTAACACAGTCGAGTTACATCTCCTCGTACGAAGCGATCTAAACAGAACAGCAGTAATATACATTCCCACTAAAGTTACTGAAGCTGTGACATACCATGTCGGTGGTTCCATTCTCGAGATTCAATGCACAAAGTCATCAACAAATATATTTTCATTTCATATTATATATAGTGCTGTCTATCACTGAAAGAGCTGAGGGAAAGTAAGTTAGGAAACCAGTCGCAAAAAGTTTCTAAATGTAAAACCAATTTTAGTATAAAGACCCTCAAATCCGGCTCGACAGATAATATTCCGGTCACGGCATGACAACTAGTGGTAGATTGAATAGTCGGGGAGGATGGGAGCTGGGGAACTCCATATAGTGACAAGCAAAAAAAAATTATCAACTCACAGTCTTGAAGTTTTTATTTTTTGTATATACATTTTTTTTTGCAAAAAAGTAGGGGGCATTTGCCTCCCCCTTTTTTGCCCACAGGCTGCTACGTCAGTGAATGAAACCATATTTTATGTTATAGAATTAGATGTATAGGGAAAACGGTACTATTACATTTTCCCAGCATTAGGTTGGCCTTTTGTGTACCCAAGGCAGGTGAAGGAAGTCAAATTAGGAGCGCTGTGATTGGATGTAAGTGTACAATATATTTTTTTATTTATCTATGAATAACTGCAGTGTGTATATTTACAATATAAATTTTAAAACCTATTGAAATATTTTCTAGAGAATTATTCGAAAAGGCTTCCAAAATTTCATAAATTTGGTGTAAAATGACGCCGGGTGGGCATGGATAACATAAACAAGCTCCGTTGGAAATTGGTCCGATGATACTATTTGGCTTCAATTTTTAAATTGAATAATAAAGTACTAACACCACACATAACTGTTTTATCCAGGTTTTTATTATAAAAAGTGGTAAATTTAGAAAATGTTAGTATTGTCGCCTATGGCAGAATAAATAGTACCGTTTTCCCTATAGGACTACCGTCTGATTGGATTTTCGGAGAGGGGCAAGAGTTTGGGTTTTATTTTACGGCATGGAATTTTTTTTTATTTTGCAAGACTGTAGCACAAACATCTATTTTCACTCTTGTACATGATCATTACCTGCATTGTTCTGTATATTGTTGTCAGAATATTCATTTTCATCATGCATTTTGTTAGACGGAATATCAATGTTCATCCAGAGACATATATACACTTGTGTATATATGTCTCTGGTTCATCCTATCTTGGGCCTGAGACTACTATAACACAGAAATTGGTAACTCATTGTGTTATAGTAGTCTCAGCTTGGGCAAATAATTTTTAAGTTATATCCACGCCAAATTATTCAGTTTCATATTTATCCTATACATTGACTTAGGCCTATATCATTGAAATGATTAAAACCCGTAGTAGTCTAGTATACTGAGAAGAGAAATCACATCTGTCAACTCAGCAGAGTGACAAACTGATCTTAAGGAGGATATAGCTTTATCCAAGACTTCACACTCCAGAATAATTGTAGATAAACCCATGCTTTCTTCCTTTTTGTCTGCAATTTTATATATTCAGTCAAATCTTCCATGAACTAGTTCGAATATTGTGTTCAGTCATTTCTGCTATAATAATAACCTGTTTTAAAACTGTTTTGTGACGTCACACAGTGCTTGTTGTTCACTTGAGTCTAGATGATAGTCCAATTTGAAAAGTTTTTGACTTACAAGCCCAAAAATCAACAGGATTTCTTTAAAGTCCTCTTTGCAGGAAAATTTTACTGGCCTGGGACACTCATACGGAAATATAACATGGTTATATCCGACATCCAGTTTTACCTTTACTATATGCTTTATTTATTTTTTGAGGGAAAAGCACAAATCGAAAGAAAAGATCGATAATTCATAATTCATGTATTATCCAAGAAATACACATAATTTTGTTTATATGATGGAGAACAGGGATGCATCGAAAAGACAGGGGACGATCTGGAGGGCGTAAAAAGGGTGACAAGGGAGGTCGACCAAATCGTAACCAAGGAAGAAATTATGATTCATTTCATCGTAGAAATTTAGATTTGTTTGCTGCTCCACTTTTATTTTTATTTAGCCTTTTACGATATTTAGCAGTGCAACTGTGGGTAGTGTTAGGCATTATTATTTGCAGGTCTAGATCTGCAATTCCTTCCAGAAATAGATGGAGACAAAATTCAGCTTTAATTTCTGATGCTGAATCTGGTGCAAATACTGAACTTCATCGAAGTCCAAAAATGGCTGCTCGGGATCCAGGTCCTGGTGAACCAGCATTAGTTTCACAGAAACATCACCACAGGAAAGCTTTTGAATATATTTCAAAAGCTTTGAAAATTGATGAGGAACATGATGGTACGAGCCATGTCTGTTTGTTTTCAGTGTTGAGAATATGAATTGTTTGCTACATTGCCTCAAATTTCTTCATATTTTCATTTATGGATATAAAATGGAATTTGTTCTTTTATATGGCCCAGACCTACAATTTTTTCTATTTATGGGGAGTTACCTTGACTTGAATATTGATATGGTATGGTTACACATCCAATCAGGAACATATATATATATATATATACTGTTCCCAGATCCAATGGACAATATTACACCGTGCATCCACCATGTAGCTATTAATCCAAGGTGTTAAAATTGCTTTTAAGCACATATACTGTGCACTAACTTAAAAATAAACTTTTAAGTACATGTATGATATATTAAAAAACACTTCTTATAATTATGGGAATCCGGGTCCGTTCGCGCCCAATCACGTTCGCCCCCATGCACGTTCGCCCCCCTTTCACTTTCGCACCCTACACGTTCGCACCCAAAGTCCGTTCGCACCCTACACGTTCGCGCCCAATTCTTATTGGTTTTGTGTTTAATAATTTGTAAACGAGTTTTGGTAAGTGTATTGCTATAAATATATATTTTTTCATTGTTTCTAAATAAAGTGAGATTCTGACAAGGTTTTTTTTTGTGTCATGGTAAATGTATTGCTATAAACATTTTTTTTTCATTGTTCTTAAATAAAGTGAGATTCTGACGACCAGTATTTTATTTTTGTGTTGAATAATTTTTAATCATGTTTAGGTAAGTGTATTGCTCTCTATATATCTATATCTCTATATCTATATATATATATAAATGATTTTTTCATTGTTTCTAAAGTGAGATTCTGACAACGTTTTTTTAGGTGTTGATAAAATCTTAATCATGTTTTGGTTAGTGTATTGCTATAAATATTTATTTTTTATTGTTTCAAAAGGAAATGGGATTCTGACAACGTTTTTTTTTATGTGTTGAATAATTCGTAATCATGTTTTGGATAGTGTATTGCTATAAATATTTTTTTTCATTGTTTATGAATAAAGTGAGATTCTGACACACATGAGATCAAAGGAGCCAAGCTGTTAAAAACAATTATCTTTCATGTTTTTTATTTAAAATCTTCAAAGTTTTACTCATACCAAGCTAAATACATGCAGTATTTACATTTAAAGCAAGTTAAAACAACCATGACAACAATCATGATTTTTAAACACTCAACAATAACATCATATTAGGCTGTGTATAAATACCAATTAGCAGTAATCATACATAATTAACATTTAATAATAAATCATCAAATCAATTTAAAACAATATTTCATTTAAAAATTCCCGAATTTTTATTTATGAAAATAAAAATATTTTACAAAACATCTAAAAATTTATCAGGTTTTTGAATTAAAAAAAGGGTGCGAACGGACCTAGGAGGCGAACGTGTGGGGTGCGAACGTGTAGGGTGCGAACGTGTATTGGGCGCGAACGGACCCGATACCTAATTATGGCTAAGATAGTTCTCTTAATGTAATTAAATTTTTTTTCAAAAAGGTCAAGAATACATTGTATCATCACACACATTTGTATTAGAAACTGGAACATATGAAAATATATCAATAGAAAATAGAATGTGTTCTAAAGTTAAATGTGAAAAAAATGAAGTTGACAAAGTCACAACGCCTTACATTTCTAAATTAAATGTGACAATTACCACAGTGAATGGGAATAAGTTTTTTCTGTCATATCTAATAAATTGAAAAATTTTAGTAAGATAAAGATGAAAATGTCTTCTATATATTAAATAATGAAGACAAAGATAATTTATATTATGTAAGTAAATTTTTAAATATTTGCATTAAATTTTTAGCCAAATTCTTACCTGAAATATGCATGTGTATATATATACGTATATTAAGTTAGTGTAAATGCTATTCACTTTTACAACATGTACAATACAAATCAAACTTAATTAGTATTGGATAATATATATGTATGAAGTTTGTTTTTAAATTTTTTTGTCTTATTTATATTCAATCAATCAAGTAATTCTTTCCCTCTGTATTTGTTTAATTGTTTATTGTTAATATATTATATAACCTATAATTTCATGTTGCCTTTTGGGGCCCATAAATTTGGAGTAAAGTATAATCTATTTTAAAGTGATGCATTTTGTTTTTTACTTTAAATCAAACTTATATTTTGAAAAGTTAGCAGGTATACATATATATGCAATGAATGATCAACTTTTACACTGATAGAACACAAGATGAAAATAAGCATTCAGATGAGGGATAAACCCAGGTTACCCCTCAAACTATAATACTTCCACAACTGTTTTTTTATATATACTTGTGGAAAATAGTAACAATTTATGTGAAGATGTGCTGTTTTAACTCTTAAATCAAAGTAAACATAATTCCAAAATAAATTCTTCCAATGCTTGAAATTCCTCATAAGAAGTACTTTTTTGAGGGGTTATCCCTCATTTGATATAACATGTACACATGTATACAATGTACATATTTTTATATATTATCTGGAAAGAAATTCTCATGGGAACAGGGAAACCAATCAAAAAATAATTTATTTGAAATACAACATGTACAAATATGCAAATTTAGTGTTGACAAAAATAAAGTTTTCTTGTAAGAGCCCTTATTGTACAAGGTGTAACAGCATCATCATAGTATTATTTCAATAAAGATGTGCTAATAATGAGTGTTTAATTCAGAAGAATATTCATATTTTCATTACCATGTTTACAGGCAAACAAGATATAGCAATTGATATGTACAAAAAAGGCATTATAGAACTTGAGAAAGGGATTGCTGTTGATGTCAGTAGTGGCGAAGGTAGGTTATTCTTCTGTCTGCTGCTAACTGAGGGTCTGGATGGGGGTCCTTCATTTCTGTATTCTTTACTTTTTTGGTCATTTTTCTGTAATCTTTATATTTTTTGCCTATTATTCTCTATTCTTTATATTTTAGCACCCGATTATTCTCTATTTTTTTGCCCTATTTTTGTCGAGCCTTCGACTTTTGTCGAAAAAGCGAGACATAGCGATCCTACATTCCGTCGGCGTCGTCGTCGTCGTCGTCGTCGTCGGCGGCGTCCACAAATATTCACTCTGTGGTTAAAGTTTTTGAAATTTTAATAACTTTCTTAAACTATCCTGGATTTCTACCAAACTTGGACAGAAGCTTGTTTATGATCATAACATAATATTCAAAAGTAAATTTTGTAAAAAAAAAAATTCCATTTTTTCCATATTTTACTTATAAATGGACTTAGTTTTCTGCCAGGAAACATTACATCCACTCTGTGGTTAAAGTTTTTGAAATTTTAATAACTTTCTTAAACTATCCTGGATTTGTACCAAACTTGGACAGAAGCTTGTTTGTGATCATAAGATAGTATCCAGAAGTAAATTTTGTAAAAAAAAAAATTCCATTTTTTCCGTATTTTACTTATAAATGGACTTAGTTTTTCTGCCAGGAAACATTACATTCACTCTGTGGTTAAAGTTTTTGAAATTTTAATAACTTTCTTAAACTATCCTGGATTTGTACCAAACTTGGAAAGAAGCTTGTTTGTGATCATAAGATAGTATCCAGAAGTAAATTTTGTAAAAAAAAAATTCCATTTTTTCCGTATTTTACTTATAAATGGACTTAGTTTTTCTGCCAGTTAACATTACATTCACTCTGTGGTTAAAGTTTTTAAAATTTTAACAACTTTCTTAAACTATCCTGGATTTGTACCAAACTTGGAAAGAAGCTTGTTTATGATTAAAAGCTAGTATCTAAAAGGAAATTTTGTTCAAATTTTTTTCCATTTTTTCCGTATTTTACTTATAAATGGACTTAGTTTTTCTTCCAGTTACATAACAGTTTAAGTTTTTATTTAAAACATTTATTAGATTCATAAACTATCCTGGATTTTTACCAAACTTGGACAGAAGCTACTTACAATCAAAAGATAGTATAGAGAGGAATATTTTTATTAATTTTTTTCCTCATTTTTGTTGAGCCTGTGATAAACAGCAGAAGTAGGCGAGACACTAGGTTCCGCGGAACCCTTACGAATTTTCTCTATTATTTTGGCCATTTATCCTGCACATTTTGCCCAGTATTCTCTAGTCTGTAAACCCCATCCAGACCCTCCTAACTGCCATGCCATTGCTATGAACCTGGAGTACGACAAGGTGTATGCCCCTTTTCCTGCTGTTATTGATTTTTTTTTATATTAATTGAACTTTGAATGAGTTAGAAAAAAAATTGAACACCAGGAATAGTGAAAAACTATGAAATCTTGGACACTCTTGATTAATACTTCTCTGACTTTGACAAACCTTGGTTGTGAATTTTTTCTGGGGTTTGATTCTTAACTTTTCATGTGACAAAAATTCACACAATATGAGATATTTTCAGGAAGCTCAACTTAAAACGTAATTGAAAAAAAATGTAAGAAAAAAGGTTGATATGATGATACCAAGGGGGTAATAGCTGTGATGCAATGAATACTTTCCAAAAAGCCTGAAGAAAATCTGATTATTTCTTGGGGACCAATGTTAATATATCTATGGTATTACCATGATTACTGTATAAAAACTTGAAATTCTTCTTTCCCTTAATAATAATATCAAGTACAGAACATTTCTTCGGTAAATAATAATGGGGTCAAAATGTTTTGTTTAAAATTCTCATGGTAATTCAGTATTTGATTTGCCTTTATCATGTTTATGATACAGTGTATAGTACATGTTTAAAATGCATGTGTAACAAATGAGTGACTGTGACTTACATAAAATGATGCACTTGGTCAGCTTTAGTTATATTTTTATATTATGCATTTCTATGAACCTACTTGTGTTAAATGATATTTTATTAGTAAACTTTGAATTTTATTTAGGTTCATGTTTAAGAAAAGTAAATTAGTACTCTCATTAAGGGTTATTATACCCCACGCAACGAGTTGCGGAGGGTATAATGTTTTTGACCCATCTGTCCGTCTGTCCATCCGTCAGTCCTGTTTCTTGTCATTGCAACTCCTCTCAAACCACACAACAGAATTTCACGTAACCTTTTTAGATAATAAGGACATACTATGTAGTTGTGCATATTGACAGGAAATTACGATTCAATTCTTTTTCTAGGAGTTACGCCCCTTTGAACTTATTTACTTTAATGTACTACTGCAACAGTTTGTCATCGCAACTCCTCTCAAACCACACAACAGAATTTCATGAAACCTTTTCAGATAATAAGGACATACTACGTAGATGTGCATATCGACAGGAAATTACGATTCAATTTTTTTTCCAGGAGTTACGCCCCTTTGAACTTATTTGCCCAATATACTACTGTAACCTTTTGTCATCGCAACTCCTCTCAAACCACACGACAGAATTTCATGAAACTGTGTAGATAATAAGGACATACTATGTAGATGTGCATATTGACAGGAAATTATGATTCAATTTTTTTTTCTGATACAATTTTTTTTTCTTACACTTATTTTATTTCTCCAATGACAATGTGGGGACGTGGGGTATGTGAGCGCGCTCACTAAGGTTCTTTCATTGTCAAACTAACAGTCATACTACATATGTTGACCAATACTTCAAAATTTTACTTCATATCTGTGACGGACATTAACAGAAACAGTTTTTTTGTAAAAGAGAGGCGAAAGATACCAAAAGTACATACAAACTCATAAGTCGAAAATAAACTGACAAGGTCATGGCTAAAACAGAAAAAGACCAACAGACAAACAACAGTACACAACATTTTTTTTATAGATGCTGAAGTTGAGGATAAGACCTTTAAATTGGGAGAAACCATATTTTTTTGTCCCATTTAAACTGTAAAAGACAGTATAATAAATAAAAATTAGAATAAATAAATATTATATATATGCATTTTCCTTATTCCAGGCTCTTCCTGGGATCGGGCAAGAAGATTGCAAGAAAAAATGGTGACAAATATGGTGATGGCTAAAGATAGACTGGATGTTTTAGGTATTGAAGGAGTTATTTGTCTTGCATGTAATAGGATAGAAACATGTTCATACATGTATCATAAAATTGTCTCTCAGTTCTTTGATATATGTTATATGAATACATTTATATATATGTAATTAGCTGTGTCATTTAGACTAGACCTATTTAGTTATTTACATAGACACAAGACTATTTTTAGTAATGCTGTTATGGTTATAGATGTGATAATTATTTTGGCTTATCTATTTATCAGTTTATTATTATATATATGTGTGATAGAAATAGTACACCTGTGCTCATAGCTCTTCCTTAGTGTCGTGAATCTTTTAGATATATATTCTTTCATCTCTTAAACTCACTGATATTCTTTTATATTGCAAATTTAAACCGTCGCGAAATTGTGAAACTAGTAGCTTCCTTTATATAAATATATCACAAAAAAGAGAAGATCGCAAAAGTTGGTTAGAAAGAACTTTTCATGAAATAAAGTATGTGTGAAAATAAGTTGGTTTACAGTAGTTTTTGGTATAGAAAATAAATTTTACCAAATCAAACACATTTCACAATTAACATGTACCAGAAGATCAGTGAATTTATTTGAATAAAATGTAAAATGTGTATTTTAATTTTTGAATGGTATAGTGCATAGGTTTGAGTCATTTCTTTAATAATACTAGCCTTTAAAATTATTCCTTCAAGTGAACTGGATCCCCAAGAAAATCTTGAAATAATCATTTTTTTTTTAAATCTTATCTTTGTGCAACGGCATATTTTAAAGATTTCTGGTGATGGACATAAGTAAATCTTGTCAACAAAATTTTAACGTTTTGGTCATTGATGTATGTAATAGAGTAATAGATGCCTTAAAACATACAAATTATACTGCATAACACCTGAATATTTCTTAGAGAATATATGACTTGAAACAAAGACATAGGTGTCAACTTTTCAAACTTTCTAAAGGAAGATCTCATAATCTTTTCTGGGCTTTAGAGGGAGGTTTCAATGGTTTATAAAAGTATTGGGATGCTTCCTTACCTATCTTGAGACTTTGACACCTATGCATACATATATCAATCTGCATTATGTGGCTTGAAGCTTTTATTATATATGTGTTGCATCACTAGAGAAAAGATTCTGCTGTGCTTTAAATTTATAAGAAGGATATCATAGTAAATGTAAAAAAAAAAACTTATTTGAAATGCAAAATAGAGTTCAATACTTTTAATTCAGAAATTTTTGCTTTCATTTATTATTGTGATTGTTGTTTTGATTCAGAAATTGATAACATAGAAAAGCCACATGATGCAGACTTCTGCTTCTGTATATATTTATTGTGATTGTTGTTGTATATTTTGTTTTTGTTTAGAAAAAGCTTTACGGGAAATAAATATGTTAGATAATACTCCTGGACGTTTTGATGAAGGTCGTGAGGTCCAAGAACCATACCCTTTTACACCTCCTCAGACTTCCAATATAACTATGAGACAGCGTAAAGGAGAAATGTTGACTCCTAAATCTCCTTTACATAGACCTCCAAAAAATACCAAGCCAAGCCAAGACACAAGTAAAACTCCAGGTAATCAACTACATTGTAATCATATTGAAACTTTGCATGGTGTTTTCCATGGCTTTATAGCATTATTATATTGAAAACTTAGATTTCTATTTATCCTTACCCTATCAGAAGTTTATTAGAAGATTTATTATAAAATTTTGGTAACCATAGCTTTAAAAGTTCAGAAACAATATTTCTTTTGAAATGCTGTCTGCATCCATAAAAGGTTTGTATTACAAAAAAAAATAATCAGAAATGACATGATGGTTCAATTTAAAATAGCAAAAATTAAGTATTAGCATTATTCAAAAAAGCATGGTTTGTGCACATACATAAATTTACATGTATATATTGCTTATTTTGTGGTTAGTAAAGCACTTAGGATTGTATTTGTTCATTTTAGCCTCATTTCTGAAAGTTCTTTTAGGTATAGAACCACTAATTCAGGCCCGGTCGGAAAGAACATACAAGAAAGTAGTACATATTTTAAACAAAATAGTTCCTACGCATAGCTGTATCTTTGTCAATAGTGGGAATATTTGGGTAGTTTTAGTATCAAATGAAAGCTTGGGGACTTGGGATCACTGTAGAACCCTTGTTGAAAGTTTTATTTGAATAATAAAGAAGTATATGCAATTTTAATAGGAGGGCTCATTTGGCCTGTTGTTCAGATCAGAAGTTCCTGTTTTTGTACTATCAAACTTCCGGGAACCAGTACGCTCTAATATGCAATTAAAGGTATGTTGATTTTTTCAGCACAAGTCAGCATAAAGTACAGTTTTGACATGAAATAACTGCCACTTTATTTGAACTTCAGACAAAGTAGCCATTTATGCTTGAAATTGCAGAATTTAACATAGAAAGCAATGGGGCTGTGAATTAGTGGTTTTATACCTATTACTGACAGGCATGTGAAATTCTATTTTTAGAAATCATACCCTTTACAGTGAAAACTGGTCACATTTGTTGTCAGAAATCATGTTACATTATTTTTTTTATGTAGCAATTATGTTAGTGTCAAATTACAGCCCTCAAATTGCTACAATAAGGTAGTTTAGCCTTTTTTGGTCATTTAGCATGCACACAGTTAAGATTTTACCTGAAATTTAAATTTTTGGATTATCTAACACTGAAACCAATGAAACTTGTATATTATGACTAGTTTATAGTATAAATATTGTTTTTGGTCAAATTATCTAGTGAGTGTTCAAGTTTTATTGTGTTTCTTGGTGAATTATTTATTTCAAGGAAAATTGGTGTATACTTATATAGGAATTCCAAAATCTCTCTTGAAATGCATTTAATAACCATTTTAGCAAGTTGTCTAGCTTGGAGATACATAAATTGCTCTTGTTGATCCATGTTTATACATAAAAGTATGATTTTTTTACCAAATCACTCTCCTTTTCCAACATGTAGAAAAAAGGGGGGACAAAATTATCAATTATATTTCATGTTTGGACCACTGTATTTATATTCAAGGAAGAATTTCTGATAAAAATAAGACATATAGGTAAGAACACTGTTATTTGAGTAGATATTAACAAATCAGAACTGGTAAAAATTGAAAAAGTGTCATATCTGTCACTATTGGTATCCATATGTAGTTTTCTTTATTTAACGCATATGTTACTACCAGTCCAATTTGAGCTTGAATTCAGTGATATAGTGTTTTGACAAAAGCTTTATGTGTTTTTCTATGCTAGAAATAGATCATAGAAGGAAATTAAGTCAAGCAGAAGTCAATAAAACAAGTTTGGTGCTGTTATAACTGACAGGCATGTGAAATTCTATTTTTAGAAATCATACCCTTTACAGTGAAAACTGGTCACATTTGTTGTCAGAAATCATGTTACATTATTTTTTTTATGTAACAATTATGTTAGTGTCAATTTACAGCCCTCAAATTGCTACAATAAGGTAGTTTAGCCTTTTTTGGTCATTTAGCATGCACACAGTTAAGATTTTACCTGAAATTTAAATTTTTGGATTATCTAACACTGAAACCAATGAAACTTGTATATTATGACTATTTTATAGTATAAATATTGTTTTTGGTCAAATTATCTAGTGAGTGTTCAAGTTTTATTGTGTTTCTTGGTGAATTATTTATTTCAAGGAAAATTGGTGTATACTTATATAGGAATTCCAAAATCTCTCTTGAAATGCATTTAATAACCATTTTAGCAAGTTGTCTAGCTTGGAGATACATAAATTGCTCTTGTTGATCCATGTTTATACATAAAAGTATGATTTTTTTACCAAATCACTCTCCTTTTCCAACATGTAGAAAAAAGGGGGGACAAAATTATCAATTATATTTCATGTTTGGACCACTGTATTTATATTCAAGGAAGAATTTCTGATAAAAATAAGACATATAGGTAAGAACACTGTTATTTGAGTAGATATTAACAAATCAGAACTGGTAAAAATTGAAAAAGTGTCATATCTGTCACTATTGGTATCCATATGTAGTTTTCTTTATTTAACGCATATGTTACTACCAGTCCAATTTGAGCTTGAATTCAGTGATATAGTGTTTTGACAAAAGCTTTATGTGTTTTTCTATGCTAGAAATAGATCATAGAAGGAAATTAAGTCAAGCAGAAGTCAATATAACAAGTTTGGTGCTGTTATACTGACAGGCATGTGAAATTCTATTTTTAGAAATCATACCCTTTACAGTGAAAACTGGTCACATTTGTTGTCAGAAATCATGTTACATTATTTTTTTTATGTAACAATTATGTTAGTGTCAAATTACAGCCCTCAAATTGCTACAATAAGGTAGTTTAGCCTTTTTTGGTCATTTAGCATGCACACAGTTAAGATTTTACCTGAAATTTAAATTTTTGGATTATCTAACACTGAAACCAATGAAACTTGTATATTATGACTAGTTTATAGTATAAATATTGTTTTTGGTCAAATTATCTAGTGAGTGTTCAAGTTTTATTGTGTTTCTTGGTGAATTATTTATTTCAAGGAAAATTGGTGTATACTTATATAGGAATTCCAAAATCTCTCTTGAAATGCATTTAATAACCATTTTAGCAAGTTGTCTAGCTTGGAAATACATAAATTGCTCTTGTTGATCCATGTTTATACATAAAAGTATGATTTTTTTACCAAATCACTCTCCTTTTCCAACATGTAGAAAAAAGGGGGGACAAAATTATCAATTATATTTCATGTTTGGACCACTGTATTTATATTCAAGGAAGAATTTCTGATAAAAATAAGACATATAGGTAAGAACACTGTTATTTGAGTAGATATTAACAAATCAGAACTGGTAAAAATTGAAAAAGTGTCATATCTGTCACTATTGGTATCCATATGTAGTTTTCTTTATTTAACGCATATGTTACTACCAGTCCAATTTGAGCTTGAATTCAGTGATATAGTGTTTTGACAAAAGCTTTATGTGTTTTTCTATGCTAGAAATAGATCATAGAAGGAAATTAAGTCAAGCAGAAGTCAATATAACAAGTTTGGTGCTGTTATAGGTATAGAACCACTAATTCAGGCCCGGTCGGAAAGAACATACAAGAAAGTAGTACATATTTTAAACAAAATAGTTCCTACGCATAGCTGTATCTTTGTCAATAGTGGGAATATTTGGGTAGTTTTAGTATCAAATGAAAGCTTGGGGACTTGGGATCACTGTAGAACCCTTGTTGAAAGTTTTATTTGAATAATAAAGAAGTATATGCAATTTTAATAGGAGGGCTCATTTGGCCTGTTGTTCAGATCAGAAGTTCCTGTTTTTGTACTATCAAACTTCTGGGAACCAGTACGCTCTAATATGCAATTAAAGGTATGTTGATTTTTTCAGCACAAGTCAGCATAAAGTACAGTTTTGACATGAAATAACTGCCACTTTATTTGAACTTCAGACAAAGTAGCCATTTATGCTTGAAATTGCAGAATTTAACATAGAAAGCAATGGGGCTGTGAATTAGTGGTTTTATACCTTTACTTATTAATGTTGTTGTGTATTTAGGTTATTAAGGGTTCCAAATATTAGAAATGAAAAATCACTTTCCATGTTCTTTCTCATTTCCTAATGTCTCTATGATTATAATTGGATGGTTGTTTTTTGCAAATTATTGTTAAAGAAAAAAAATTGAAGCATTTTTTATATTCTGAAAGACTATCCTAGCCATGATCCCAAAAATATGTTTAGGAATATTGCAATTTACATCTTTATAAATTTTTTTGAATTTTTGAAAGCAAGGGATATCATTATAATGGCTGAAAATTTTTTAAGAAAAGAAAATGTTTTTAAAATTTTTTGCCATGTAAGTTTCTTCAAAAAAAGAACGTCAATATTTCAACTGGTCACCAGTTGAAATCTATAAACTTTGTATATTTATCTTCTTTGAAATGTTTGATATGGTCATTATGTAAAAATGTGGTAAATATGAACACACTTAGAACAACAAAACCAAATAAAGGCCATTTGATACCTAGTCCTTTAGTTAACAGTCGTGGCAGTGCTTATTTTATCCCATGCTTTGAGAAGCAGGCGATATATATACTGGAGTTCACCTGTTTGATCGTTCTTCCATCTCCTATCTGTATGTGCAATGGCTCCTGAAGCATGTGTTAGAATTTTGTGAAATTTCAACAGAATCTTACTCACATGATGTACTTTTGCATCTATTTCATTTCTTCGGCCAAATTATTTTGTAGGAAAACTTTGGCATGAGATGGACTTAGTCATAATCACACTACAGTTCACGTTTGTATATGCAAATGCTCCTAACCTTCTTATTAGAAATTATTAAAACTTTCTTAGAATCTTAATCATGTAATGCTATTGTGCACCTCCTATTTTGTATTTAATGAGAATAATTTTCCCTTAGCAAATCATGAACTTATCAAGGGGCGATGGGTATCATTTTGTGAAGTTTGCTTGTAGCTCCTCTAGGAAGAAAGTTAATTATCAATTCTCATGTATATCAGATTTGTTGACCCAATTGTTCATCTTTTGGTTAATATATTAACCCTGAGTTAAATCTTAACCTGTGTTCAACTTCTTTTTATCCAATTCATGGTTAAGTTTTCACTGAAGTTTTTTTAAGTTAAAAGTTAAATCAACACTTTCCAGATCCTAGAAAATTGTTTTGGCTGATGAATATGATTACTTTTATAAATAAACTGTTTACGCAGAGATATTTCTTACCTTTTTGTTATTTTAATAGTAAATTACAAATTTCAAAGGCTCAAAGTTAATATTATTTAGTGCAACTTCAATATGGACGTGGCAGAGACTACCTTTTGTTTTTAATAAATGTCCAGAGCAAGATTAAATCTGAATCATTTAACCAAGGATTTAACAAGGGGGTAAATTTATCCATAGGATAAACAACACAAAATAACAGACAAATTATCATTGTAATTATGTAAAACAATTATAGTCACCAACTTTCTTATTTTGGTGATACGAAAGTGAAAGTGATATTCTTTTAAAATAAAAACGTCAAATGCAAATTAAAGATAAAACCTCATCAAAGATAAACATAATTTGAAATAAAAAAAATTTTCATTTCCAAAACGGTCATGAAAGTGATTGGTTAATTCATCAAAAATGAAGTCAGTGACCTTATGATTATTATGATTATAAATCAGACAGAAATTTATGTGGCAACAACAAATCAATTTTTAGAAATATCTATGTATTGGTTTTTGAGATTTGATGATTTAAAGAACTTTTTCATCCATGGAATATTCTTTCTATACAAAACTACACCTATTTTGAAAGAATTCATGCAATAACTTTCAGAAAATTATAAGAGATAATTGCATTTTTTCAAAGATATTAAGTTTAAGTAGTTATAAGCAAATCTTAGAAAAATCTGTGACCCATTTACACTTGTTAGAACCAGAACAGTCTTCTTGGATATTTTAGAGCTGTCCAGCAACATTTGGGTCAGTGTGGATTATGTTTTTCTGAGTTTTTAAATGAGGACCTCTTTGTCTTGAGTAAAGTTTAAGGCATATTTATCATTGACCTGATAAAAAAAAATTTGGTTTCCCCTTAAGCTTTAAAAAAATAAAAAGTGATATAATTTCCTATCTACATAGAAAATAATCTGTACTAAAATAAGAAATTCATATGTTAGAATGTAAAAATAGCACAATTATTTCATCAAGTAACTTTTCTTTGAAAACTTAAAAAACAATATTCTCATAAAAAAAGTTTACACAACATTCTAAAGTAAGATAAAATCATGTCAGTAATAAGTGAAAGTATATATCCAATATAAATTATTCAGCTTATACCACATGTGTTGTCAATGTTTTATTGATTGATAAACTATTACAGTTAATTGAATGTTATAGAAGTTATTGAACTATGTAGTGTATGTACATTTTGTAGTAGCTTGAGCTAAAAAGACAAATCACTGAGACAGCTTATTTTCTGTTTACAGCTGAGAAATTTTGCAATTTGTATATTATAGAATCCCACATGTTTGAGGAGACATATTTTGGTCTGTCTGTCTGTGTTCATCACAAACTTTGTCAATTTCAAATCTCATACAGTTTGAATAAGAAAGATTCAAAACTTGATAGAATAACTCCACAGCATGTGTAGTTGTCAACTTCCATAATTTTTTTTCAGGTTAAGTTGTGAGGTTTCCCATAGCAAATCATGAACTTTACTCCATTTCTGCATATGGGGAAGTTTTTCCCAATACAAACTATTCATTAAAATAGAAACATGTATAAATAACATCATGTATTTCCACCAAAACAGCAAATATACATGTTGATGAGGAAAATTTGTGTTTGAAAATGATTTAAGAAAATTTTGTGCTAATAAAGTGGAACCAATTGGTTTGACAAAAACTAGTTGAAATTTTTTTTCGTGGAGGGGTTTGCCAACTTTGCCTTCACCAAAAAATCATAAAAAACACTCTCACATTACATAAATTATTTGTTCCCATCCTTGATCAATTTAGAGATTGACATATTATCTAGACACCTGTCTACTGTTGATGACTGTGTTGCCCTATAGATTTGTGAAGATGGGCTGAGCACTGTCTCATATATATTGCTTTCTAGATGTGTTTTGGTTATTTGGATAGTTTGGTTGCTGTTTCAATGGTATACACTCCACATATCCTTTAATTTATATATTTATATTCATATATAATGACATATTGAGGGTGTGTCACAAATTATGCTTTAAATGCCTGTCTCCAAAACTAAAATCATAGTTTGAAATATACAATGTTTGACTTAGAACATTTGAATGCCCTAAATGATGCTTGATATTCAATTGTTTTTGCCCACCCCGAACAGTGTGTTTAAAATAAAGTTGGAATTTCTCTCTGCATGGTAAGGGTCAATACTTTATACACTAAGACAAATACAAGGGACAAAGTATCATTTTGTGAGCTTTGGTGCATTACATTAGACTCTATTTACATCTGAAGTCACAGATAGCCAAGATGGCTTCATTTGTAAACATGTCTCAGTAATATTTTGCAGAATAATTGATAAATGTATATTTATAACTTTAATTTCAGTTACTTACAAGCCAATAAGAGGAATGAAACAACCAATAGCTGTACATAAAAGTAATAGTCTCCCTAGAACATTTAGTCCTAATAGAGGAAATAGGATGCCTCAAACACCTTCACCGAGGACAAATCGAACACATACCAGACAACAGTCAGAAAATGTAAGTCAGAACATAGGGTGTCATAAGAAGGGACATGATCATGTACAGATACACAATCCTGATCAACATATAGTCTAGACCACAGTTAGAAAATATGAATTTCTATAGGAGAAATCATCATGAACAGTAAAAGTTATGATTTTTGTCTTGTCTCTATGTTGTCGCAGATTCGAGACTAAGGCATGCTGTTTCAACCTACTTAAAAAATTTGTTAAAGTTTGTGATAGGGTCACTGAGGAGAACCACTTATGGCAAGTCAATGATATTTGGTAAACATATGTATTAGCATTAGCACATTTCATTTATCACGTGCCCCTCAATCATGGTCCATTGACTGCGAAATTTCAGAATAGTTCACATGTTATGGCTTGTGATTAGGTCACTTTTAGGTGAACCACTGATGGAAAGTCAAAAATATTTGATATGCAGGTGTATTAGCATTAGCACATCTCTTTTCCATGGATAATTTATTGCCGAGCCCCTCAGTCCTGATCCATTGACTTTAAAAACTTTTTCAAAGTTTACATATATGCATGCTAAAATTTGTGATTAGGTCATTTTAAAAGTAAGTTTTAAAGGTAAGTCCATTATATTTGGTATGCAGTTGTATAATCATTGGCATATCTAATCCAATGAGATTATATGGCCTGCTCCTTCAGTCATGGTCTATTTTTGTCCACCATACAACGTGTTGCGGGGGACATAGAATTACCAGGCATCTGTCCGGTCTTGTTAGTGCTCTCACATGTACAATTTTTGTCAGATTTTTATAAAACTTGTATCATAGATATAAGAAGATGTGGTATGAGTGCCAATGAGACAACTCGCCAACCAAGTCAAAATTTATAAAAGTAAACCATTATAGGTCAAAGTACGGTCTTCAACACGGAGCCTTGGCTCACACGGAACAGCAAGCTATAAAGGGCCCCAAAAATTACTAGTGTAAAACCACTCAAACGGGAAAACCATAGGTTTATATCAGCAATGTCTCGGACAAGTTGTAAAATCAGCGGCGATGTACAATTCTTGCCAGATTTTTATCAAATTTATGTCAAAGGTTTATATCAGCAATGTCTTGGACAAGTTCGAAAATCAGTGCCGATCAAATATCTTTAAAAGAGTTATGCCCCTTGAAAATATTAATTATGTTGGAAATGGCATTGTATTTGCTCTCTCAAGCCTTTCATTTCTCTAAGATATTTGTAAAAAGTTTTAAAGAACCAAAAAAAAATTTTTTAGTTGTGGCCTTGGATAGATAAAGTAGATAAAACATGAGGGACATTGGAACTCTGTTCTTTTATTTTCTATAATTTTGATATAATTTGTCCCAAAAGTGATACACTACAGTGTAAAAATCTTATTGAGAAAAAGCACAGGTGGCATTTTTAGAATTTGCATTTATTGTTCTTAAGAAATACACTAGAAAATTAATTGTGGTCCCAGGCCTAAAGTTAAGTTAATGATATTTGGTAGGCAATTGATTTAGCATTGGTACGTCTCTTTTTTAAGGAGAATATTGCTCCGCCTCCTTAGTCATGCACCATTGAATTTGAATATTTCACATAGTTTACTAGATTTAAGTTTGTGATTAGGTCCCTAATGACATGGATAATGTTTACCAAATTGGTAGTCAGTTATGTAAGAATTGGAATGTATCAGTTTCACAGAGATTATCCTTTTAGACTGACCAATTTTAGCAGTATCGATAAAATCTTGAAACTATTATCCTTGATAAGCTATGAAATATTTAGTAAATACTTACAATACATATGATATTGAAAAACCATGAAAGTTGTTACAAGAGTACTTATTCGACCTGGAAATCTTCTTAAATTGGAGGCATCAAAATATATATGGTTATAGTTAATTTATGAGCTTATAGTTAATTCATAATGACTAAGAAATGATATACTTATGTACTACATGTATTAATGAAAATGAAAAGGTTATCAAATAATTACTCAACTTTAATTTTTCAGTTGCCCTCAAACCATCCAAGGAAGATAGATTTAAATCGCCTAAAATTAAAAAATGTAGATAAGAAATTAGCAGAGACAATATTAGGAGAAATTATAGATACTGGACCTCATGTTGATTTTAAAGATATTGGTAAGATCAGAGAAATTATAGTTGTGAATAAATGGAGAAATAGGGTATAAACCAATGTAACAGCAACCCATCAATAAAACACGAAAATCATTTTTGACATTTAGAGGTCATCTTACGATTTCAACAATAAAGTGTCAAGTTTTAAATTTACCTGAGTCAAGACAAGTTTAATAGAAAATTTGCTATGATAGGAATATGAACTTGTAAGTATTATATATATTTTTTTATTTTTTATGCCCCCGACGAAGCGGAGTGGGCATTAAGTTTTACCCTTGTCCGTCTGTTCGTACGTATATACGTCACAAAATTGGTTTCCGTTCTCTAACTTAAGTTTGCCTCAACTATATATACACAATGCTTATTACCACAAAACACAGATCAAGTATGAATTTTGGTGGCGCCACTTTAACCATTCTATAGTTATGCCCCTTTATAAATGGAAAAATTGCAAAATTTTTCATTTCTGTTCTCTAACTTAAGTTTGCCTCAACCAAATGTTATGAAACTTATACACAATGCTTATTACCACAATACACAGATCAAGTTTGAATTTTGGTGGCGTCACTTTTACTGTTCTAGAGTTATGCCCCTTTACAAATGGAAAAATTGCTAAATTTTTCATTTTTTTTCCTTAAAATATCAATGATGTCATTGTTCATGTAATTTTTAAAATTCGAGTTATCTTCCTTTGTCCATGATTATAGTTGAATCAACTACAATCAATGCTTTATACAATGCAATGTTTAATTTTGCCTTCCACTGATAAAACATAGATCAAGTTGAGTTTGGGTAGTGTCACTTTAACCATTATTGAGTTATGCCCCTTTATAAATTGAAAAATTGCAAAATTCTTAGTTTCCGTTCTGTAACTTAAGTTTGCCCCAACCAAACATGAAACCTATACACAATACTTATTACCACAAAACTAAGATCAAGTACAAATTTGGATAGCGTCACTTTTATTTTTCTTGAGTTATGCCCCTTTATAATGTTGTATGCAATGGACACATTCTCCATTTATTTATTATAGATAAGACTGCTTTCACCAATGTAAAAGATGCATTTATTTAAAATTGTATTGGAAACTGATCTTTTATCTTTGACAGATCTTATTCATATTTAGTGGGATGTATCAGTAAAAAAAGCATTTGCATATGATGAAATTTTTACATTGAAATATTTAGTTTGGAGTTACAGTTGCTAAATAGCTTTGTAAATGATACACATGATTAAGCTTGTGAAAGCACAAAAAGTGTTATTTTTTTAGACAGTTACCATAGTTACCAGGGTTTCCCCTGGGTCAATATTCTTTTTCGCCACCTCTTTCGCCAAAATAATATATTTTTCGCCACTTTCAATTCTTTTTTCGCCAACTTATAACTAACATAAATATATTTTTTCTTTGAATTTTCCCTTCTTTCTATCAATAAAAAAACATCATTTTGCCCCATACTAGTCTAAGATAATTGTACAAATCTTTTTTTAATCTGCATTGTAATGAATAAACACTAAGCATTTACTTTTCAGCACATACACGAGATTGATCTCAAATAGTTTAACGGATATATATCTTTCCGTCTTGTTGAAGGATAAAGACTTAGTCATAGATTTTTCTATCTTTAGAATATATTTCTTAGAAGCAACAGGTTTCCGGATCATCGTAAAAGAAAAAGTCTAGGCATTAAATTATGCTTGAAACACATGCGTTTCCAAAAGAGTTGTAAAGGACTGGTACCCAAATTGGCAATTCAAATCATTTATTTCTATCAAAGTTGAAAGATAAAGTGCAAAGTGGGCGATTGTTTTTTGCTTTGACAGTTTTCGTCATAATAATAGTTTACTTTCGACACCATCGCTAAAAAGAATTAGAGGAGACTTAACGCTATGCTTCAAACATGTGCGTTGCAAAGTTGTAAATAAATCCTTTAGGTGACATGTGACTCCATTTAACCACACTATTTCTTAAATAAATACAATCAACACCTTGATTAATTAGTCCATTGTTGCCTACAGCTATAAAATGCAATCAGCTGATTATTGACTTTCTGTCAAAATCATAACGAGTTCAAGGTGAATTCCGAATATTGTCGGATCGGGTCAAGTCCGAGAAACCCGAAAAAAAGTAAACAAGGTAGATGAAATTGAATCATTATATTTCTTTTGCCAAATTCTTTCGCAAATAATGAATTTTATTCGCCACAATTTTTATTTTTGCCAAATGCGAAAATGGCGACCGCCAGCGGAAACCCTGATAGTTACCATAGTTCATATTTGGTTTGATGCCTTGGTGTAAATACGTAAAATGAGATAGGTATTTTTATCACAACACCACTGGGAGTCTTGTTGATATTAGACAGAATGTTATATTTATTCTTTAGTTGAAAGTTTCTTAATTTTATGAATAATATTTGTAATACCAGCATAGAATACTGTCAATAATGATATTTTTTATACGACCGCAAAAAATTTTGCAGTCGTATATTGGTATCACGTCGTATTCATCGTCCGAAGACAGTTGGTTTCCGGACAATAACTTTAGTATAATTAAATAGAAATCTATGAAATTTAAACACACGGTTTATAACCACAAAAGGAAATTTGGGATTGATTTTGGGGGTTATGGTCATAACAGTTTTGGAATTAGGGGCCAAAAAGGTGCCCAAATAAGCATTTTTCTAGTTTCCAGACAATAACTTGTGGAACGGTGTATGGATCTCTCTGAAATTATACCACAAGTTTCCATTCAACAAAGAGATGGTTAGGATTGGCTTTGGGGGGTTATGGCTCAAACCGTTAAGGAATTAGGGGCAAGAAAGGGGGAAAAACAAGGGTTTCCTGGTTAATGGACAATTACTTAAGACAATTGAAAAGCAGTGTAAGGGATGTTCCAAACACAATGTTTTGATTACCTCCCTTACACAGCTTTCAAAATTATGTATAAAGAAATGTTGTATTGTCTTGAGATGATTAGCTGTCAATTTATTTTTATAAGTTACTATTAAGGAATATTAATTTTAGCCATGATTATGTATGTCATTTTCTATTTTAAGACTTTTATGATGTATTTAAATGGGTAATTATGGTTACAAACTCCATTGGAAATTTGAATTGAGATTATGACCAAAGTATGTGTGTGTGTGTGTGTGGGGGGGGGGGGGTCAATACGCAACAGCATAATATATTGCACAAAAGCAAAAAAAAAGGGGGGGGGGGGGGGGGGTAATTTTTTTTTTTTTTTTTTGTGGGGGGAGGGGGGGTCTGTTCACAACAGCAAAGTGTATTGCTCAAAAGCAAAAAAATTACATATAAATTCAAATCATATATCCAATTCTAAGTTCTTTGACTACAGTTATTCTGTGTCAGAAACCTATCATGTGTCAAATATTTAATTACATTCCAAATTCAGACCTGTATCAAGCGCGAATATTGTGACCATTTTTGCCCTAACTGTTCAGGGTTGGACCTCTGCGGTCGTATCCAGCTGTGCTCAGCGAAGCAATTTATTATATCATATTTTTTTATTTACAGCTGGACAAGAAGCTTCTAAACAGGCATTACATGAAATAGTGATACTTCCTGCTCTTAGACCAGAGGTAAACTTTTTATCATTTATTGTCAATTTTTGTTTTTATATATTAGAATGATTGTAAATAATCTGCTGATTTGCAATTACACATAGTTATTCATGTTATTTGTATATACATGTATATAATTGCAAATTATAAATACTTTTTTTTTTAATAAACACAAAATCCAAATGTCCATGTCCTGTTTAAACCACTAGAATATTACAGCTTTAGTCTATATAAAGGATGTTCTTTTCTCACACTTTCTATTATGTTTAAAAATTCTGTAAATCTGTCAGTTGAGGATTTCGTATCCCCCATCCAAAATGATATCCATTTCTAAAAACATCAATTTAAATTCAATTAACAATGATTCCTTTTTTTGGCAGGTATTTCCATATAGTGCATATATAATGTATTTTGATATTTATAATTTTTAATACTGAAAATATTTCTAAAACGTAACCCACAATGAGACTTGATATGAGATTTTAAAAAAAAATTGTATAATATTTCACATTAATTTTTGTCTTGCCTTGACAGGGTCAAAAAGTGAGCCATAGGTATGCTGTTTCCAGCGTCCGACTAATGTTAAGTCATTGATATTTGGTATGCAAATGTATTGGCATATGCAAGTTTCATTGCCATGGAGATTATATAACCCCACCCCCTCATTATGGTTTATTGACTGAAACTTTAACATAGTTTACAAGTTAATATTTGTGTGTAGGTTTGTTTAAAGGGAACGACTTATGAAAAGTCAATGGTATTTGGTATGCAGTTGTATTAGCATTGGCACATCTGTTTTCCATGGAGAATGTTTAGCCCTGTACCTTCAGTCATGGTTCATTGACTTTGAATATTTGCATAACTTACATGTTAAAGTGTTGCTATTTCAATTTCAACATTTGCATTATCAAAATAACAAATAGGCGAGACATATCTCTGTGTTAACAGTTTATTTTTACTTTTGCCCCATAATTATTTTACAATCTAAAAAAGACAACAAAATTAGTATTTAGTAGTGTTTTAATACCTTTCCAAAAGAGAACAAAAAACAGGAATCTTGTATAGGGAAACATCATTATGAAAGCTCCGTTGTTTTACAGTTATTTACTGGTTTAAGAGCACCTGCCAGAGGTCTTTTGTTGTTTGGTCCACCAGGAAATGGAAAAACAATGTTGGTGAGTAGTCTTTAAGTTATGTTAATTGCTGTGAGCGTTTACCAAATTCATTACATATTGGTTCAGTCTTTAATGATTGATTCGAAAAGTATTTTTGCACAAATGAATTTATGCATTATGTTGCTGATAATTGACCAATCAAAATTGATGTTAGATATGAATTATATAGTTGTCAGAATTACTATGTAACAGGAAAGCATGATTTGCCTTCCAAAATTAATTACATTATTAGCCAAGAGATTTGATCCTGACACCCCTGGCACAGTTAGCCATTGCCAACTTAGCAAAAATTGTAATTAATAAGGGCTGCTTATGGAGCACTTCTACACTACCCCCACCTCAACAATTCAAAATGATTATTTATAACTTGTATAAATACACTTTCTATTGTTAGAAACAATGCTTGTATGACTTCATGCTTCATCTTGTAACTTGTACGTCATGTTGTGTAGTGTCACATGGCATTCTTATGTATTATCATTAACTGTTTTGAAGAATAATATATTTCTTCTATATTGTTGCTATCAGTCAAATTTTTGCATACTATGAAATATAAAATTAGTATCTGCAGAAAACAATAAATCTGTTTGTTTTTTTGTTTATTTCAGGCAAAAGCTGTTGCCAATGAATCAAGTGCCACTTTCTTTAATATTAGTGCCTCAAGTCTCACATCAAAATGGGTATGTTTAAATTAGCTTCCTTTGGATTTTAAAAATGTTTATATTTGTCAGTCCAGTTATTATGTGTAGCTTTCAGTCTGACTTAGAATGCTTTAAAAAAGGTTTAAAAAAAGTAAACAGTTCTTATTTGTAATTTTAATTATGGTATGAAAAGTTAAAGATCTCCTTAAACAGTTATGTTCAGATTTAATCTTAAAGAAATATTTCAGTGGTTATTCAGTAATTTAGGAAATTAAGTGAATTTTTATTTGTTAAATGTACATCTCTTGCAATTAATTGTACATATATGCATTAACATTTGTATACATAATTATATATGCATTAACACTCATATACACAATTAGGTAGAGTAAATGTATTGAATTATGTAGGTTGGTGAAGGAGAGAAGTTAGTTAGAGCTATGTTTACCTTAGCCAGAGAATTGCAACCATCAATTGTTTTCATGGGTAAATATGAAGAAATTATTCCAGTGTTATAGCAATATACAAGAGTCATGATTAAGGATGTGCAAGAAAACCTTGTCCATTATTAGCTCATCTTACCAAAGGCCGGTATGAGCTTCTGCTATCACTTGTTGTCTGTTCTTTATAAACACTTTCAAAGATCTTCTCATCTGTAACTACTGAACCAGTTGAACACAAAACTTCTCAGACATGTACAATAATAGCAAAGTAAGCACATCAGCAACTGTTTTTTTAATCTACAATATGTATTTCAATCATTGAATCATTTTACATTTAGATGTGCAGTTCAAAGTTGAAGGAATCTGCAGATTTGCATATATTATGATGAATGGAAAAATATTGAACTTTATTTTCTTGTAGATGAAGTTGATTCTCTTCTATGTGAAAGAAGAGAAGGAGAAAATGATGCTAGTCGTAGATTAAAAACAGAATTCTTAGTACAGTTTGATGGGGTAAGATAACATAATTCTATATTGATGTACTGTAGTTTACTAAAACAGGAAAAAGTTGTTTACTTGGTCTAGGAAAATTCTGTCTATTGATACAAGAATTAGGCATGATTGGAACACTTAAGAGTTTGGTGGTGTATATTCCAGCTGATATTTTACTCTTTTGAATGGTCAGATTAGCAACAAAAACAGTTTATAATTTTCTTCATAGTTTAAAAAAAAATGGGTTCAGATTCTTAATAGTTCTCATTCTTCAGTTTGTTTTATTGGGATATGTCAGTTGTAGTCAAATACTTAAAAAAAATACAGTGCACTTTCTACAACACTTGCATTGAATCTAGATCATCTCTTTGATGTCTACTTTCAAAATTATGAATTTAAACCCCTATGTCAGCAATTGTTACACCTGTTGCCTTTAACTGTAGCTACATATAAATGTACCGATATTACAATGATCATTGTCTTAGATTTAAGCAAATATTGATTAATTAACATGACTTCTATTACAAATATTTTTTTTTACTCTTTTCTGTAACGTTCAAACCCCAATAAATTATTAATTGATTGAATTACTTGAATGTAGCTTTTGAAACTCTAAAATATTCCATCTTTAATCACATTTGGAAGGGGAAAACAACATGCAAAGGAATAAAAAAATGATTGATGAATGTTGTTTGTCTACATTAAATTTATGATCATATTATGTAGGTGACAGGTTGTTCTGATGATAAGATACTGATTATGGGAGCTACAAACAGACCACAGGAATTAGATGATGCTGTACTTAGGTTGGTAATGTGAGAAATACAATTTTTATGACTTATTTACCATTGGTTTTTAGTTCACTCTAACAACATATGAATAAAAGGAGTGTGTCAATTTTACTGCAAACCAACAACACAATCATTAACATGGTTAATGACTATTATTTTTAGCTCACCTGGCCCAAAGGGCCAAGTGAGCTTTTCTCATCACTTGGCGTCCGTCGTCCGTCATCGTCGGTCGTCGTCGTCGTTAACTTTTACATTTTGAACTTCTTCTAGAGAACCACTGAATGGAATGAAACCAAATATGGCATGAATGTTCCTTATGAGGTGCTGACCAAGTGTTGTTACTTTGTAGCCGATCCATCATCCAAGATGGGCGCCAGCGGGGGACTTAGTTTAACATAGGACCCTACGGGAAATACATACAAATGTCTTCTTTTAGAGAACCAGTGAATGGAATGAAACCAAACATAACATGAATGTTCCTTATGAGGTGCTGACCAAATGTTGTTACTTTGCAGTTGGTCCATCATCCAAGATGGCCGCCAGCAGGGGACTTAGTTTAACATAGGACCCTATGGGAAATGCATACAAATGTCTTCTTTTAGATAACCACGTAATGGAATGGAACCAAACATGGCATGAATGTTCCTTATGAGGTGTTGACCAAGTGTTACTACTTTGTTGCCGATTTACTGTTCAAGATGGCCACCAGGATATTTTATTAAATAACGGGACCAATATTAAAACCAACTTTGGCCTCAATCATTATTTGGGTATCTGTTATGATTTTTATCTATCTTTACATGATTTCTAAAACCAAAGTAGAGTCAGGTGAGTGACACAGGCTCTTAAGAGCCTCTAGTTTTTTAGGCCTGCACATTTCATAAAAGTTTAAACATAAAATGACCAGGCATACAGCATTTTAAAGTAGGAACGAAGATTTTTTGGCCTGCAGTCAGAAAATGTCTTCCTGCTGATTGTAACCATGTAAATAAGAATGTTAAGATTGTATTTATCTTAAAATATACCTATAAACCCTTAAAAAGTAATAAATTGTTATAATCATACTCTTTACAGGAGATTTGCTAAAAGAATATATGTACAAATGCCATTGAGAGAAACCAGAAGATCCATGTTGAAACATTTATTATCTAAACAAGGAAATCCATTGTCAGATTCAGAATTAAATCAAATAGCAAGGTAATGTTTTAGTATTAGGAAATATTCCCTATTTTTATGCACAGAACATAGCACAACTGTATTATCTTGTTACATGTTTTTGACATTGCTTTTTCCTGCTGACTAAAAGCACACTTTTTAGAGTAACCAGTCAAAATGATTATGTATGGTAAAGATTGTCCTAGTGAATTCAGTGTGATGATTATCACGAAACTAATGCTGATTTATATGAAATTATTGCTAGGTGAATAAATGAAGTTATCAATAAGTGTTTATTTGAGATCCATTTATACAAGACGGCTTAGACCTGGTATTAACAAATGAAATAAATGCATCTAATATCTCCGTGTGAATTCCACATATGAATATGTATGCTTGATAAACTAAAGAAATTGTTATCTTTTCACAAGAAAGCCTAGTTTTAGTAAATATTATAAGTTTCAATTCACAGCTTTAATTTTTCAGATCTTTAAAGCTTTACCTTTAAACATTTTATTTTGATATAGATATAGTGTTAAAAAGAAAACTTCATTATTGTTTAGGCATTATTTTGTTGCAATGTATTTCTTTGCATTACAGATATTTTGTAAATGTATATTAAAAAAGATTTGAGAGGAGAGCATTTTTTTCAACGGTAAACATTACTGCTGATAACATTTACATTATGTAGAATCTTTTTTAATTTCAGTTTGACTGAGGGTTATTCAGGCAGTGATTTAAATGCTTTAGCAAAAGATGCAGCATTAGGGCCAATCAGGGGTAAGCTTTGTTATTATAGATTATAGATGCAACTTAAGTATGCATGTCTGCCTTTTGATTCCAGCACTACTTTTACTCTTGATTATCATATTGGTTTGTTACAAATAGTGAGTGATAAACCAGTAGTAAATTTTAGGTCTGTCCATTAAAGTTTTAAATGACAATATCCTAGTCATCCCAACATAGACAAAATAACTTGGATATCTTCATCAGACCATATCCTAGTCATCCCAACACAGACAAAATAACTAAAGATATCTTCATCAGACCATATCCTAGTCATCCCAACACAGACAAAATACCTTGGATATCTTCATCAGACCGTATTTCAGTCATCTCAACACAGACAAAATAACTTGGATATCTTCATAAGACCATATCCTAGTCATCCCAACACGGACAAAATAAATTTGATATCTTCATCAGACCATATCCTAGTCATCCCAACACAGACAAAATAACTTCGATATCTTCATCAGACCATATCCTAGTCATCCCAACACAGACAAAATAAATTGGATATCTTCATCAGACCATATCCTAGTTATCCCAACACAGACAAAATGACTTAGATATCCTCATCAGACCATATCCTAGTCATCCCAACACAGACGACATAGCTTGGATATCTTCATCAGACCATATCCTAGTCATCCCAACACAAACAAAATACCTTGGATATCTTCATCAGACCATATCCTAGTCATCCTAACACAGACAAAATAACTTGGATATCTTCATCAGACCATATCCTAGTCATCCCAACACAGACAAAATAAATTGGATATCTTCATCAGACCATATCCTAGTCATCCCAACACAGACAAAATAACTTAGATGTCCTCATCAGACCATATCCTAGTTATCCCAACACAGACGACATAAAATAACTTAGATATCCTCATCAGACCATATCCTAGTTATCCCAACACAGACGACATAGCTTGGATATCTTCATCAGACCATACCCTAGTCATCCCAACAAAGACAAAATAACTTAGATATCTTCATCAGACCATACCCTAGTCATCCCAACACAGACGACATAGCTTGGATATCTTCATCAGACCATATCCTAGTCATCCCAACACAGACAAAATAAATTGGATATCTTCATCAGACCATATCCTAGTCATCCCAACACAGACAAAATAACTTGGATATCTTCATCAGACCATACCCTAGTCATCCCAACACAGACAAAATAACTTGGATATCTTCATCAGACATGGTTAATTGTTTTGTTTTCAAGATCTTGGATCAAAGTAAATGATATAGTACCAACTTGATAAAGTCTAGTCAGTGTACATTCTTGCACACACAGATACATGAAGTAACAAAATTTAGTTGATACTAAGGGGAAAGATAAACGTTTTTGCAGGGCCAAAATATGTTACAAACTTGTCTTGTTTAAAGAATAGGGACTAGAAAGGATTTGTTTATCATACAACTTTGTTGTCTTTACATACTTTACATATTTATAAGTATTTTTTTTAGTTTTTTAGTATTTAATAATTTTATCAGTCAGTTAATCTTGACAGTTCAGTTTGAGACAGAGTTATTTACAAAATTAGAGGAACTGTCAATAAAGACCTCTGGATGTAAGATTTTTAGTTTTCAATCACTTCAAAATAATATATAAATCTCTAATAAATAATTTTACTGTGTTATTAGATTTATCTGCCAGTGAAGTTAAAACAGTACAAGCCAGTAATGTAAGTATCAGATAGAGTTTGATTTAAAAATATTAATTTTTCCGTTATTGATCCTGTTATATTTTGAAATGTTTTTATTTTTAATTCTGGCAAAACATTTTGTACATCAATTAGAAAAACATTTCAGCAAATTGCATTTAAAATCATAGGAAATAATGGAAAATAAATTGCTAGAATTGAACTTGCTTGATTTGGGTTAACACCACTGAGTTTTCACATTGACATCATCTGCTCTCAAAATACATGGTCAAAATTAACCAAAATTGAAATGAATGATTCAGGGGTAATATATTGAAAATTATTGATAGAAAAAATTCCTTTTCCTTTCATTTTGGTGAAAAATATGACTGCCATAGTATAAGTATATTCCTTATAGTTTTTATTTTGACCAAAACATGGACTGCAGGGAAAATACATGATTGTGGTTGATCAGTATTCAAATATCTTTCTGTAAAAAGTCAAAATTTTGACAAGGGTATGATATTTTGGAAAAAAAATTACCTACTAAACATATACAGACTGAATAAGCATTCTGGGTTTGATGAGTTTCTATTTTTGATTTTGGACATACATAATATCTGACCAATTCATGCTGATTTGCAGCCTTGCCCTTTTTATAAAATATTATATGACTACAAGATTTTGTGGTCATATAGTGTGTATTTGTTATCATTATAAGTCTGTAGAAACAGTTTGTGTGTTTACATAATAAATTTAGTTACAGTTGAAATTGTATTTGAGTTTCATAGAGGTTGATTGATCCTTATGAAGAGTTTTTTATCGACTGTACATCTTTGTTTCAGGTTAGGGGGATCAGTGTAGAAGACTTTTTACAATCATTACAAAGAATAAGAAGAAGTGTGCCTCAGGGGACTTTACAGAAATATGAGGAGTGGAATAGAGACTATGGAGCTGTTGCAGTGTGACAAAACTTATAAAATATGATATGCTGTTCTATACTCATTATGTCAGTGGTTCTTTTCACAAAATATTATGACTAAATATGATCGGAAGCCAGAATTAAATGTTTATTACTTTTTTTCTAATAATGGTATCTTAAATACAGTTCATCAGCATCTTCAAAACTATTTTGGTTCAAAGCAGCCATTTTGATTTGATAAAGTTCAATATTGAAGAAAATCAACTGTTTCACCATTATAAGGACTAAAGAAGAGCTCTGTATAAGAACTATGTTTAGTATAAATTTTTCTGAGATCATTAAAAAAATGTTTAATAGAAATGCTTTTATATACTATATAAGTGGATTTTTCTTGAAGAACATACTTAAATGTTAATTTTGAAGCAGCAAGATTGTAATGTATGTAGGCTAATAGGAAAAACTTAGTGAATTTGTTTGACCAAACTTTTAAAAAATTGGAAAATGAGATGAAAGATTGAATATCAAATTATAAATGAACTTTGTAATAGATATCTTGCTTTAAAAGGGAACAGTATATAGATGGTAACATTCCAATTCAGTCATATAAAGATTTCATTTATGTTTGTACTGTGCAATTTATTTGTATACTCATTGCATTTAATAACATTTAAAATACTGTTAATGAGTTAGCTGTATAAAATTATCCAATATTTGTTGTAGGAAGCTTTACTTACTGTACAAAAGAAATGTACATCTGTTAACAAACATTTGATGTAAAACCTGTTGTTCATCATTGTAATAGCAATAATATGTTAACAATATTGTTTTTAAAAATATATACCCATTAACGGGTTCTACTGACAAACTGCTATATGTATTTACATTTCTTCCACTATGAAATGCCCGGTACCAATACATGTTTTTTTTTTCATATTCATAAATGAATCAACATAATTTTAGCTATGCAATTTTTTTTCGTGAAGAATATTTCGCATAAATTTTCACATTAAATGCTTACTTACATTTGTATGCGGAATCAGGATTAAGTTATTATTGTCCTCAAATGTGAACTTTTTTAAATACATGTATTTGCATTTTGATAGCTGTTTGCACTTGAATTTATGGACTATTTCCAACACATGAAAATGCATTTTTTCCTGTAGTTATATCTGTTGTTAACCCTCTTTCATTTAGTTAGGTGTACATTGATTCAAACTAAAATCTGTGCCTATAAGTTTGTATACAGTATCTCACAGTAGTACTTTTGATAAAATGGTAAATAGTTTTTTAAATATTTTTAAAGTGAAAACTGTCCAAACTGAACACCTCTTTGACTGATGATTTTGTTTGTGTAAGATAGGTACCTGGTTCAACATATTACTCAAACAATTAACTGAATGTTCTGATCCAGTTTACACAGGTTTCCAGTATAAGCAGAATTTGGTTTAGACGGGTTTTTCAACAGTATTTTTTCTCCCTTGCCAATCCCATTCCCCGCCGACAAGATTATATTGACAATCTAGTCATAAAGTTCTGCAATGCTTTTTACATGTTTATTTTGTGTGTGTGTGTGTATTTGATGTATTACTGTTTATATAAAAGTGCATATGCTATGTTGATGTGTTTTTACAATGTATGATCATGTATTACATTGTAATTGGTTAGATAGTTGTAAGACATATTTTGTATTGTATCCACACGGCAGCTTGGTTATGGTTCATGGACAAATTTTGCTTTCATTCATTACCAGGTTGTAAGTGGGAGAAATTCAGAGATTTTTCCAAAGTAGAAGATTGAATTCCTTTCCATAAGACTGGTTTTCAACGGGAAATTTCCAAATTAAAAAAAAGATTGTGGACTCCAACAACATAATGCAAGTTGACACAACTTCTTATATAAGTTAATTAAAGTTTTTTAATACATTCATATGAACATATACAGTGGTAATAACTGGATGATTCCTTTGATGATACCAATTAAATGTTTTGAATCGACATGGCTGTTAACATTTTCTTGACCCTAAATAGCACAGCAATTAAAGAAAGTAGACCTTAGTTAGAGGATATAACACTTTAAATCAGGTATGTTACTGTCAGTTTCATTAATGCTCTTTAAGCATTCGTGTGAAACAGAGTTAAACAATCTATGTTACTAAGAAGCTAGGAATTTATATATGAAAATGGCTGACACAAACATACAAGTAATTTTCAAGAGTTGTGTCCCCTTAGTTTACCTCCTAAAGTCATACATGAGTCTGATTAGATGAATTCAGTAATCTATGATCAAATTAGTGGTCTGTTCTACCTGGCATGTTGTTTAAGTATGTTTTGAAATGTTTACTATGTGTACTATGTATACTTGTTAAAACATTTTTCTATGAGTCAAGGTGATACACTGTTTTGTTTCATGATATTATCTGTTTGCTATAGGTATCAATACTTGACATCCAGTATGCTTTATTTTGTTATATTTAAATATACATGAATAGATGGAAATTTTCTTGTGTCAGCTTACTACCTCATTATTTTCGCTGCTGTAAATTCAAAAATTAATGTGATGTATTGTTTTCTTGTTAATGTGAAAAACAGTTTCACAGGATGACCATCACAATAGTAATACTAACATTGTAGATCTATTATCAGTGGTCACAGGATGACCATCACAATAGTAATACTAACATTGTAGATCTATTATCAGTGGTTTAAGATTCACAATATTAAATGTTCACATTAAGTTCTGAATTAACAGTATTTTTAATGTGACAAGTTGTCAGGTAATATAATCATGTTAACATCCATGCAGATTTTGTTCCAGTTTCATTAAAAAACAGATATTTAGAACATAAAATTGATTTACCTCAGAACTATAGGTAAATATATACAGAATGAATATGGATGAAATATGCAGTAAACTGTAAGCCAACTTATTTTCGTGGATCCTTTTTTTTTCTTGTTGCCCTTTTTAGTCTATTTCGCAGCAACATTTTTTCGTAATTTTCTAATGTCCATATTTTATTCATATGAGAGAAGATCCAAGTTTTACATATTCACAAAGATTTATATTTGCATTATTTTTCTACTTGTAAAATTGAGAAAAATTCTTTTCACTTCATATTTCATTCCAATTATTACCCATTTGATGGCACTGCTAAGATAAATAAGAGATAAAAGAAATATGAAACAGCAGGGGGAAAAGATAAGATGATAGGGGGAAGGGTAAACTTAAGGAGTACCAGTATCAAGTCTGCATTCCATTGTATGCAAAAGAAATGGCTACCCAGTAAATTATACATAGTCAAATCTTTATAAATTAAAAACTTTAAAAAATTGAAAATTTATTAGAGCTGAGGTTTGAAGATCACTTGTTAAAAATGACCATATGCCTATTAGACAAGAGCGGTCAGTTCAATCTGATACATTATCTCTGTTGTTTTATGAATTTTGTATTAAAATATGTGAAAGTGAAGACAGCCTACAAAAAGGAACGAAATACCATTCAAAACATGGAATATACTGGAATTATGTCTCTTATATTTGAATTTTTATTGAACCTGGAATATACTCTTCTGGCAAAATATGTGAAGTTTTTGTGACTATTGGTGTATAATATTGTTTATATGTTAGTGCAAAAAAATGATTTATTAACACACTTATATATATTTTGTAATTGTGTTTTCTGTATTTTTTTGTATGAATTTTTGGTTTTACCTAAATATATAATACACAATCACAGTGACAAAATACAATTGCATTTTATACTTGTAACAAAGATGTGAATTTTTTTGGGTTAAAATCATGTATTCAAAATGAAGGCATACTGTACTTTAAAAATAGTTTGATTTTATGATAAGCATTTTTAATTGTTTTCAGACATATCATTGGTTTATAGTGTCATAAGTACATGGTTCCTTTTACCAATATACAGTCAAGATAAACTGAAAAATTGTAATCATATGTTAAACAAATTTCTGGGCTTTAATAATGAATCACAAAATTACCAAAGTTGGATGCCATCAATGGAAATACTTTTTTGTTTGTTTACATTTTTCATAGTTTCATTCATCTTCGGTGTTACATAATCAGATGTTTATTCAATAAGTTATGTTTTATATTAATAAATAAGTTCTGAAATGCTTTAAGTGTGTATTTTTTTATAAGAAATGAAAAGAAATGGAGTCATTTTTCATTAGGCAAAGACTTTAAAAGAAGCTACAAAGATGAGGACATGATGATTGAAAAAAATCAGCAAGCATAGGGATTATGATGATGGATGGCTGCTTAACATCCAATGGCAAATTAATATGCATATTCAAGACAAGAACATGTTAATGCAATATGAATATTAACCCTGCTTAGTACTAGACCGACACGCTGAGCCAGATTTTTAACATGCTAGTTCTCAAGGTAACAGTCTGCAGGAAGACATGTCACCTTACCCGGACACATTATTCTGACTCCGAGCCGACCAGTCTTTGCTTTTACTCCTTAATGCTGGGTGCTTAGCGGAGAATCAGGAAATACCAATTTTAAAACCTTTGGTTAGACCCAGCCAGAGTTCAACTCAGGACCTCCTGTACTCCAGGTGACCACGCTTCCTGGAGACCACTGAGGCGGTGTAAGCATAGAGAAACAGCCTGAAAAAAAACTTCTCAATACTTGGTAGCTCAAAGAACCAAGGTATCAAAGCTGTAAACAAATCTGTAGGTAAGTCTGGACTTCTAATACAAATTGTTAATTAACAGACATAAATGAACAACTGTGTGATTCTGGGCATGAAAAAAGGATGGATGAATTTATAATGTCCAGAGAGCAATCTTTTAAATGTGCTCAATATAATGTTGATGTGATATGAATTTAAATCATGCTTTATACTAGATCAACATGCTGAGCTGAATTTTTAACATAGCAACCCCAAACGTAACAGTCCATAGGCAGCCATGTCTTCCTACCTGCACACATTAGTCTGAATCTTAGCTTGACTTTGCTTACTTGTACATGATACAAGCTTAGTAGAAAAGCAGAAAAAAATTAATGTTTAAGTCCTTGCTTTGACATTGTTGGGGATCCAGCTTATGAACTCCTGCATTTATAGCATGTATGCTATCACATGAACATCATTGGATATCACAGTGGTGATTATGCTGTTTTGCTATTTTTATACCCCTGCTGTAGGCAATGGGGGCATTAAGTGTTACTCTTGACCCTTCATCCTTCCGTCCGTTCTTCAATCCTTCCTTCAGTCTGTCTTTCTGTCCATCCTATTTCTGTTTCCACACTCTAACTTTAGTTTGCATCATGCAAATTTTACAAAACTTATACACAATGCTAAGAACCACAACACGCAGACAGAGTTCAAATTTGGATTGTGAGTTATTTACTGTTCTAGAGTTATGTCCCTTTTCAAGTTTGAGCGCATTTGTGTCCTCAGACACATTCTTTTATTTATCAAATTTTTACTTTTTTTATTTTGCAACATAATATTCTTATGAATGATATATAGATGTGTTTATCACATATTCATGAAAATTAAAGACAAAATTATTTGAGGTGGAAACAAAACTCAATTTTATGAACCAATAATTTTTTTTGAAATGTGATGCTTTTGAGATCATCTGAATAAGTTGTGTCAATTAAGGTTACTGAACGTAACCAAATCATTTAAGAAGTAGAATTGAGAATGGAAACAGGGAATGTGTGGTTGAATAGGGTGAATACAATTGCATCAATTGTACTCTGAAATCAATTGAACAGAATGTGCCAATTTAACTTGATCGTACCAGGTAAGAAAGACAGGAATAGAACAATTATGTAAATTGAATCATTTTTATACGACCGCAAAATTTTTTGCGGTTGTATATTGGTATCACGTCGTCGTCGTCCGAAGACATTTGGTTTCCAGACAATAACTTTAGTAAATGTAAATAGAAATCTATGAAATTTAAACACAAGGTTTATAACCACAAAAGGAAGGTTGGGATTGATTTTGGGGGTTATAGTCCTAACAGTTTAGGAATTAGGGGCCAAAAAGGGGCCCAAATAAGCATTTTTCTAGTTTCCAGACAATAACTTGTGGAACGGTATATGGATCTCTCTGAAATTATACCACAAGTTTCCATACCACAAAGGGATGGGTTAGGATTGGCTTTGGGGGGTTGTGGCTCAAACCGTTTAGGAATTAGGGGCAAAAAAGGGGCCCAAATAAGCATTTTCCTAGTTTCCAGACAATAACTTGTGGAACGGTGTAAGGATCTCTCTGAAATTATACCACAAGTTTCCATACCACAAAGGGATGGTTAGGATTGGCTTTAGGGGTTGTGGCTCAAACCATTTAGGAATTAGGGGCAACAAAGGGGGAAAAACAAGGGTTTCCTGGTTAATGGACAATTAAAAAAAGTACAATGTTATGTTTGGATTACATCCCTTACACTGCTTTTGAATTATGTATAAAGAAATGTTGTATTGTCTTGAGGTGATTAGCTGTCAATTTATTTATAGAAGTTACTATTTAAAAATGCTGATTAAGGAATATTAATTTTAGCCATGATTATGTATGTCATTTTCTATTTTAAGACTTTTATGATGTATTTTAAAGGGTAATTATGGTTGCAAACTCCATATGAAATTTGAATTGAGATTATGACCATATCTTGAGGGAAAGAAATTTTTTTTTTAAAAGGGGGGGGGGGGGGGGGGAGGTGAAAAAAAAGGGGGGGGGGGTAAAAAAAGAAATTGTGAGGGGGGACAATTTTTTCTCATTTCAGATTTCAGAAATTAAAAAGAAAATGTTTTCAAATATTTTTTTTTTCTTGCAAAAAAGGGGGGGGTCAATTCGCAACAGCATAGTGTATTGCACAAAAGCAAAACATTTAATATAAATTCAAATCATATAACCAATTCTAAGTTCTTTGACTACAGTTATTCTGTGTCAGAAACCTATTATGTGTCAAATATTTAATTACAATCCAAATTCAGACCTGTATCAAGCACGAATATTGTGTCCATTTTTGCCCCAACTGTTCAGGGTTGGACCTCTGCGGTCGTATCCAGCTGCGCTAGGCGAAGCAATTTATTTTAAAGATTAATTGTGTCAATTTGACTCCATGATATACAATTGTGTCAATTTGACTCCATGGTATACAATTGTGTCAATTTGACTCCATTGTATACAATTATGTCAAATGCATTAATAAGTGTGCTATGAGGAGTGCAAATCCACCAAAGTCATGCTAAGAAGGTCTTAACAACTTTTATAATACTAAATAGGAGATATAAAACATTTTATTTTACATCATTTGAATCATTTACGTCAATCTAGACATCTGTATTTGCGCTTACTGGCGTCCCCTAACATGCAATGGAGATGTAGGCTAACATTTTGTTCGTCAGAACAATGGTCTTTACACTAGTACTTTAAATGTTATGCAGTGAATTGTTTACGACTCGAAAGTGAAAGACATATCAATTGATCAGAAAATTCATATAAAACACTAGACAGTGCCCCAACAAGTCCTAAAAAGGGTTGTTAGACGTCATAGTAATCTCGAGTTACCTCTTCTCCAACCCCCAACCCCCCTTTAACCCATTAAAAGTGCAATATACTCAACACAGATGAGAAAACATCGGTTTTCAGAGCATTTGGGAGAAGTATTGATCTCGCTAAGGCGATTCTGAAAAAAAAGTGTTACTTATTTATTATTTGATAATGCTTAAGTATCAAAAATGTTTTGCAATGTTTATCCATATGGACTCAAAACCATTGTTATGAATGTACATGCATGCAATACGCCATATATGTGCTAATTGCAATCAGAGTGACAGTAGGGGGCATTGTTTTACACGTATGGTTTAATAGATATGAATTCGTAAATGCACAAAGTCGTGTTTTCTCAAACTGTTTATGACTTCTTTGCACTAAATCTGTTGGGTGTGTACTCATTGATACTGTCGTCTGGGAGAAAACGATTTATTCATTAGTTATTATTAGCTTTGAGCTAGCTTTCAGTAACTGTAAGTACTCTTAGATCGGCACTTTGTTTCTTTTGTCTTTATGATAGTTGTTTTATGTGCATCGTGCCAGTTTGATGAACTTGCAAGCCATTTCCAACTGTTTTTTACAGTTTTTCGTATGCTGTGTTGTAACACCAGTGTACCAGGTAAGACAAGAGTTGCACACACGCAGACATGTTTAACCCCTCCACATTCTGTAAGAAGCCTGTAATTCAATTGTTGTTGCTGGTTGCTGTCGGTCATATTGGATTGTTTTTTTTCATTTTGTCAAAAATCTGGCCGTAAGTTTTTTTTCGTTTGAATTGTTTCACATTTTGTCATGTCGGGGTCTTTTATAGCTGACTATACGGTATAGGTTTTGCTCATTATTGAAGGCCGTACGGTGACTTATAGTTGCTTAAATCCGTTTCATTCGGGCTCTGTTAAATAATCTTCTCATTTGCAATTATACCAAATCTTCTTATCTAATATACAAGAAAAGTTGGTGATTTAAGGTCGTATGTTTTTTATATACATTATTTGGTGACTTAGTTAAGCACCAAATTAGCTAAAACTTCTATTGGGTAACTAAGTAAACCACCAAACATTGAAACACTAATGTTTTTAATCCATGTAGAACATTCAACATGATATAGGCATGTCTTTATATACAGTACCATGGCGCAGTTAGATCCAAATTCTGTTCTGAAAAAATGTGAAAAATTGGTTTAAAATCCCAGAGGAATTTTACTTTCAAAAGTTATCTCACGACCATAATGATACAAAGAAATAAAAAAAGATTTCTGTTATGGGACCAGCCTTATTAGAACATAATTTGTAAAGCAGGACAACTTAATCATGAAGTTATCTAGACTGGTCTGTTAATCACAAATAACAAATTAAAAAATGGTGACAGTTGATGACAGACATGTGTTTGATTTAATCTCAAATTTTATAGATTTAGAGATCAATTTAGTGCATGTACATAGGTCCTTTGTTTATTTTTTGTTAGGTTGCCGACTCATTGATGTACCCCCACAATCCTTTTATTCATGTGTAAGACTTTTTATATTAGTTATGAGAGTTTGCTAGGGTCCCTTATGCTCTTCAACATCTTACTTTATTTGTCCGTTTAAGCTTTTTTTTTATTCGAGCGTCACTGGTGCGTCTTTTGTAGACTACATGTATGTCTGGCGTATTTATCCATCCCTCATCCCTAACAACAAAAAGACACTAAGTACAGATCTGAGAGTACTCTCAGTTACTGACAACTAGTTCAAAGCCAATAAAAACTAATAAAAAAAATCATGTATCTAAGACTAAAATATCAATCAGTAAGTTTGTTTTGGGTTTGTAGGATACTGGTATGTAAAAATGCAGATTCCACTCTGACTAGTACTATTTTTGATTCATTAGCATATATGCACATCAATGTTTCCAGTCAGGTAGTCAATACTCACGGAAGACACTTTACACAATTCGTTGTTTACAATTTAGAAAAACAACACTCACAATACGTACTGCATACTAAAATGCATTTAAAAACATCATCTCAAGGCATGTATGCCTATACCGGGCAATCAATATTTTCCAAATTAAGTAACAAAGGGGGGGCAGGAAAAATCTATTCGAATTAAGCTTATGCAGTACGTATTGTGAGTGTTGTTTTTCTGAATTGTAAACAATGACGTGTCTTCCATGTGTATCCTACATTGAACTTTTGATGCAAAGACACTTTTCTCTGAAAAAAATCACCTATTTACTTTAATATAAAAGTATATACTAATAGGTATTTTTTTAGAGACAAGTGCCTGTGTTAGTGATATCGGTCCCTAATAAAAGTGTAAACCAATTTAAAGAAAAAAAATCAGCTGAGGATAATTTAAAATGATTTAAAAGAAATTACAAGATAGAGGTATATCCAAGACACGATGTAGGAATGTGTGCAACTTTTAAAAGTTAAAAGGTTTGGAAACAACAAAATTAGTGTCATTTTGAGTGCTGCATTTAAAAATAATCCGGAAAATTTACGTTTCACGTACGAGTATGAAGGGAAATTTATTTTTGAACTGGTTTACCGTATGCAATCATAACTGATTTGGTTGCGGAAATTGTCACAGGAACAGATTCAACTGCAAAAGAAATTAACAGGAAAGTTGGACTTTACCCCTTTTATCTAAATGCATGGATTAAGGCATATAACGAGAAAAATACTGAATTGTACGTAGAAAATACATCCAAACAAAGAGAATAAAAAAAATAACTTAAACAATTTAAAACTTGAACAGGAGATATTTACGAGTTCTGCCAAGTTATCTTTTACAGTTTTTGGCTACATCAGAAAATCGCTCCGGACTCAGAACACAGGCACTTGTCTCAGAAATTTTTTTCCTAAATACCTTATATAACACAAGGTACTTAACTCACATTTTTTAAAAACGTCACCTGGTCGTGAACTTCCATTATATTTTCGATTTCTCTGTTTTCTACCCCACTAAAACTTGTTATGCCTTAATTGTAAATTGATTTATCCACACAATTGTGTATAACACACCAACCTTTGTTGTCGGAATCATTTGTAGCAGGCCTTCCCAAGTATGTCAACTGTAAATTATTTCGTCTTCCCACAGCCAATTGGAAATATAATTTATTAATTATAAGACTCACACATTTGTCACAGTTAATGATTAATTATAAAAAGTATTTCCAAAAAATCTGTTAGTTTTTGTCTGAATAGAACTTATCATCCAGATAGTAAATTTGTGAAAGATTCTGTGAAAAAAAATCAAACAAGTGTTATTTGAGGTATGTCTAATGAGTTAGAGTTTCTATTTTTAGACTCAAGTTTTCCCATTACATGATACATCTATCATTCAGAATCTCTCTGGACTTTACATATAAAATGAGATAACTCCAAGAAACATTTATTTTTAGCAATACAATTTGACCAATAGGAAACTGAGATATATATAAGAGAGGGGAAAGATACCAAAAGGACAATTATAATTAATCATTTACTGCGAGTCTTATATTTCCAATCGGCTGTGGGAAGACGAAATAATTACGGTTGACATACTTGGGGAGGCCTGCTACGAATGATTCCGACAACAAAGGCAGTGTGTTATACACCATTGTGTGGATAAATCAATTTAGATTTACGGCATAACAAGTTTTAGTGGGGTAGAAAACAGGGCTTCCAAAAAATATTTGAGCCAGCCGTACATTTTATGTATTATCCCGATTTTAATCCCTTAAGACTAAGTAACAAAAGGCAATTATGGTAATTAGTTGGGTAACACGAATCACCAAATAACACCGTTATTAGCCAAATAACACTTGTAATCACCGAATAACACTTGAAATTTTAATATTAGCACATATTGGTGACATTTAAACATTGATAATTAAATAATATTGTATTATAAGTGTATTTTATAACTTAAAAATGATTTATAGAAAGCAGGTAAGTTCATAAAGATCGCATTAAATATTAGTGTGTACATCCAACATGGCGACCAAGGAAAACACAATGGGAAGAATAAAAGAATGATTGCATACAATCCCTCAACGTGTTCATTTTAGACCACTAATGTGGAGCCCTCACGCCACGTCAAGGCAATGAACAATGTGAGGGTGGGCGCCTCCCCTTTTAAAGAAAATATGGAATATTGAACTGTTTACAATAATAAATTATTTTTTTTTATAGTTATTAAAAAAATAATATTATAATCAAAAATTTCTACTTTGAAATAAAATATCTGTGTATTATTTATTTTTTTTTTAGTTTAAAAATGGAGAGTAACCAAGCCCTTTTAAAACTACTAAGATATCCTGCACAAGGCACAGGCTTATCTGTTATAGTCCTCGAAAACAATTTATTTAGAAATTATTGTAAAAAATTAAAACTACTAAGATATCCTGCACAAGGCACGGGCTTATTTATCGTAGTCCGCGATAACAATTTATTTAGAATTTATTGTAAAATATTAAAACTACTAAGATATCCTGCACAAGGCACGGGCTTATCTGTCATAGTCCGCGAAAACTATTTAGAATTTTATTGTGAAAAATTAAAACTACTAAGATATCCTGCACGGGCTTATCTGTCGAATGTCTTTTGAATTTTGCAAAAAAAAAGTATTTTATTAAACAGAAAAAACTCATATCAAATAAGTTTAAATAATTTTTTTTTTTATTTTTATTTTCTGAAGAAAAATTTTATTATTTTAAATAATCAAAAATTCTTTGTGAAACAATAAAGCTTATTACACTTTTACAGAAGATATAGTTAGGAAGTACATATATTGTATATAGTTGTAAATATTTATTTGTGTTCTTTTTTCTTAATTATTATTATTGGTTTTGGTAATGCAGCCTTGGTATACCAAGACAGTCACAAGCCTGTTTAATGCAGAGTGTCCATACGTAATATAATTTCATTATCATTTAATGATTAATTATGTAATGGGCATGTGTCAGTAAACAACAATCTAATTAACAATATGATAGAATTGTAAGGTAATAAATATTTTGATTATTGGGAACTTGGCATTATCACAATTAAATTATCTAATTGGCAAAAAATATTTCATTATTAAACTTAATTTAATGTATTAAAATGGATGAACATAGCAATAAAAAAAATTAAACTTCTATACTATGAACATGATGAATATTATTTTTTTTCCCTTTACTTTTATTCCTGAATTATGTATTAAAATGGATGAACATAGCAATAAAAAAATAATTAAACGTCAATACGAAGAATATTATTTTTTTTCCTTTACTTTTATTTCTGAGTTTTTAGTAAATTAAGTAAATTGAATATACAAATGTATATTGCCAAAGAAAATAAAATAAGAAACAAGTTAAATATAATCGAATTAGTGAAATTAATGTCTTCATTAAAATTAAATATGTACAATTTCACATTTGTTCTTTATATATTTCATATACATTCTAATAAATATTATGTTGAAAATATACTTTATAAAATTACTTACCTTTCAATGTTTAAATGTCACCAATATGTTCTAATACTAAAATTTCAAGTGTTATTCGGTGATTACAAGTGTTATTTGGCTAATAACGGTGTTATTCGGTGATTCGAGGTACCGTAATTAGTTGGCCATCATTGATCATATATTATAACCAATGATTGATATTAAAAAAAGATATTGAACTTTACTTTGATATAAATTTGATGTTCTGACGTAAACTGTTAAATTGGCAGTGCATCATCCGAAGTGTGCAACATCAGCATACTAATATCTGCCTTAGACTCTTTATTTGTTCAAAATAACATTGACAAAAACTTTACTTTCGTTTTTAAAAACAAATTTTCCTAATACCGGATGTTGACTTGACAATGGTAAAACATAGACCAGAGACGGATACATAAAATCCGTGTAAATTTATAAAGCACGATGGAGTTTAAGTAACTCCTTCCACTTTATTTCTTCAAGAAAATACTCAAAATGAACGTTCGATAAAGGTATCAATGATAATTTTAGCATTTTTGAATAAATTAGGATGCATAATTAAATTTCTTTAAATAGACCGATCAATGTACGGTACAAAATATAGAGTACCTGTCACCTGAACAGGTAAATTTCAATTGTCCCACAACTAATTAGCCTTGATTAAAATGAGAAGGTATTAAAGTAGGGGTTGTTTTGATAGTACTTAATCATCATGTCACTTTTATGACCGGAAATGTGTGGCTGTTTAAGGCAGAAAAGATCGCATAAACTTCCAATTGAATTATGTTAAAATGACCGTCTCTTAAGAAAGTCTTGAAAACTAATAAGTAGATGTCCGTTTCATGCTTTTCCCAGGCGGACAATGTCTGGTAAATTTATAAATGTCTGGAATATATGACCGTTTTGGAAGCCATGGTAGTAAACCGAGTATGGAAATAGAACGGAAGTTCGCGACCGGGTGATATTTAAAAAAAAATGTGAGTCAAGTACCTTGTGTTATATTAAGGTATGTAGGATTTTTTTCTCAGAGAAAAGTGCCTGTGACTCAGAATCCCAAAAGGGATTACAGTTCCAACTTAATTAAAATTCTCAAAATTCTCCTCAGGAGATGGATTTATAATAGCTTTTCCAAACTTGTTTCGGATCCCATATTTGACTGTTACCATATAATGTAAAATTGTGCTATTCTTATTGTTATAATTTTTCAATAATAAATACTGTTTAAACTAAACTAATTAAATACATCTTTATGGGGCTACATGTATTTGCAGCATGCTATTTCTGTTGAATGCCATGTAATGCTTTATATCCATACCAAATGCAAGATGTACCATTAATAATAATTGTTATTATTGGTTCCCTTCATTAAAGGATTATGTGCAGTAACCCTTTCTAGATATGTACTAAGCAGAATTTCAAAGTGCCAATTATTAAACTAAAGCTTTCACAGAGAATCATGCATGGATATAATATTTATACTTCTCATTCAACAGAAAAAAACTATTGCTTACTATTCATGCTAATGTTCATGATGTTAGCATAAATTTTTAAGGAGTTTAGATCCACATTGTGTTACATCAAATCAATATTGAAATTTTTATAAATAGTTTACTTGCTTATCATTCTAATCTCTACCATACATGCCATTCTATAGTTCATATATATATTTTTTTAAATATCATGAAAGAGTGATGTTTGCTTATTGATTAGACTATTTTCTTGCACTATATAAAAATAAGGAGATGTGGTATGATTGACAATGAGACAACTCTCAGCCCAAGTTCAAATAAAGTGGATGTAAGTAATTAGAGGCAACCATACGGCCTTCAACAATGAGAAAAACCCATACCGTATAGTTGGCTATAAAAGGACCAACATCAAAAATATGTCAACTAAATCTATGATTATTTATTCTGTATTCATGGTAGTGGTGGTATGTTTTTTAAAAGGAGTATATAAGCATGTGTAATGGTACATTTTTTGATCAATTATCTTCAAAAATATATGACAAAAAAAAGCAAAGATACTGATCGAATTATTAGATATATTAATAAATGTCCTTGTTATGTTGACCTTACTGGTATGAATTATAACTGTTTCAACATGCTCAAGAGATTTCCATCAAGATAAACCTAAACATGATTCTGATTAGAAAATATTATAAGTTAATTTAACTTTACAATTTTTAAAATAAATATCTATTATAAATATGATAAAGGCTGTAGACACTTCTCTAAATTCTTTGTCCAAAACTGACAATAATGGTAAATTTCGATTAGATGCCATGGAATATTTATTATATTCATGCAAACCATGCAAAAATCAAAATTTAAATTATTTTCATTCACCATTATGACATGGTATAAATACTTTATAATTTCAGTTGTACAGGTATATGTAGCTGTAATTTCTCAGCACTTTGAAATTCTACTTGTTAATGACATAGATTTAAAAAGGGGTACACAATTCTCAAACTGAAATCAAAATATCACTTGGTCAAATAAAAATTTTGAGTTTTCATGCATTTTCTTTGTTGAAACATGGTGGTATGAGTGGAAAATTTAACTACTCTGTCTATAGCATAAAAGAAGTATGAATGGTTCAGGGCGTTTTTGGTCATTTCAATTAAAAAAAAAAAACAATAAAAAACATCTTATGTTATTACCTCTTATAATGTTGGCACCAATCACCCAACGAAGGAATATAGAAGAATTTCAGGTACTGGCCTTTAGCAATGTTTAGCTTCTTTTAAAAAATTCAATGAACAGAAATTCATAGATCTCCAAAATAATCAGTCAATAGAGAGATTTCTAAACTTAAAAAAAAGTAAGGTTAATACTGGTATGTTTAGAGTTGTCACCAATGTGGTATTGTAAGTATTGAACTTCCAGATCAGAGGAAGGACTAGTATTACTAGTGTTATCACCATCAACATACTAGAAAATGACAATACATGTACTATATAAACTTCCTCCTGGACACAGATAAGTGATACATTTTTTTTAGACATAGTGTATAGTAATTAAAATATACATTTTTACTATGGACTCTCACAAAAAATATCAAAGTGAGAACCCTGAATACATCATGTACATCATAAATTGATATTTGGAAGATTAAATTTACTTCAATTTTATGTTTGAAAATTACATGTACCATGTGTACAAGGATCTAACATATACCTGTATGTCACACTCATATTTTGAATTTTTTTGTTTTGACAGATTCTCTTGATAAGAATGCATCACTGACCTGTCTTGCTGTAAGAAAGATGTCCGGTGAAAGTTATGATTTTGAAACATTAAAGGTTTCTTCTCCAAGAGAGGATGTTGCTCATGTTGAACTGAACAGACCAGACCGGCTAAATGCTATGAACATAGCATTTTGGAGGTAATTATACGAATATGAGTATAATACATTGTATGTTTTCTGATTAAACAAGAACTATCAGCTGAAAATTTGAAATACCTACAAACAAATGCATGGCAAATCATTTGTTTGGATGCCTTCTACTGTCATTGGAAAAATTCTGGTTGTCCATCTTTGCTGGCTTGTTTATCTTAATGTTTTGCTGCTATTATATGTATACTTTTTTTGATAAAGAAGAAAAATGAAAAAGCTGTCTCATACAGACATATATTTGTTTTCATCAAACCCCCTCTCCTTTGGAGTGGGTAACTGGTTTCCATCTGTTAGTCCTTCGGTCTGTCTGAGTTTCTGTCTCTTTGTCACTGTAAAATATGGTTGCATTTTTCTTAGGAACTGCACAGCAGAGCTTCTTAAAATTTGATATCAACCTTGATATGAGTCTGCTATACTGTGTGATGAATTTTCAGATTCATTGCTCATCAACTTCCTGTAACCGAATACTTTTATATTCTTACACATGATGGCTATGTATGAAATTTTGTCTCTGTTTTCTCAGAAAGTATAAGTCAAGGCTTGACAAATTTGATTTCAAGCTTTATGTAGGCCTGCTATATCCTGGGTATCATTAGTGAGTGATAGCTCACACTTTAACTTGTTATTCATGGTTAAAAAAATTAAAACTGAAACTCTTTCTTGTAAACATGTTAAAACTGTGTGTGTTTTAAAAAAAAAAATCCTGTTATTATTATTATGGATAATGTCTTCTCTCATTTAATTGTGAAGATGATAACATACTTTTTTTCATCATCCATTGCAAAAAATGAAAGAAATGGTTTCTTTGTTTAATTTTTGTTTGAAGAGAAACATGACATTGTATCTGGCTACCAAATGCTTAATTGTATTTTGAAATTTTGCTTGACCCTTAGTCTGTCCTAGATTTTTGGTCCTTTGTTAATCACAAAATCACTTAAAACTGTATCTAGTTTATGAATAAGGAGATGTAGTTTTACATGTACTTGAATTCCTACCATCTTATGCAAATCAATCTTTTTGTCATAATGTTCAGTTTTACTAGAGTGATGGATGGCCCTTTGTAACAGAAAAAAAATGCCTAAATGCAAACCCTTCTTCTTGAAATGCTCTTGCTGAAGAGAACTTTATTTCATCTTTGTAGAGAATGCAGGGAATGCTTTCAAAGATTAGCAACAGATAAGAACTACAGAGTGATAATAGTGTCTGGAGCAGGAAGATTATTTACAGCAGGTGAGAAAAATTTGGAAAAGTTACATATAACTAATTTGTTTACACCACTGCTATTTGAATCTGTTCATTTGATTATAAAAATAAGGAAATGTGGTATGATTGCCAATGAGACAACTATCCACCAAAGTTCAAATGAAATATATTCTTTACTTGGGTTGATATACAGTAATTAAATGATTAAAACAGTTTGTTCAAACTTTCTTTAAGGCTAATTAGTACTGTTTCTGGGTTAATGTAAAATTTGAAATCATTATTGTAATCAAGACTAGGCTTTAAAGGCAAATCATATTTGTTCAAGTAAGAGTTTCAATTTCTAGGATTTACTGTACACAACATTATGAGTAAGAGGTAAGACTTTTCAGCTAAAGTTATAAAGTGTCAATTAAGGTTGATGTGACTTTTAGCAGACTGTTAGCTTATGATATATATAAACATCTTACCTAACATATTGATATAGCGAAGGGTTTATTCATATGACATTATCATGCTATTATCCCTAATATGCATGTACTATTAGCTGCTGAACAAGATTCCATTCCATTCATACAATTTACTACAAGTTTTCCATCCAAGTTCAGTTATCTCATACAAAGGTATGAACAGTCATACATTATGAATAACCTGGATATATATGTAGAAGTGTTGAAGAGAATCTCCCAAATGACCTACTTTTAATTTTTGTCTTATAGGATTGGATTTGATGGATATGGGTGATGTCATGCCAACAGGAAAGGATGTAGCAAGAAATGCCTTTAAAATGAGACCAAAAATTGAAGAATATCAAGAATCTTTTACATCGATAGAAAAGGTTTCCTTATAAAAATATAAAACTTGATTTCATCTGAATATTATTACATTTCATATTCCTGAACTGTGAAAACCCCACTCTATATTTATATATATAGAAATGAAAAATCCACAGTGTTTGGGGAGAGGTAGGGTTCGTACATAAACTGTAACCTAAAATCAGGAATTTTATGGTTGGAAACTCCTATATTATCTTTAACATTGTACATGAAATCTGTAAAATTTATGTGTATTAGATGCTTATATATGCAAAGTTGAAGGAGATATGTTGGTATACAGTCTTGTTTTTAGCTCACCTGGCCCAAAAGGGCCAAGTGAGCTTTTCTCATCACTTGGCGTTCGTCGTCGTTATCCGTTAACTTTTACAAAAATCTTCTCCTCTGAAACTTCTGGACCAAATAAAACCAAACTTGGCCTAAATCATCCTTAGGGTATCTAGTTTAAAAAATATATCTGATAACCCCGCCCATCAACCAAGATGGCCGCCATGTCTAAAAATAGAACATGGGAGTAAAATGCAGTTTTGGGCTTATATCTCTGAAACTAAAGCATTTAGAGCATATCTGACGGGGTAAAAATGTTCATCAGGTCAAGATCTATCTGCCCTGAAATTTTCAGACGCATCAGACAACCCTTTGGTTGCTGCCCCTGAATTGGTAATTTTAAGGAAATTTTGCAGTTTTTGGTTATTATCTTGAATATTATAATAGATAGAGATAAACTGTAAACAGCAAAAATGTTCAGCAAAGTAAGCTCTACAAATAAGTCGACATGACCAAAATTGCCAATTGACCCCATAAGTTAGGAGTTATTGCCCTTTAAAGTCAATTTTTCACAATTTTTCGTAAATTTCTGTAATTTTTTACAAAAATCTTCTCCACTTAATCTACTGGGCCAAATAGAAATAAACTAAGCCACAATTTTCAAAAGGGTATCTTGATTGAAAAATGTATCGGATGACCCTGTCATCCAACCAATATGGCAGCCATGGCTAAAAATAGAACATAGGGGTTTACTATAGAAGTCTATGGGAAAATTGTAAAAAAAAACCAATTTCAAATGGTCACAACCTGAAAACTAATTTAAATAATGATAAGGGGTCTTCAGTTACTATTGTAAGACTACAATGGGATGACCTGCTTTAAATTTAACTACTGGGTCGAACTAAACCAAACTTGGCCTCAATAATTATTAGGGTATCTAATACTATTTATTATGATTTTAACCTTATTTTACATGATTTCCAAAACCACAGTAGATACAGGTGAGCAACACAGGCTCTTGAGAGCCTCTTAGTTTTTTTTTCAAACCAACTGCAGAAAGTAATTGCACCTGTTCCATTGTATTTGATACACAACTGGTGTAAGCACTCTACCATCTGTTAAGCATTGGTCACATCATTCATTTTATGTGTAATTGACTTCTTAATGTCTTCTTTTGATATTTTGACCTACAGGCATGTGGCTGCAACTAAGAGATTGTGACAAATTATAATCAAAAGAAGGTCATTTGAACTTACCTTTCACTATATTTGACTTTATTTAAACATATTCTCAGAGACACTGAGTGAATTATTAAACTTGAAATTTGAGTGAATCTAGGTACATGTAAGTCAGTCAGTTTGCCTTCAAAAGTGGGTCATATTTATACACTGTAAAAAAACGCTATATAACAATATATGTCCAACTAAAATGAAAAAAAGTTCTAGAGACATAATATACAGTACCTATTTTACTTTTTTAGTAAGAAATGGACCTAATGTAAACTAATCACATTATGAAATTTGTCCTTATACAAATAGTAAGGAAAATTACAATAAAATAATAAAACAACTGCAATATCAAATGAAAGAGGAGTCCTGAAGTATATCTATTAAAAAAAAATTGATGTATGTCTAGGACCCAGCATTTCTTTCCACAAAAAAATCTTACAGGAAAAATTACTCATAAGTCATGAACATTTCACTATAACTTCCAACCAGTTTTAGTCTTAAGATTTTTTTAGAAAAGAGCCTGAGAGACTGAAAGATGAACAGCTGTATAACAGCATGAACAGACACCTGTGATATTCATTTTATGCGTAAAGTAGTTTTACTCAACAGTTAGTAAATGAGGTTTTTTTTCCATGTGTAAAGACCAAAATAGCATTTGTAATACAAATGAAAGACAAACGCTTCATTTTTTAAAGAAATAGAATTAGATGGGTAGTTGGGAAGTTAAGCTGAATATCATTATGTATTTTAGTGTCCAAAACCAGTGATTGCTGCAGTACATGGTGGTTGTGTTGGTGGAGGTGTTGACCTAACGTCTGCTTGTGACATCAGATACTGTACACAGGACGCATGGTTTCAAATTAAGGTTAGTAAATATTCTTAAAACACATTTATTAATATGGTTTTTGAAAAAAAGACACAAATATGAAAACATGATGATTGGCCTTATACCGGTACATATTTTTAAAAATGTGAATTTTAATTAGTATATTACTTACCCTGTATTTTTAAACTTGGTAGTGTGGTGACTGTGAGTTTAAGAAGTATATGGTATGTATGCATTAGAAATGTTGTCACATAAACAGTCTAGTGCTATGAATATATTTAATTTTATTACAGTATCTAAAATTTTGACATTGATGACTCAATTAATGGCATATTTTATTGTTATTAAGATTTTTACGTATAATATATTAAGGAAATCTCTTATTTTAAAGAAATTTATAAATTGTTGTACTCTATAAGAGGTTCCCCATGTTTAAAATTGCCAGAATCTGATTGTCAATTATATGTTTTTTTTTTTAAATACAGGAGATAGATGTAGGATTGACAGCAGATGTTGGAACATTACAGAGGTTACCTAAGATTGTAGGAAATGACAGCTTGGCAAGAGAATTATGTTATACTGCCAGAAAATTTCATAGTGATGAGGCAAAAGAAATAGGTTTTGTCAGGTAAAAAACTGTCTGCAATTCTCTTTTCTTACTTGAATAGAACAATCATTTACTAAATGCGGTTTATCTGATAGCTTATATCAATAATGAGTGAAATAAAGTTTATTTGTCTTATTCCCTACAATTGTCCCCATAGTGAGATATGGATCGTACTATTCCCAATGCCATCGATACCAAATGTTAAGTGTTCTGTTTAGGTTCATTTCAGAATTATAAGTGCAAGTACTTTTGATAGATAATTGTTATTTGGTAAACATTCACATTAACATTCATACATCTCTATTGCATGTGGTTGATCAGATGATCCTTCCCCTGTTCTATACAGGAAAAAAAGGAATGTCATTTTATGTTTGTTTATAAAAAAAATCTGTAAAATGGGATTAAAGTAACACAAATTGGAAAAACTGAAGTTATATAAAAATCAAAATTTTTACAAATGGAAAACATACAGTATGGGTTTTGCTCACTGTTAAAGGCCGTACAGTGACCTGTAGTTGTTAACTTCTATGTCATTTGGTCTCTGGTAGAGAGTTGCCTCGTTGACATTTTATCTATATTTTACTTGTAAAAAAGAAGTTCACTCTAACACACTTGCTTCATTTTTTCATATAAAGTTTTCAGTCAGAATTAAGTTTTATATTGAGTTCAATTCTGAGCTACTTTAAAAAGTTATCTATTATTGAAAATATAACCTGGTGAATAGATATACATCAAAAGGATTATATTAAAAGGTCGGCAGTGAAAAGTAGGTAAAACTGACCTACATTGTTTGCTTCATTATCTGGTATATAGTTTATGTTTCAGTTCAGTTCTCAGACACTAAGTGACCTGCATTTTAGTCCTTTTGATGCTGAAGTTAAATTTACTTCTATTGCCATTTTAATCATCCAGAGGCGGATTTAGGGGGAGCGGGCCCCTTCTTGGGAAGTCAGTGGGCCCCCCTTATGAAAATTTCTGGATCTGCCACTGTCATCATTAAATGCTTATCAAGGTAATTGGGAAAGGAGGCAATTTAATTATTGTAGATTGCTTATATTTTTATAAGCATATTCTAGAATGAGTGAATATGAAGGATAGTTGATATTTAGTACACATGTGAATTTGCATTCAGTTACATGCAGAATATAGGACTCATTCCCAGTCATGCTTACATTGTTCTTATATTAAATTTTCTGATTAGATATTTTTATACGGAATTACATATACAAATATATGCACACTCATACTTTGTAAATAATTTGGTCAATTTTTCATTAAAACTCCTTTTTAGCTCACCTGACCTGAAAGGTCAAGTGAGCTTTTCTCATCACTTTGCGTCCGTCGTCCGTCGTCCTGCGTCCGTCGTCCTGCGTCCGTCGTCCGTCGTCCGTAAACTTTTACAAAAATCTTCTCCTCTGAAACTACTGGGCCAAATTTGACCAAACTTGGCCACAATCATCATTGGGGTATCTAGTTTAAAAAATGTGTCCGATGACCCCGCCAACCAACCAAGATGGCCGCCATGGCTAAAAATAGAACATAGGGGTAAAATGTAGATTTTGGCTTATATCTCTGAAACCAAAGCATTTAGAGCAAATCTGACGTGGGTAAAATTGTTTATCAGGTCAAGATCTATCTGCCCTGAAATTTTCAGATGAATCGGACAACCCGTTGTTGGGTTGCTGCCCCTGAATTGGTAATTTTAAGGAAATTTTGCCGTTTTTGATTATTATCTTGAATATTATTATAGATAGAGATAAACTGTAAACAGCAATAATGTTCAGCAAAGTATGATCTACAAATAAGTCAACTTGACCAAAATGGTCAGTTGACCCCTTAAGGAGTTATTGCCCTTTATAGTCAATTTTTAACCATTTTTCGTAAATTTTTGTAATCTTTTACAAAAATCTTCTCCTCTGAAACTACTAAGACAAATTTAACCAAAATTGTCCACAATCATCATTAGGGTATCTAGTTTAAAAAATGTGTCCGATGACCCTGCCCGCAAACCAAGATGGCCGACATGGCAAAAAAATAATACATAGGGTAAAATGCAGTTTTTGGCTCATATCTCTGAAACCAAAGCATTTAGAGCAAATCTGATGGTATAAAATTGTTCATTAGGTCAAGATCTCTCTGCCCTGAAATTTTCAGACCAATCAGGCAACATGTTGTTGGGTTGCTGCCCCTGAATTGGTAATTTTAAGAAAATTTTGCAGCTTTTGGTTATTATCTTGAATATTATTATAGATAGAGATAAACTGTAAACAGCAATAATGTACAGCAAAGTAAGATCTACAAATAAGTCAACATGACCAAAATTGTCAATTGACCCCTTAAGGAGTTATTGCCCTTTATAGTCAATTTTTTACAATTTTCATAAATTTTGTAAATTTTTGTAAATTTTTACAAAATAGTTTCCACTGTAACTACTGGGCCAAGTTCATTATAGATAGAGATAATAGTTAGGAGCAAGAATGTTCAGTAAAGTAAGATCTACAAACACATCACCATCACCAAAACACAATTTTGTCATGAATCCATCTGTGTCCATTGTTTAATATGCACATAGACCAAGGTGAGCGACACAGGCTCTTTAGAGCCTCTAGTTAGTTTAATCAGTTTAATACAGTCAAAAACTAAATCTTTTATTGCTGAAATTATTTGAATGCAAACCAGTTCAACATGAGGTACAGCCATTAAAAGATAAAATCATATCTGGTGCTAGTTAACCTGTCAGGTGAACATGTAAATCTCAGCTATCGACTAATTTAAAAATTTTATGCTTTCCTTTGCAGTCGTATCTTTCCTGACAAAGCTTCTATGATTAATGCTGCAATAGAACTAGCATCATTGATTGCTAGTAAAAGTCCAGTGGCAGTACAAGGGACCAAAGTTAGTATGGTATATTCCAGAGACCATTCTGTTCCTGAAGGACTTTCTCATATAGTAAGTTGCACTGAAATAAATTTTAGATGGCTCAAGGTTAATTGTCCCCTGCGTGACGCATTGCGGGGGACATAGAAACACAGTCTGTCCGTCTGTCCGGTCCTGTTAGCGCTCTCACGTGAACAATTCTTGCCAGATTTTTATAAAACTTCATTCTAAAATCAGTGACAATCAATAATTTCTAAAAGAGTTATGACCCTTGGAAATATTAATTTTATGGAAAATTGCTTATGAGCGCTCCAATGTGTACAATTCTTGCCAGACTTTTATGAAATTTATATTGTAGGTTTATATCATCAATGTCTTTGACAAGTTCAAAAATTAGTGCAGATCAATTATTTTTAAAAGAGTGAGGCCCCTTGGAAATATTGATTATAGGGAAAATTGCATTGTCAGGTTCTCATGTGTACAATTACTGCCAGGATTTTATGAAACTTATATCATAGTTTTATATCAGCACTGTCTTTGACGCTTTCGAAAATAAGTGCTGATCAAATATTTTTAACGAGTTATGCCCCTTGGAAATTTTAATTATAATGGAAATCACATTGCATTTGCTCTGAAGCCTTCATTTCTCTTAGATATTAATAAAAAGTTTTAAAGAACAAAAAATAAGTGCTTATTTTAGTTATTGCCCTTGTACCTTGGATATATAAAATATGTGCAAGGTGGGGGATATAGGAACTCTGTTCTTTTATTATACCTACCTACCTACCTAAGTCTACCTAAGTGTTTCCAAACGCAGGAGATCAGCTTGCTCCTCTATATTTGGCTCTATTTCACTGTCACTATCACTGTTGATTACTGTGCTACCTCCGATCGTGAAGTTGTAATCTACTGTGTAGTCATAAATCATAGGATGTTCTTTCCAATATTTATCTAGTCTTCGTTCGAATGTTTTAACGTTTTTGGCAGTTACAATTGTCTCAGGAAAACTGTTCCAGACTTCCACTACTCTGTTGGTAAAATAATACTTTCTAACATCCAGCCTACACCTGTTCTTGACTAACTTCAAAGAATGCCCTCTTGTTGTTGAACCACTACTTAATGTGAAAATACCACTTGATGCCCTTTCATCATAGATGTTATTGAGAATCTTGTACGTCTCGATCATGTCGCCTTGTAGTCTACGATATCTAAGTGTTGGTAATTTCAGGAGTTTTAATGTGTCTTCGTATGATAGATCTTTCAAGTTTGGAAGCATTTTTGTACCTGCTTTACTTCTGAATATGCTGAAATTGTGCTAAGGACAAGCTTAAAATTTTAAGTATAACAACTTACTAAATAATACTTTTCAAACATTAAAGGGGCATTAGCTACAAGTTAGACAAAAATTCAAAATACGATTCATTTTGTTTCAAGTATTAATAAAAGCGTAAATTTGAAATAATATTTCGTTATAAGCAGTTAGTTTGGTCCAAATTTTTCAAAATAAGCTCAAAAACAGCACTGACTTGCAAGTGAATAATTTGACCTCATGTGAATCCGTGTTCATGTGAACTTCAATTTAACCCCTTAAGTGGAGATGGGTTACGCATGTAATAGGCATGCTCAGCTATTAAAAGGAAAAGAATGTCAACATTGAAAGTGAAACAAGGGTGAACCATTTCGTTGACTGATTGGAGCCATAAAAAATCATTCTTATACAGGTAATAACGATGAATAACTTATTTTTTATGCCCCACTTAGGGGCATTATGTTTTTCGGTCTGTGCGTCCGTTTGTTCCTCCGTTCGTCCGTCTGTCCCGCTTCAGGTTAAAGTTTTTGGTCAAGGTAGTTTTTGATGAAGTTGAAGTCAAATCAACTTGAAACTTAGTACACTTGTTCCCTATGATATGATCTTTCTAATTTTAATGCCAAATTAGAGTTTTGACCCCAATTTCACGGTCAACTGAACATAGAAAATGATAGTGCTTGTGGGGCATCCATGTACTATGGACACATTCTTGTTTAACCTATAACTTGAAATCAAACAGATCATGGAAAATCCAATTGCACGTGGTCTCTATCTATTTATATTTATATTTATATTGGGTTATGTGACCGTATGCATTCTTCTGAGGTCATCCCGATGGTTAATTAGATGGCGTCTAGACTAAAATACACATGAAATGCTGATATATATTCTGGAGTTCATGCATTGTTAATTGTTTTTATTTCATACTTTTTGAAGTTTGGATATACGTTTTTGTATGTTATACATCTGATGATCAAATATGAGAATTTGAGTCAAATCCGTGAACATGAATTTGAATTTGAAATGCCCCTTAAAGGACCCCACTGGAAATAAGTTTCATTAACTTTTGTGGGTCATCCTTTTGGTATAAGGCTGCAGTGAAAATTAAGTCCATTTAATTAATTATTACAATCTAGTCAAATATCAAAATAATGACAATTTCCATAATTTAAGTTGAGTTGATACAAATGATTTACAGTTATGATCACTAAAAATTATAATTTAAAAAGTAAATTTATGGAAACCATAAATATAAAGAACTAATTCCAATAAAAAATGGAGCCAATTAAATACCAGTTGACCATAGTTGAAGTGTTTGATCATGGCAATTTTTTTTTTATCAGGTAACAAATTTTGAAATAACTCTAGTCTCTATTTAAACTGTACTGATCAGTTTAAAAAAATATTTTTTGATTAGGTATAGGCTTTTTTTAGTGATAATGAGGAATAATCACTCATGTGATGGTATATAACTACAAGTATATTCACTTTGAATGTACCCATTACCTGGTGCAATAACTTTATTTTTGTACTGATAAATGATATGTCAAATATGATATGATAAATTAGAACCAAAATTAACAAAGCCATAGCAAAAAATGTCCATTATGTACATGCATGATTGTAAAATTATGATTCAGATAATTCTTAAATAACTTCACTTTGAATGAACAATCCTAGTATTCAATTCACAGGAGACTTTTTTAATATGTTGTCTATATATGAACTTTATAATCTAATGTAACAATTATGAAACATTCTAACTTTCATATTTGTTTTAGGCTTTATGGAACCAGGCAATGCTACAGAGTGAAGATGTAATGAAATCTGCAGAAGCAATGATGCAAAAGAAAGAACCAAAATTTTCAAAACTATAAGTCATTTATAGACAATTGATTTTGAATATGAGCAGAAGTTGACTATATATAGATACTAATAGAGGACCAGACTTAATTCTGGATATAATGAAATAAACATAAAGTGACTGTGATAATAATTTAATTAATACTATGTTCTTGTAAATTTCATGATGATTTATTTAACATTATTACTAATATAATCAAGACAGAAGTTGTTTGTATATGGACCTCATTTTTTCTTATACTGAAATACCGGTAAGTTCTGAGGTAAGAAATACTGTAGCTGCACATATTGACCAGGTTTTACTTCAACAGAGAGAAGATATAATGAAAAACTCTTTTAAAGGGTCTGCTATTTGGCAAGTGGGCAGGTATTGATGTTTTCTAGTGGCAATTCAACAGTCTATGGAAATCAAATTTTGTAAAAGAAAAACTATGCTTGGATTTTTATGCCTTGAATTTTTGTTGCTACATGATATGGTTTTATCTTCATCCTGTGTAGACTTTGTGGTTTCCATGGGATAACTTTAGTCCAGTATACCAATTCTTGTAAAACTTAATCAAAATATTTTGGCACAAAACAAAGGTGTTCTTTATACTATATTTGTGATTTCTGAAGGTATTTAAAAATCTTTATATTTATGCAAAAACTTATTAAAAGTAGTAGATTTTTAGAGCTATTGCCATCACTTCGTGTCCATTGTTGTTGTCTGTTATAGTATGTCATGGTTGTAAACTTCTTCTCTAAAACCACTTTACCAATTTCAACCATACTTCAATTGAATGGTCCTTATGGTATCTAGCTAGAGTGTGTGTTCATTGTTACCGTCAATCAACCAAGATGGCCACCATGTCTATAAATAGAATATAATGTAAAATGCATTGAAAACTATAAAAGTAAGAGAAAATCTTACAGGGTGAAAAATTGCAATATCAAGATTTATTTCCTCCAAAATTATCAGTTGACTCCTAAAGAGTAATTGCCATTTCATGACAATTTTTAATTATTTTTGAGCTTTTGCCTTATATCTCATGAACTATAATAGATAGGTACAAACTGTAAACAGTGAAAATGTTACAAGATATATTTTTATCAGGTGAGCATATCAAGGATCAGTTTCCCCACAAATCTTGCTACTAAACTTGATAATAAGTCATGAACACTTTAGTATACTTACGATCAACTTTAGTCGTAGATTTTTTTGTGAAACTGATCACAGGCTCTTAGGAGCCTCTTCTTTATGTCAGCATAATGATCATAAATTTCTCAATATTTTTATATTATTATTGAATACATGTATAGAGATTTACATCATATTATCACACATTGAAAGTAGATGGTCTCTTAAAACCAGGGTTTCAATTTTTTTTCTGAGCAATAAGTTTAGTTGAATGACAGATATAAGAGAAATAGAAAGATATCTGTTGTTAATTTATCATTCAATGCAAAAAAGAACAGATTGAAAAATGTTTGGTTTGATTATTTTCAATTGAAGTATGGTCAAATTACAACCTTGAAAGCATCAACATTTAATAGCTATCATGTAATTATTAGATAATTTAATTTCAATGCAAATTACCTGAATAATAACATCAGCTGAATTTTATACTGGAGCCTGAAAGAAATGTGTTAAAAAAGTAAAATTAATACTTTTTTAACAAATAAATTTTTTCCCAGTTCTTGAATCTTGCCAGTGGTTGACATTTTCACTTGTTGGAATGTGTTTTTAATGTCAGATATATATTTGCCTCTGTTGAATATATTCACAATTTGTTTAGATTTGAGATGATTAGATAGTTTTCCATATTGGTTTTGGATAGATTCGAAAAGAGACAGTATTGTTACTTTCTATGCACTGCTATTCACATTCTGTTAAATTGATAGAAAGCTGAACTTTTTAACAGCAGCTGTATGTCTGAAATCTTTTCTCATTTTCTTTAGAGAAACATTTTGTGACATCTCTCTAAGTGGGTTTGACGCAATTGAAAAGAACAGAATCTGATAATTTTGGTCTGAAGAACAATTGTTGTAGAAGAGACAAAGCAGGCAAGAGTGCTTTGAACAATAACATCTTTAAGGAAATATGATGTATTACTTGATTTTATCCTGGAAAGTGATTTGTAAAAATCAATGTTTTGAATCAGACAGGCACCATAGTGTAGTAAATTAAAGGACAATGTCATGAAACGATGACAATGTCATTTACATTGTTCTAGCATCACCACACTGTGTACAATAAGGCCAGTCACGGTGAGAGTTTGTCAGGCTCTCATAAATGGTATCCTATCAACCACCTTCTGTAAGCTTACATTAATCAAGTTCACATATGAGAAACTGTATAAACATATAGGTGCTCATTTATTATATTTTGAAATGCTTCAGTGATGTACTTGTTTTATACATTCAGAGGTCATTCCTCTTTTCAAAATGGCTGGATCTGCACCTGATATATCATGTTTTTCAATCTCTATTCTTATTTTGTGGAAAATAACAGGCACTTGTCTGAAAAAAAAAATACCTATATACTTTAATATAAGTATTTTTTCAGAGACAAGTGCCTGTGGAAAATAAGAATAGAGGGGCACCATTGATAAACTACTATTATTGTGATATTGTATGTGAAATAGTTAGAATGCATTAAATAAGTTAAAATATGAAAGAATATTTACTAAAAATAAAGTATATACATGTATAAGGACAGAGACATATATACACATATATGTCTCTGATAAGGATGAGGATCTGCAAATAAATTAATTTTGATATGCAAAGGACTATTCTGCAAACATGAAACTGGCATGCATAAACCCTACACATTTCAATATATAATCACTATGAACTTTGAGATGATAAGCTTTTTAGAATGATTTTTTTACAATTACGTTCTTTCTATGGTTTAATATAGGTAATTTTTTGGGCTTATGTCAGATCTTGGTAGGGGAGATAATCAATGAAAAAACCGAAGATCAACAAAAAACTGCTGCCTCATGAAATATCCTCCCCATTTGCCCATTTACAATAGTCATGGACCAAAAAGCAAGAAAAACAATCCAGAAACTCATATTGAAACTGGACAATTCTTCAGAAAACGGAGTATTTAACTGTCTTGTTGAAATCCGTAAAAATGTGCTGAAAACCAAAGAAGGGATAAGCTATCTGTTGAAAAACGGAGGTATCCCGAAGATTCTTCAAATACTACAGAAAAGTGATACTGATAACAAGAGTGTTGATGTCATTTTAAGTACACTGGGAAATTTATGTATGGATAATGATGCCAGAAATATGGTAAAATACACTCTGTGGTTATGACAGTATTGAGCAGTCAGTTGGTAGCTTCACCACCTCACACTACCAAAGACTACAGAACAAATTAAAAATACCATAAATACAACTTAATATTTTTGGTCTTTAATTATATATTTGACTTACCTTTGAACGAGGATGAATATGTTAATAAATAAATATACCTACTAAATATAAAATAAGAAGAAATAGTTATCACCAAAGTCAAAGAGACCAGCACCTATATAGGTACATTTGTAATAACTACCAAAACACCAATAGTGTTACAAATATGATAAACAACTAACAATACCTATATCAACATAACAACAACTTGAAAATAGTATTTTATAAAGTCAATCACACTAATCACAGCCTTGTTTATGTTACCATACCAACTGAAATACTATTACCAACCGACAGCAGAACAGGAAAAAAATACCCAAATACTTACAGACATATACATGTATGAACTACAAAGAAAACATATAAATGGTATTTCATTGGAACATGCTACTAGTAGCTACAATACAGTCAAACACAGTTGACAGCTTCAGAGCACACCTTGTTGCAGGAAGGAGTCCCAGAAAAAAATTGAAATAGACTTTCAAGACATCATATTTATTTAAATTAACCTTACACAAGGTGTTCTCTGTTAACACATTTAAAATAAATACCAAATGTAAATACTGTTCATTTAAACACTTAACTGTAATATACATGCACATATTCAAATTTTTGGCATTTACAAGATAAATTGGTAAACACCACCTATGCACAACAACAGGTAATCTTCAGTATCCAGCAGTTTTGTGCACCTGAAGAAGTAGAATTAGAAGATAATACATTCTGAAAAGTATTCTTAGTCAATTTCATTAGCACACACACATATTCGTATTACATTGTACCTATATGTCTCTGTTCTTAGTGAGTAAATAGAGCACTTTCAAGTTATGTCCTTCACCAGAAAAGTTCTTCATTCAATTATGCGCGCCTTTATGATGTCATTTACCAGATAGAGGGGATCGCCTGTATCCCTGCACTATTGTCATTATGCAAGACAAATTAAAAATAATTGTTGTTCCGTAGGTACTTAATCATTGTTAATCACAATTCCCTAATGACAACAGTGCTGATTATCAATTGTAAGAATTTAATTTTCCGAATAATTCGTGCAATAAAGCATCATATTTTTTCAACTTCTTGCTCAACAAGGGAAGGAAGTGACGATGCCCCTAAACGCACGAATGATGTTCACTAAAACAAAAGTTTTTGAATGAAATGCAACGAACTTGAAAGTGGTCTATTACATCAAGTTTTTCCCTTATCACTTTATAACAGCTAGCTATCTTCTTCAAAATGAATTCCTTTTTACAATCTGAGTCTTCACTTTAATAATGACTTAATTTTATAATGAAAATTCTGTTATTACAAAGAAAACTACATTTTTAGCTCACCTGGACGGAAGACCAAGTGAGCTTTTCACATCACTTGGCGTCTGTCATCGTCGTCTGTTGTCGTTAACTTTTACAAATATCTTCACCTCTTAAACTACTTGGCCACAATCATCATTAGTGTATCTTGTTTTAAAAAATGTGTCCGATCAACCCACCTGCCAAACAATATGGCAGGCATTATCTTGAAAACTGGTAACTATGATAGATAGAGAGAAACTTTAGTAAGAAAAAAATATCAGAAAGACAAGACTTACTTATAAGTCAAATTGGCGAAATTGTCAGATGACTCCTTATTGGAGTCATTGCCCTTTAATCATGTTAATGACGTTTTTGATTAATATCTTACAAAAATCTTCTCTGAAACTACTGGGCCAAATTTAATCAAACTTGGTCACAATCATCATTAGGGTATCTACTTTTAGAAATGTGTCTGATGACCCCACCTGCCAACCAAGATGGTCTACATGGCTAAAAATAGAACATAGGGGTAAAATGCAAGTTTTGTTTATTAATTTAAAAATCACTTTGAATAGAGAAATGTTTAGAATGTTGTCAGATCTATCTGCTGTCTATGTACGTCAAACTGTCAGATGACTTCATTTAGGAGTTATTGCACATAAATGTCAAAATTTTACCATTTTTTTTTCATTTTTGCTGATTGATTATTTTGAAAACTATAGTAGACCGAAAGAATCTTATTTCCTGAAAAGTGATCATCAAGACAAAATCTACAATTAAATCTAATGGCTGAAATTGTTGAAAGACTCCTTATTGGAGTTATTGCTCTTTGATTACCATTTTTACTAATTGCTTGCTTTTCAAATTCATGTTCACCGATTTGACTCTAATTCTCATATTTGATCTATAACATACTAAAACGTATATCCAAATAATAAAAAGTCTAAAATGAATAATTTACAATGCATGGCCTTGATAATATGTATCAGCATTTCGTGTGTATTTTAGTCTAGATGCCATCTAATTAACCATTGAGGTGACCTCCGAAGACTGCTGACGGTCATATAACCAGATATAAACATAAACATAGATATAAATAGATAGCAAACTCATGCAATTGGATTTTTCTAGGTCTGTTTGATTTCATATTATAGGTTTAAAAAATATGTTAATAATCGTTTTTACCTATATAACAATTAGTTTTTGTAGATCGAATCAGTCAACCAAATGGTTTACCCTTGTTTCGCTTTCAATGTTGACATTCTTTTCTTTTTAATAGCTGAACACGCCTAGTCCATGCGTAACCCATCTCTAGCTAAGGGGTTCAATTGAAGTTCACATGAATACGGATTTAATGAGGTCCAATTATTCACCTGCAAGTGAATAATTCATTAGCGATGTTTCTTTGCTTATTTTGACAAAACTGAACTAAACTGGCTGCTAAAAGCAAATTATTATATCACTATTTCACTTTCATTAATGATTGAACAAAAAAATCATATTTTATTTTTTTCTATATCTCGTAGCTAATGCCCCTTTAAAAACTATAATAGATAGATAGAAACTATAAATAGCCAAAATAATCAACAAGACAAGATCTTCAAATAAGTTAACATGACCAAAATTGTCAGTTGACTCCTTATTGAAGTTATTGCCCTTCAATGATGATTTTTCCCATTTTTTGACATTTTTGTCTATTATTTTGATAATTGAAATAGATAGATAGAATTTTTAGATAGCAAAAAAAAAAACGATCAGCAGGACAAGATCTACAAATAAGCCACATAATGTGACATTGCTGAAATCTTCAGTTGACTCGTTATTGGAGTTATTGCCTTTCAATGATAATTTTTCAAAATAATGGCATTTTTTGCCTATTATCTTGAAAACTATATGATAGATAAATAGTTATGTTTGTCAAATTTCAGACAGCTACACTGTTGGTAAACTTAGAGGGAAGGGGTCAAAAATTTGCACATGGTCTAGTTAAAAGACATATAAATTGACGAAATATTGAATCTGATGGCATAATTGATTACATAAGAAAGAATCTTATGTTTCCCAAGCAAAAAAATTTACCCCCCAAATTTGTATCATAATTCTTTAATTAATTCAACATCCTTTAAAATAGGAATGCTGATAATTTCAGACCATTTTGAACATTTTTTACAAATATATGAGCCCTCAAAGTTTGACCCCATTAATCTCAATGGAAGTGTTGGAAATTTCTGTGCATGTTTTAATGAAAAACTAACGTTCCATATGACCTTTCAAATATTATTAGACTGTCAGAATTTCCCTTATTGATTCATTAAGTTAGACAAAAGAAGCATAGTGATATGAAAACATTTATAGTACTGTATCATGTAATGTGTGAAGCCTTTTGGAATGGTACGGAATGTCCTGTGAGGTGTTGTCCATTTTGGAAAAGACACTGACAATGCATTATTAACTTTTACTTTCACTTTCATTTTAAAGTTGTCAAATCAATTATTGTGACGTTACGTCTTGTTAACCTTTGTAACCCCATATGCACCGCATTTTATGTACTTCAGTATTTGTTTTCTATGTTTAAATTGTCCTGAAGACGCCACCGTAAGTGGCGAAACATGTAGATCAAAATAAAGATTTTCCTTGCAGTAATCTACGATGTTGTTGTCTTTGTGTAGCATTATTTTCCTGAGGTTTTAAGACAACCACAGCATACCTCCGGGTATCCATCCTGATTACTCTCTACCAGCCTGTACCGTTAGAAGGTGTTGGTTCACTCGATGCAACCTGTTTATATAAATGTTTAAAGCAAAGGTCTCTAAGAGATATTTTAATGTTGACTCTCTATATTTCTTGTAAAGGCAATAATATGATTTAAAATTTTATTTCTTATTCAGGTCAGAAGATCCAGTGGCATAGAAATTATAGGTATGGATTGGAAAAATTGATATGACAGTATATATTTTAGCTTCTTGTATGTTCTGTAGGTTACCTAAAACAAGTAAGTTTAGTTCTGTGTTGAATATGAAGCACAAGTTTTAATTGAAAAAATGTGGAGAGGCGAAACCAAGGCAAGCTGTGTCAAGCAGTTGAAGATTTCATTAGGTCAGTTTATGGCGAGCTACTAATGAAAAGTCAAGGGCATTTGTTATGCATTTGTATCAGCATTGGCACATCTTATTTCCATGGAGATTGCTTGGCCAAGCCCCTCTGTCGTGGCCTTTTGAATTTGAAACTCAAAGCTCAAAGATTGTCTAATCAAGTCTTGGTAATGATGTACACAAACTGAAACTCGTATCTATTGTTTGCAAATGCCAATCTCAGGCATACATTTTATTGTGCATGCCAACCCTACCGAATATGTACAATTTTTTGTTAACTCTGAATTTTTTTTTCTATGTGGTGAAACATTAAAAACATGTCATTTCATACAAAAAAAGGTTGGCATGTATGCTTAAGAGTAAGAACACTGCTGTTTTTCTTTTGAGTATTGCATTTCTATCAGTACACACAATATAAAAATAAGGAGATGTGGTATGATTGCCAATGAGACAACTATCCACCCAAGTTCAAATGAAATGAATGTATGCAATTATAGGCAACCGTACAGCCTTCAACAATGAGGAAACCCCATACTGTATAGTCAGCTATAAAAGGCCCTGATATGAAAAATATGAAACAATTCAATTGAGAAAACTAACGGCCTAATTTATAAGAAAACAATTTAAGAAAAACAAATATGACAAACATGAGATGGGATGTACAAGTACCCGTCCACTTCCACTTTGTGTTTTTGTTGGATGTATTTCTATTTGTATCCATCTGATGAGTTGTGCCTTTTTCAACTGATTTTTATACGACCGCAAAAATTAAAAATTTTTGGGTCGTATATTGGTATGATGTTGGCGTCGTCTCCGGCGTCGTCCGGCGTCGTCCGGAAACACATTGGTTTTCGCACTCTAACTTTAGTTTAAGTAAATGGATCTCCATGAAATTTTACCATAAGGTTCAATACCACGAAAGGAAGGTTGGGATTGATTTTGGGGGTTATGGTACCAACAGTTAAGGAATTAGGGGCCAAAAAGGGGCCAAAAATAAGCATTTTTGTAACTTCCAGACAATAACTTGTGTGTAAGTGTATGGATCTCTCTGACATTGTACCACAAGGTTCCATATCACAAAGGGAAGGCTGTGATTGATTTTGGGGGTAATTGCCTCAAAATATTAGGAAATAGGGGCCAAAAAAGGGGCAAAAAACAAGCATTTTTCTAGTTTCATGACAATAACTTGTGTGTAAGTGTTTGGATATTTCTGAAATTGTACCACAAGGTTCCATATCACAAAGGGAAAGCTGGAATAGAGTTTGGGGGTAATTGCCCGAAACGTTTAGGAATTGGGGGCCAAAAAGGGGCCAAAAATAAGCATTTTTCTAGTTTCCAGACAATAACTTGTGTTCAAGTGTATGGATCTCTCTGAAATTGTACTGCAAGGTACTATACCACCTAGGGGGGGGATTTTTTTTTTTTCTTTTTTTTTCTTTTTTTCCTTTTTTTTTTCTTTTAAAATTTTCCATTTTAAGTTGGTTATTTCTGATTTATATTTAAAAGCAAATAATAATGATATGGTAGGAGATACACACCAAACAGGATGTGTAAATTATTATATAATAAGTATTGCACAATAGCAAGAAATCTTCAATTGCACAGTATTGCGCAATAGCAAGAAATCTTCAATTGCACAGTATTGCGCAATAGCAAGAAATATCAAATAGCACAATATTGCGCAATAGCAAGAAATTGTCAATTGTACAGTATTGCGCACTAGCAAGAAATATTCAATTGCACAGTATTGTGCAAAAGAAGATACTTCGTATAAATTGCTTATTTCTTGATCAATTTCAATGGGGTTTTATTCTTGAATTCTTGGGGTTCTTTAATATGCTGAATCTAACCGTGTATTAAGTTTTTGGATTTTGGGCCCCGTTTTTAAATTAGTCCACATTGAGGTCCAAAGGGTCCAAAATTTAACTTTGTTTGATTTCATCAAAAATTGAATTATTAGGGTTCTTTGATATGCCGAATCTAACCGTGTATTTAGATTCTTAATTTTTGGTTCCGTTTTCAAATTGGTCTACATTAAGGTCCAAAGGGTCCAAAATTAAACTTAGTTTGATTTTAACAAAAATTGAATTTTTAGGGTTCTTTGATATGCTGAATCTAAACATGTATTTAGATTTTTGATTATGGGCCCAGTTTTCAAGTTGGTCCAAATCGGGGTCCAAAATTAAACTTTGTTTGATTTCAACAAAAATTGAATATATGGGGTTCTTTGATATGCTGAATCTAACCATGTATTTAGATTTTTTATTTTTGGGCCCCGTTATCAACTTTGTCCACATTGAGGTCAAAAGGGTCCAAAATTAAACTTTGTTTGATTTCATCAAAAATTGAATTCTTGGGGTTCTTTGATATGCTGAATCTAACCATGTATTTAGATTTTGGATATTGGACCATAATAGGTGAATGTCCAATTTAAAATTTTTAAGTTCTTAGACCACATTCATTCTGTGTCAGAAACCTATGCTGTGTCAAATATTTAATCACAATCCAAATTCAGAGCTGTATCAAGCTTGAATGTTGTGTCGATACTTGCCCCAACTGTTCAGGGTTCGACCTCTGCGGTCGTATCAAGCTGCGCCCTGCGGAGCATTTTACTATAGTTTGTTGTTATGTTGTACTGTTACACCACTGTCCCAGGTTAGGGGGAGGGTTGGCGCCTTCAAACTAGTTTAACCCCGCCACACTCTGTATGTGCCTGTCCAAAGTCAGGAACCTGTAATTCAGTGGTTGTCTTTGGTTGCTGTGTTTCATATTTGTTTTTCGTTCATTATTTTGTACATAAATTAGGCCGTTAGTTTTCACGTTTGAATTGTTTTACATTTGTCATTTCGGGGCTTTTTATAGCTGACTATGTGGTATGGGCTTTGCTCATTGTTGAAGGCCGTACGGTGACCTATAGTTGTTAATTTCTGTGTCATTTGGTCTATCGTAGAGAGTTGTCTCATTGGCAATCATACCACATCTTCTTTTTATATGAACCAACGACTACCACTGAACTACAGGCTCCTGACTTGGGACAGGCACATAAAGAATGTGGCGAGGTTAAACATGTTTGTTAGCGCTCAACCCTCCCCTAACCTGGGACAGTGGTGTTACAGCACAACATAAGTATGGATTTTTCTTAAAATAACTCTTTACCATGAATATGTAATGAAATTCCTTTTACTTCTCTTTTTTAGCACATGTTTTTGGTGAATCGAAGACAGAAAGTATACAAAATAGATGTTCCAGGACCCTGGCAAACTTGGCTTTAACAAAGGAAAATATTGTTATTATTCTTAAGGCAGATGCTGCAGAAACCCTGGGAAAACTACTACAATCTACAAAAACCAAAGAAAATATTCTGACATACAGCAGAACAGTAAGGTACAATAATAGATAAAATAAATATATTTCTTAGGGAGCCACAGACTAGGACTATAGTAATCTTTCTGTCTGTCTATCTGTCTGCCTGTCTCTCTGTCCATCAGCACTTACTTGTTGTATGATTAGCTAAATTTCATCAAACTATTATTTCCATAATTTTTATGCAGTGTTAAAACCTATAAAAGAAAATCCATTTTGTTTTTTGTAAAATTTGGACAAAAGTTGTTAAATAAATTCAGAAATCACAATTTTTGTGAAAGAATTTTTAAAAAAAATTGATACAATGTATATAGTATTCACAATTGATTCCTAATATAAAAACTTCATTTTTTGTGAAAATTCTGGAATGGATTGGCAATAAAACAGTTATATTTGAGTTATAAATTCACTAACATCTTTTTATGAAAATTTAATTGAAGGTTTAAAAAGGTAATCTAAATTGATTGCAGATGCCAAAAATTAGGAAAAAAAATAGGTTTTAGCATATTTTTTGTTAAAATGTTTTTAAAAATATCCCAAATTTTGAGAAACATCTTTTATTATTGACTTAAAAAGTAATATGCATTTGATTCTGAAAACAGTTTAATAATAGAATTACAATGAAATATTCTTTAGTTTTTTGTCAAGTGATTTTTTTTTAAAGTTTGTAGTATAGAATCATTGCAATGTATACATGTCAGTCGGACACTATGTAATTAGCCAACACAATATAGCCAAGAGTGCTAAAAGTGGTATACCAAATTCAATTTGGATCAATTTATAAAGGCAGTTACTTAACATTGAAATTTAATAGTGCTAGCAGGGCATGGTGTCCTATTAACAATTTTTCTTGTTTATAGTGGGTTTTTTTTTGTCCATATGTCAGATATCAGAAAATATGAATGAATTGAATATACAAAGTAAAACTACATTCACATAGATTTTTTGGTGTATTCCACTTAATTATACTGCTTAAAAAAAGAAAGATTAGTACATGTATTTTTAACTGAATTTTAGGTTGCTTGTTAGTAACAACAGACAGATGGAGAAGCTTCTATTAGATGATGTTGTTCTGTATCTAGCAAAACATCTCAGTGATTCAGAGGAAGAAGTTAAGCATTCTATATTAAGAACTATTCATGAGATTTCTGCTGTAAGGTAAGATTCCTATAGATTGATGGAGAAGTAACAGTACCACTGAAAAAGAACTGTTCCCAAATTTTATTTCTTGTCTCACACAAGGAATTCTAAAAGTGGCTGTGGTTGTCATCAAATTTTCCTGCAAAGAAACTACATGTGTAGTGCAGAATTGTTTTTATATGAACAAGATAGCACATGTATATTGTGTCATAAAGTTTTCAACAGATTGATATACATCTGCTACCACACAGTCATTATATTTTAATATTATTAATTTTTCCAATAAATATTGTTACATCTTCATTCTGACTTTTTTTTTTAATCAGTCTGATTTTTCGTCAGTCAAGTTAATATACTTTCTGTGAAAATAGATAGGGTTGACTAACTAGCATCAAAACACTAATTACCTCAAATGACAGTGAGTGTTTATTTTAATATGCTTTGAAATCTACTTTTTTCCATGAAAATAATGAAAAATGTTTAATACTTTTACATTTTTTTTTCAGTTGTTCTGTAGGTTTTGCCAGTCAGATTGTTAGTTCTGGTGCCCTGCCGGACATACTGTCCCTAATGCTTCACAGTGATAGTACTATAGTCAACCAGTCCATTACAGTGATAAACAGACTTTCAAACCAGCCTAATTTCCGAGCGGGCTTGGGATCAGCTGGAGGAATAAAAATAATTCTTGATATTTTTCATGATAAAAAAAATGGTATTGACAAAAATACATTGCTAAATATTCTTTGCATGTGTTGTAAAGATGGTGTCAATCGAATAAAAATACGTGACAATGAAATTTTGCAGTTATTTTTAGAATGTCTTTACAAGGATGAATACAGTGTGCTACACGATAAAGTCATCAGTGCTTTACAATGCTTTCTATATGATGATCCAAGTATTTCAGTTTTACTTGAACATGGTTTGATTAAAGTTCTGGTCAGTCATTTGCAAAGAGTTGCCAAGTTTGAAAGTGTCGTCTGCCAAGCAGAAGATCTGATTCCAACTTTCATCAGTAAAGACCAAATGAATGAGGAAATGTTAAAAGAGCAAGAAATGTTCAAGAAACTGTATCAGTTTCCACATCAAGTTGACTCCAGATGCAACGGAAATGTAACAGAAAAGAAAATGAAGGCAAAGGTTCAGCTAGACAAGGTGGAGGAAAAAGAAGAAAAACGTAAATCTGTTGTTTACAGCATGGACAGTCCATCATACATTCCACATTCCTCGTGGGATATTGACCAATATACCAAAGGTGAAAAATGTAAACAGGTATTTGTGAAGAACGATACAGAATTGTCAGAATACAGTCCCCTAAGTACTGTTTCATATTATTCACCAAAAAGTAACTCTGAAAGTAGTGGAGAAAGTCCCACAAATTCTAATCAGTATTCATTAAGTCCATCCAAATTCTCATTTAGTAGTCCCGGTTGTTCATCATGGAGTGTTGCTGAAAGTACTCCAGAAAATTGGTTTTCAGTTTCAACGGTTAATAAAGATCCAAACTATGGCATGGTTTGTAGTATTCCATACTCTTGTGGAAGTCCAGAAAAATGTGAAAGTCCTATGGCGTCATCACCTGTACCATTTCAGCAAGATGAAGCAGAATTTTCAAGTTGTGAATCTGAGGATGATGAATTAGAAGATGAAAATTCTAGAAATAAAATTGACAAATCAAAGGAAAAACAATGTGATGTTTTGTTGTTGGATAATATCACACAAATAAAGATGGAAGAGACATTAGATATGAATGAAATCAAACACACTGTTGATAAAATTGATCAAACAGTAGAGAAACAAGAATGGGAGACAACTATTGAACAAATGCCCAATGTAAATGGGGATAGTATAAAGCAGAATGATACAAACAATATGGAGACACATGTACAGACAAAAAGGACTAAGATGACAGATGATAGAAGTGACATTAATGTAGAAAACCCGTCAAAAAGAAGAAAACTTGATTCTTTTGAGTCAGATCTGAGATCGTCCAGACATGTTAAAGAAATTGAAAATCAAATATTGATATTACTGTCACGTGTGTCACAAATGAATGATCCAAGTCAGCACATAGTTACCATAGAAATTGTCTGTTGCCTATTGGATTATTTACACAAAGTTGATAATCCACAACCAAGAGCAGCCAGAATTCTATCCAGGCTTGCTAAAAACCCTCTATGTTTTGAGAAGTTACTGAAAATGAACTTTAGTATGTTGGTTTATTACAAGTTATGTCTGTACAAATACGAAGATGAAATAAATAAGCTCTCTAAAACTGACAACTGCATTCTTCAAACATCACAGGTAAAGAGATGTACTGACAGAAGAAAATCATCAGGATCTGATCACTATGGTTACAGAAATAATTCACAGTATTCTTTTCTTGATAATCTAACTAAAATTTCTGAAAGCATTCCAAGTGATAAAAATGAAAGAAAAAGATCTGCTGCAGACCGAGGAAAAAATGTCATGACATCAGAAGAAGAAAAGTCCTATTTTAAAGCACAAGTTGGTTTGACTTTATTGCAAGATCTGTGTATCCAGGCAGACAGTCATTTTGGTAGAGGTGAAGTTGAACGTTTGGTGTACAGATATCCAGACATTATTAGAGAATGGTTAGCTGTAGATGTGCTGTATATTTTATGGTAAGATTTTTATGGTACTGCTTATTTCAATTATATCATTTGGTGCATTTTTTAGTTTTTGTCTTTGAAAATTTGATAGAATTCTGATTCATTTTTTTCATTTGTAGATTGAAATAACTGATTTCCATTGAATTTGATGCTAAATTACATCCTTTTTACACCTTTGAAAGCATCAGTACACATTCAGATATACATGTATGAGTCACCAATTTATTCCTTATATTTATAAAAAAATACATTTTAATACTTTACAAGTAATACTGCACACAAAGAGTTGGCACAATGAACATAATTTCATTTTAATTCAGCTCCGTATATTGAATCTACTTTGATGCCTTAACTAGGAGTGCCAGAAAATATCAGCAATATTTATTATCTTTTATCAAATGTGTCAAGCAGAATATTTCTTTTTTTTTATCAATGTGAGCTTTTAATTAGAAAAAAAAACTTAATAAATCTATAACAATAATAACAAAATTTGTATATTTTGATTTTAAAAAATTAATACTTTACAGGTTGAGAGGCATGCATGGACACTACTTCAGAAGAATGCATTTTTTGACGAAAATTTTTGATATTCTACAGAATCTAACAGTTAATACTTCTATATGCCAAGCAGCACTTCAAGGTTTGGTTTTTCTTGGGAAGATGATCAATTTTCAGATGAAATGTGAAGATAAAAGTTTTAGAAAGGACTATGTTGTGCATGAATCCGAAGATCGTCTAAATATAGTTGATGTTGTACCTGAATCAGAAGATTGTCTAAATGGGGTAGACATGGATATCAGCATTGATTTGGAGGCATGTAAATTTGATTGCGCTGAGGTGTCACATAAAGTTGTATTTTTAGTTGAAAACCAGAAACTTATATGTTGTAGAAACTTACTATCAGAATCGTCACCTTTGTTCACTGCTATGCTTCATGGGAAATTTTTAGAGGCCAATAAAAATGAAATTGTGATAGAAGATACAACATTTTACGCCTTTCGCTATTTGATACATTACCTGTATAAATGTACTGACAAATGTCATGTAACGGGTCATTTTTTGGTTTGTGATAAATCTATTGAAAATGTCTATCATTGTTTGGAAGTCTTTTCATTGGCTATTAAATACCTCGTATATAGACTGCAAACATTCCTTCTACAAATTTTATCCAAGCATTTAATGACAGCTGAATCCTGTTGTCATGTCTTTGACTTTGCACTTTTGCATGATTTTTCTGATTTAGCAGACGACAGTGTTATTTGTGTAACAAAAAGGGGAAATAATCTGGAAAGAATGAAAGGACTTTATAAATTTATATGTGGACAAAATAAAGATGCTTTTCTGGTGACTCTTAAAGATTTGTTCACAAGTTCTCTCTAGAGTTGTCTGCATTTAAGTATAAGAAATTGGTGTCCATTTAGTCTGAGAAAACATTACTAAAATGATTAAAAATTAATGTGTATCTATGTTATTGTGTATCTCAAACAACTGACATTTACATTGAATTTATTATGTTTTTGATTACTCAAAACAATCAATGTTGAGGTTATGTAGGAAATTTAATATTCAAAATTAAAATTGGAGTTTTAGTTACTGTGATTTTCATCATGTCTCAGTAATATAAACAATTATTTCTTGATATAAAGTAAAGTTTGATTATTGATTTTCTTGGCTAAATTTTTATATATGCACTCATATATTTCTGAAAGTGAAGAAAATTTTGTAATAGTGACTTTTAGCCAAGCGAGTATTCTTTAGATAATTAAATGGACCAATATAGTATTCAGATTGCTTTAGTATCATCTTCAGGTATAAAAGGATGAATTCCATCAAATGATTAGAGTACTTAATTCAAATTAATGAAATTTCTACTAATGGAATAAATGTATTTTCATTAGTTATGCTAGAAAGGATACATATATACAAAGTCTCAAGTCATATCGCTACTCATTTTAAGACTACATATATAAAACAAAGGTATTTCTTTAAAAGAGAGGTCAAGTATTTTAAGCACTGGTTGGACTTACAAAATTGAGGTTAGAGTTTGGGACCATTTTTATATTACTTTAATACCAAATTAGACATTTAAAATTAATTTTGATAAGACCGCTAAAAATTTGAGATCATATATTGCTATCATGTCGTTGTCATCGTCATCCGAAGACATTTGGTTTCCAGACAATAACTTTAGTATTAGTGAATGAATCTCTTTGAAATTTAACCACTAGGTTCAATAGCACAAAAGGAAGGTTGGATTGATTTTGGGGGTCATGGTCCCAACTGTTTAGGAATAAGGGGTCAAAAAGGGGCCAAAAAAGGCATTTTTCTAGTTTCCGGACAATCACTTGTGTATAAGTGTATGGATCTCTATGAAATTGTACCACAAGGTTCCATACAACAAAGGGAAAGTTGGGATTGACTTTGGGGGTTATTGCCCAAACCGTTCAGGAATTAGGGGCAAAAAAGGGGGGAAAACAAGGTTTTTCTGGTTAATGGACAATTACTTAGGTATTTGTCTATGGATCTCTATGAAATTGAAACACAAGGTTTCATACCTCAAAGGGAAGGTTGGGTTTGATTTTGGGGGTTATGGCTCAAACTGTTCAGGAACAAGGGACAAAAGGGGGGGGACAAGGTTTTTCTGGTTTCCGGACAAATACTTAAGTATTAGTCAATGGATCTCTATGAAATTGTACCACAAGGTTCCATACCATACGCAGAAGGTTGGGGTCGATTTTGTGGGTTGTGGCTTTAATTGTTAAGAAATTAGAGGCCAAATAGGGGCCAAAAACAAGACTTTTCTAATAATTTCTAAGCTGGTTCTAACATAAATTATTTCTGATCTATATAAAGAAACAAAAAATACTGATATGGCAGGAGATACACACCAAACAGGGTGTGTAAATTATTATATTTAGTTTGTAAACAGATTTACTAAGTATTGTGCAACAGCAAGAAATCTTCAATTGAAAATAAATACAAATCTTTTAACCAATTTCAATGAGGATTGATTTAAAGTCAAAAACTGAATTCTTGTGGTTCTATGATATGCTGAATATTCAGATTTTTAATTTTGGGCCCTGTTTTCAAATTAGTCTATATTAAGATCCAAAGGGTCCAAAATTAAACTTTGTTTGAATTCATGGTTTTTTTTTATATGCTGAATCTAACCATGGAATTAGATTTTGGATATTGGACCATTAAATAGATTAAATTCCCATTTAAAATTTTTCAGTTATTTGACCACATTTATTCTGTGTCAGAAATCTATAATGTGTCAAATATTTAAGCACTATCCAAATTCAGAGCTGTATTAAGCTTGAATATTGTGCCCATACTTGCCCCAACTGTTCATAGTTCGACCTCTGCGGTCGTATCCAGCTGCTCCAGGCGGAGCGCATTTTTGAATTCTGCACTACCTAAAATTAGATATATATACATACCAGTGATCATCATAAATGTGGTTTTGAAAGAAATTAAATCTGGATCATCCTATGTAACATATAAAAAAGATGAAATTGAAAATTGAAACTACTGCTCAGGGCTTTTAACATTTTAAGACTTAATTTCAGATGTCCTTAGCCTAACTTTGTTGTTGTTATATGAATAATGTTTATGCCTGAAAACAATTGTGATATTTTATTTTATTGTTACAAGTTCTACATACTAAGACCATTGTTTATTAAAAAAATTAAATCTGATCACACATATGATTTGCTTTCTTCTTTTGACTACTAACATGTTGACGAGCTGACTATTACATTAAGCCCAATGGAATATTGTGAAGCTCTCAAACAGGAGGTGGTTGCCTACAGTAACATTTGTACAGGACACTTTTATAGGATGCCATTAAAATATTGCTTGCAAAAAGTATTATCATAATGGTAAAAGATGAACATGGTGTATGAATTCATGACACAAAATCCATTACAAATCTAACAAACCCAAAAACTAAGGAAAAGTACTTTTACTGCTGCTCCTCATCTTAACAACATGGTAAAGCCTTCAATACTTGGCAAAAGCTTACACCTTATTTCAAGATCAAGATGACCCCAGTTTCAGTGGCGGATCCAGAAATTTTCATAAGCAAGGGGGCCCACTGACTGCCATAGAGGGGGCCCGTTCCATTCATGCTTCAGTGATTCCCAAAATAACCAACAAAATCCCCCCCCCCCTAAATCCGCCTCTGAGTTTGAAATATATTTGCTTATTCCACTTATTTTCCACATCACTGTCCATTTTGATACCAAATTTGGTTCACAGCAGTGATTGGTGTAGCTTGTTTATATTGGTGTTTGCTGGAGCATCCACATCGTCGCACGTTTACTAATACACAGTTGTGTCTCCCTATTTTGAAAATGGAATCTACCTACTACTATTCATGCTCAGCTACTCGATGAAAGATGACATGAATGTGTTTAAACTGTTTACTCCAGTCTTAGGTCTCTGATTTGTGAAAGTTTGTTTTTAAAAAAAAACAAGCAACTGCAGTTTTTGGGAAGTAGAAAATGTCTTATAAAGAAGAAAGGATATGGGATATCGATCCATGACACAAAATCAGTATGTGCAAAGCAAAAAACACAAACAAAGGAAAAGCGCCTTTATTGCTGTTTTTTTAGTTCAAATTTATGTACTTTTTACTGACTATGCAGAGAGGTAAAAATGACAAAATAAATAATAATGCTATTGAACCAACTACTTATACATATGTTAAAACAAAGTGAACATGTTGTGACTTGGGGGACAAAATTAAATCAAAAAGGAAACAATGAACATAGTGTAAACATCAATGTTAAATTACTGAGAAATAAAGTGTATAGATGCTACATAATCACCAGTATGAAACTAAATCAACATTTTCTACATCGCTAAGAACAGTTTGACAAATACAACAAAACTTAGTTGTCAAATTAATTGCCGTGCGTCCATAGGACTCTGCATTTGATCTGGGACATAATATATATACTATTCCCAAATTTGATGCATTAATGAAGCATTCAAGTGAGTCCCAATCATAGAGATTGGTGGAAAGATATGTTTAATTCTTTGCAGCGTAAAAGCTTGCTGTATTGCTAGGCTCATAAAATTTGATAAGTCACTGACTTTCATCAAGTTTAATTTTGAGGCTGTCGTCTGGCCTATATTCCTGTACGTTTCTTTAGTTTATGGTCTTGGGTTAACATCAGGATGTTTTTCGAGTGCATGTTCTCTTGTCTACAGATTGACTATATTACTACACATCTCCATTTTTCATGTTAAACATGCTTCATTACGGTTATGGCCATTTTTATGGCGGGGTTATGCCCCCTTATCCATCTGTACGTCCGTAAGTCCCAAAATTGGTTTCCGTTCTCTAACTTTAGTTTGCCTCAACAAAATGTTATGAAACTTGCACACAATGCTTATTACCACAAAACACAGATCAAGTTTGAATTTTGGTGGCGTCACTTTTACCGTTCTAGAGTTATGCCCTTTACAAATGGAAAAATTGCTGAATTTTTCGTTTCCGTTCTCTCAACTTTAGTTTGCCTCAACCAAATATTATGAAACTTATACACAATGCTTATTACCACAAAACACAGATCAAGTTTGAATTTTGGTGGCGTCACTTTTACCGTTCTAGAGTTATGCCCCTTTACAAATGGTAAATTGCTGATTTTTCGTTTCCGTTATCTAGCTTTAGTTTGCCTCAACCAATACACAATGCTTATTACCACAAAACACAGATCAAGTTGAATTTTGGTGGCGTCACTTTTACCTTTCTAGAGTTATGCCCTTTACAAATGGAAAAATTACTGAATTTTTCGTTTCCGTTCTCTAACTTTAGTTTGCCTCAACCAAATGTTATGAAACTTATACACAATGTTTATTACCACAAAACACAGATCAAGTTTGAATTTTGTTGGCGTCACTTTTACCGTTCTAGAGTTATGCCCCTTTACAAATGGAAAAATTGCTGATTTTTCGTTTCCGTTATCTAGCTTTAGTTTGCCTCAACCAATACACAATGCTTATTACCACAAAACACAGATCAAGTTGAATTTTGGTGGCTTCACTTTTACCGTTCTAGAGTTATGCCCCTTTTCAAATGGAAAAATTGCTGAATTATCGTTTCTCGTCTCTAGCTTTAGTTTGCCTCAACCAAATGTTATGAAACTTATACACAATGCTTATTACCACAAAACACAGATCAAATTTGAATTTTGGTGGTGCGCTTTAACCCTTCTAGAGTTATGCCCCTTTTCAAATGGAAAAATTGCTGAATTTTTCGTTTCCGTTCTCTAACTTAAGTTTGCCTCAACTAAATTTTATGAAACTTATAAACTGTGCTTATTACCACAAAACTCAGATCAGGTACACATTTGGGTAGTGTCACTTTTACAGTACTTGAGTTATGTCCCTTTACAACGTTATATGCAAGCGGGGGCATCATCTGTGTCCCATGGACACATTCTCCATTTAGTTTTATCTAAGTAATAACATAATGCCAAATTGTATGAGGTTAGAGTTGAGGTCTGATATAGCGTTTTTTTTTGTTTGTTTTTTTTCCTAAATATCTGCAAAATACCATGTGGGTAGTTCAGGAGATTTTTTTTAATGATAGGTCATTGATTTATGGTATGGTATTGTATTAGCATAAAATCTATTGTATTTGAATCTTCTCTCTCCCGTTTGGCTTTGTGGGATATAAAAAATACACAGCACGTCTGGTCGGAATGAGGTCACTAAATTTGATGCCCCGTGTAAGGAGAATGACATGTTCTCTTCGATTAAAGAAGACAATTGTTCTATTGTATTGATAATTTGTTTTCGTCCTCAATATGCATGAAATATTTGCCACAAGACAAAGCAACAAAAAATCAATCATTTCCCCTTTCAACCAAGAGTCGTTAAGGAATTTTGGAATGTGATAAATTGTTCAAATGTTTAATTATCTTATTTTGTGCATTTAGTCAAAAGTATACACACATTACACCGTTGATTTGGTTAATATGTGGTAAGCGTTTCCATTTGTATTGATGCATTTCAGCCAACATGAATTTTTCTATTGTTCAAATTAATGTTTTTAAGTTTCCTGATAGGGTTTATACAAGACAATTGATACGTGGCATGCTATTGTGGTTGCATATTTGCATTTCAGTTTCAAAATGAGTGAAAGAATTGAAAGCTTACACAAATAATTATATTTATTGTTATCATTAAACATGTTAGCACTTGCATAAAAATATAAATTGCATCTAAAATGACCGTATTTTATCGAAACGACTTTTCTTAAAACAAAAGAAATATACTTTGAACTCGTTGTAAAGCTTTTCATATTTCGAGGTACAGTGTAAAACTGGATAGTTTAATTTTAGGCAAGACATAATAGACTAGTGTTAAATTCTACCACATTATCCATTTATCATACAACAATATGTCATCAAAATTAATATCTGTATTTGTAATAGGTACTTTTAGTACAACACAATCTACGTTGACATAGCTAAAACTGTCTGGTAGTTGAAACGATTCTCTAATCTTCCGCCTCTTTGTGTTATAGCATTCAACCATTCTAACATCACAGTCCTTTTGGTAGCTTTTACCACCTATCAGGTACACATTTCTTCCTAAAAATAAAGAGTTATTCCGCTTTGAATAGCACGAAAATTACCTATAGCGTTAATCATTGTCTTGAAAGAAGCAAACTCGACTAGTATTTCTATCAAATTTATGCCAAGGAATCATTAGTTTTCATCTGTCTTTTTATGTCTTGTGTCGGATATGTCTTGACTTCAAAATAATAACTAAAAGGTAATGCAATTTTTTGTGTCTATAAATTTTGGTACGTATTAAGTTGTTTATTGATGTGGTTTGTGTGACACCAAGTGTAAAATGTAAGGTTACCCCAGCTTACAAGTATTTTACAGAAGAACTCACCCAACAGTACAACACCAGCATTTCCTCTTGGATTGAACACATTAGGATGGAATATATCCCAAATCCCGTCTTTTCTCGCATTGCCTTTCGTATGGGTATTAAAACTGCAAACGGCTCCCTCGTCTTTTTCTGAGAAAGTTTCTTGATCAAATCCACGTCCTAAAGATAAGACAAAGTGAAATGACAATATCATCAAATATAATAACAACGATTGATTCAGTCCAGTTGTACATATTTCAGACCCATCTTTAGCGAGAAACCGAAATAGTGTTCAAATAAGCTCTAGTGTGTTGTTTAACTTCATGGATGGAAAATAAAAATTATAATGTTATTAGAAATTATCACGATATAGCAATTCAGCACAGCGCTGATGAGTAATTCCGTAACAAGTTAAAATTTAAATAATTTCATAAAATGTTTCCTTTATCCGTCCTTTAGAAGAAGTTACTAGATCAAACCTTTAACTGTGTACAACAGACCGAAACAATTGACTATCTTGAAAATACCAACAGAGTGTGAAACGGCAACATTTAAAGCCATGTTATCACAACCAGAGTGGTCCATCAAAAACTTAGCCAAAGTCAAAGTTTCCAGTTTACAGTATTTCCGGCGATTGGTCAAAGAAAAGGCGGAAATTCAATGTTAACAATAACAAATCTCATTAACTACATCTTTTCTCTTACTTTTATAATTTGATCATTTATATAAATTCTTTCCCCTCAACCAATTTCCACAATCATGTCATTGGTCAATAAAAATGGTCTTTTGAATTTTCTGGGAGTCATCTTGCTTATCCAGTTCTCATTTTCTCGCCGTTTTTATCATTTGCTATATTTTTTTCTTTAACAAAACTGTATTATTCATTAACTCAATTCTAACTGACTTATTTGCATCGTCTGATTACAATGTGTGCAAGATACAAACCTCCTATAACTACCACTCTTTTGCCAACTGAAATCATATTATGTTTTTCTCTTTCATGTGGAAGAATTACTCCAGGAAGAGGCTCTGTCCATTCATTAGTGATGGGGTCGTATGTCCTAAGAGTAAAAGAAGAAATAATAACAAAATCTGAGTTTTATCTTTTTGGTAATTCTATTTCTACTCTGTATGCTATGATGGTATCCAGAGAAGGTCTGCGTTGTATCAGTAGAGTTTAACAAGATTCCTACATTTTCATTTTTTCTTTTCTATCAAATTCAATATCGCTCGTATGATATACTGTGCAGGGGGGTACATAAGTATGCCATCTTCTGTGTTTTTTGTATAGCTCTACAATTTGTTGAAAAACTAAAAAAAAACGACTCAAATTAATAACTTATCTTTTCATTTTTTTCGTCATTATTAAAGTTGAAAAATTATATATAAAGCATGAAGTATACGCATATGATAATGATATATAATTAAAAACATCTATATTTATGTAGATTTGCAATGTTGACCAGAACTGCACTGATTTCCCTATTATTTTATTTTAAGCGTTATTCCAAAAATATATATAATAAAAGCGTGTTTATATAAAATATGTTGCTCACTCTTTTCATAGTTCAGGGTATACAATACATTAGTATTTGTATGTAATATCAAGGAGGTTCTATTCGGAATAGAACATCCTTTGTTTCTGTAATTACTAATTAAAACGAAATTAAATAAACAAAGTCACTAAAGTAATTGTCCATCACACGGAACAAAAAGATTTAATTATTAAAAAATTTGTTTAAACACGCGACAAAATGGGTACAAACGAATATACTGTCAACAAAAATAATTTTCACGTATAAAATTTCAAAGCGTTTCACTTTCTCTTACTTCTTTCATTATTTTACCTGACTCATAGAAAGGTATGAATCACTCATTATAATTTTTCAATTTTCAGGTGTTTCAACGCTTTTTGGAAACAGTTGATTCTTGCTTAGACAATGATTTGTTCGATTTTTTATGTTAATTGTACTTTTTTTCATATTTTATTGATAGAATAGAATAAAAGACAAAGCGTTATAATAATTCATTGTTTTCCTTTTATAAAAAAGTGTGAGTCACTCTATGGTTTTACCTCTCAACATTAGACAAGATGTTGCTAGTTTTCTATTGAATATAAACGATTTCAAGTAAATGCATTAAATGTAAAGAACAAATAGTTAGATAATTTCAAAATAAAATGATATTTGCCAATGTTTTTCCTAAAGGTTTAATTTTTATAGTACTATAGTATTTATCAATAATTATTGTAATGCTCTGCATATTTTTATTTGTTATTTCATTAAAAAGATATATTTGTCAACGTTTTTTTATAAGTAACAATTCTTCAATAATTATCAATAACAATTGAGAGGCTCTTCGAAATATTATTTTTATCAGTTTAAAAGGATTTTTTTTTATCATTTCTGTAAAAGTAAAAAGAAAGAAGAGTTCAGTAAAACGAGAGTACTTTTTATTAAAGAATAAATGAGATGATTTCAGTTGAAATAATTAAGATTTAACAAAAATACACGAGTTAAAAAATAAGAAGTTAGTGTAGTTGATTTTTATTTTATTTGTTAAAATGAGGGAAAACGTTTGACTTTCCATTCGAATTCTTCTGACACAAATAGATTCCTCGAGCGTTGCTCTTGACAAATACACAAGCGGCTAATTAAAAAACCAAAGGAAAACGACCTCGCTCGCATGACTTGTGACTCATATTGAGTTAATTAATGATTTTTTTTTTATACTGCCACGTTTGTAAAAAAATGTTTAATGTCCCATTTCCTAGGATAATGACCCAAATAATAAAAAATATTATGACAGATGTCTATAATTTAGATTTTATCATTTGTTAAATACCGTTTTTGAAATAAATATCTGTAAAACACTGAAAAGAAATTCAGGCAGAAAATATGAAGTGTTGAATTTCAGTATTTAGTAGAATATCTTCTTTTATGAAATTGATGCAGTTAATAGTTTGTTCTCATTAAAAATTAAAAAAAAACCTTCTTTATTTAACGAGGATTGCTAGCAGCATAGAGCCAACTAGTTGAAAAGTGGGGAGATGATATTAAGGATGCAATAAAAACTGTAAGTCGAAGAAGAAACAGACAAAACCGTGACAAATAGAGGAAAAAAACATAAAAGATAAACAGCAGTCAACAGAAAACAACACCAAAAAAATAAAGATAAAGCTAACGATATTTTGTTAATGAAATAGTGTTTTTTTTATTATTTCAATTGGGGCAGCATATAAAAAATTAAGCAGCTATTTCAGTTTATTTCGTCATAGTTGGATATTAATATGCCGGTGTCCACGTTAGAGTCTAAGACTTTCAATTTGTAAGAACTGCTGGTTGAATTTAAATCCCCTAGGGTATCATCAGTATAAAGAAGCCAGTGCTTCGCTTTTGACATAATTTATTACATTCATTTCTAAAATTTTCCAAATTAATAAAATGGTAAAATTTAAGGTTCCGGTAACTCTCTCAGATAAAGTTGACTTCTAAAAATGATTATTTCCTTGTTGTTCATATAGCTTGTCAACTTGAGTAAATCCATGGCTTTCAAATTTTCAGTGGATTTGAGCGTTCCTGGTGCAGGATAAGCCAGAAAAGTGCTAGCCCCAACCGGCGTCAAGTGGTATTTTCATTATGTAACATAAGATCCCTTTTATAAATGTTAAAATTAAGATTCCAATAAATACATATAAGTTACGCCACTGCGTTCTCGTAAATTATGATGCGTAGAAGAAGCTTCTTCGTATAACTAACGTATACCACCATTTCTGAAGTTGTCCATTACAAACACAACAGTAAACTAAACGAACGATTTGCAATTGTATTACTATTTTCAATTAAACGTTTTTACAAAACAAGAATTTAATAAATATCAAACCTTTTTACAGTCTCGGCTAAGCAGGAATATATATATTGACTGTTCACAGGGCTAAGTCACATGTATTCTTCAAATAAATTTTCTTCAAATTACATTTTTTAAAAAGATTTGATAAACAAATGATTGATTGATTGATTGTTGGTTGCTTAACGTCCAGTGGCAAATATTTCATGCATGTTCAGGACGATATAAACAAATGAAACTTAACAACTGGACGAAGTACTTAAATAAACAATATGCCTTACATTTCTGATAAGATTAACGATACCAATTTTATAACAGAGTAAATATAAGTATGATAAATAGTTTGAGCAGTATCATATAGTTGTAGCGACTACATACTAGGCTATATTTTATACCAAGGTCACCCTTTAGACCACTTACAATTCAAATATTTTGTAAATGTTCTACACATTTCTCTGCATATATAAATGAGATACACTATAGATAAATCAATTAATCATAAACACTTTTCTGAATAGTACAACTATTGTAGATGAAGTAGAAATTGCAATTACATATTTTATATTCAGACCACTGTGCAGCCCGTGAGTTGAAATAAACACTATGCCAGTCGCAGTGCTTTCGAGATTTCTGTTATAATCTGCGACAAATAATAAATAAAATGGATTCAAATATAGGCATGTCTTTTGCAATGGCATGTGTTAATTACCAGTAATGTATGAATCATGGTACAAGCATGAGAATTAACATTATAGCGACCACTAATCTCACCACGAAAGAACTATATAACTATCAAATTGACTAAGAAGACAACGACTTCAACATTTAATTAAGCTAGAAGCACATAAGAACCATCTATTATGGAACTAGCTATTATCATTTGGTAAAATGGTCATAATTACGGAAACTGACCGGTGATTAAATCGGAGATTACGAGTCAATCTCGACCATGACTCACGCTATTGTCTTTTTCACAATCAATCATATTTTAATGAAATATGACAACTGGACATGGTCAGTTCAATAAACGCTCATTAGTTCAATTGTTGGACATTGGTTGGACAGCATCACTGTCCATTTCCGTGACAGTAGGAAGTCCAACGAACCTGTAAGGTGTCGAGTCCTTTAGATGACACGGAGATCATCTTAAGAACAGAATAACGTATTTGTTAGAAAATATCTTATCCATTTCATTTTTGTTTGTATGGACTCATGTACGACAGTGAATTTGTATTATTCACTTTCCCTGAGAAAAAAAAACAAACCATTAAAAAGCAACAAAAAAAAAGCAAAAAAAAAACAAAACCAAATAAATAAAAGAAAACACGAAAAACAAAACCTTTGTTCATGTGAAAACTAAGTTTTAGTAGTTGTACATTGTGCTTTGGGTCGATCTGATCAGTCGACCCCTTTTCTGATAGTTGGTTCTTTTGTTTTGCTGCTACACCACACCAGTGACCTATAGTTACTTAAATCTACATCAGTCGGTCTCTGGTGGGTAGTAGTGTCTTTGGCAATCATACCATATCTTCTTATTTTATAAATGTGAAAGATATTCATATTGATGCACACTTCGATAAATAATACCCGATGGATTCTCAATATCAAATTATTTAAAACGTTTTTTTTCCTGATTGACTGATAATAGTTTGCTTTAATCCAGTGATGACGAAAAATACTCAATTCACTTATCATGTAGCAGATGATTTTTGTGATTTTGTTTGTTTGATGTATACGCAGTATATACAACCACATGACACGGTTTAAGTACGTAAGCAATGCAGCGGTATCCTACAAAATAACATTGGAAAAACCAAAATGATGATTAAAAAAACAACTTTAAAAAGTATAAAAAGCAATTCACAATCAGATATGATAATAGGTATAAAATATAAAAATTCCATATTGATCACGTGATAACAATTTGTTTGCAATTTGTAATATGCTACAATTTACCCAAAAAAATAACGCGTCCCCCAAGAGGTAAATATACGTAAGATGACGCATTGGTTGTTGGTTAAATTTGATAGCAGGATAAATAATTCATCTGCATTTATCGACGATAAGACCAATTTACTGTCTTGGTGATGAGGATAAATTTAATGGACCATAATTTTGTGTACTGGAAACCGTTAACTGTGGCTAAGGTCAATACTTAACTGCTATCAACATCCTTCAGAAACATTTACTGTTTTATGGAGGAGAAACAATTATCTAATTTTACAATAAAACAAGTATTTGGCGAACTTATCAGCTCTCAAAATCATATGATAAAGCACATTAATGCTTTGTAATTATATCAAAAGCAAACAGTAAAAACTTTGATGAATAATGCTTATAATTGTCCAATAGTTATCATCAAATTTTCTGTATAAATATCAAGTTTTTCTTTTACAAATGACACACTATAAAACTTTTTTCTTAGTGTATGCCAAAACATTTTATTTCCGTAACAGACTGAGCGAGCAAAACCTTGACGCTAAGCATTTTCAATTTTTAACCACCATGCTTCAGCCGAGAGAGATTGGTTTGTTTTTTGAAAAAGGATAGATGGCCTTTTAATAATTTCATAGCAATTAAAATTGTTTACAAAAAAGTGATATGCACTATATTTTATAAATCTTTTATTTTCAGATATATTATAACATGTCTGAATTAAGGTATAACCAATAACCTGCCAGCATCCAGTGCCGATCAGTAAATTACCATTCTGTAATGAAGTGCGTCAAATAAACTCTGATTGACTTGTTAGCGTATTGTGCAGGGGTAAATTGGCCGTCAAGAAACACACGTTTTACTATTTCAAGTAATTAATTTGTGGTTTCAACTTGTAAAAGGGGTTTGTGTGGTACAGTTAAACAAACAATTTCCTATCATTAATGTTATTTCAATTTAATTAAAACATAATAATGAACTGTTAATAGAAAAAATGAACTGTATTGTAGTTTCGTTTTGTAATTTAACAAAAGTGATAAAACTTCAACGATGCGATATTTTCCAAATTAATTTATATGCATATATTCTGATCTTTTCTGAAAGATCGTGAGAATGCATAATTTTATAATTTACAGTACTGGTAAATTTCAATTTTTATTTGCTAATCGTTAATAGCAATACTTGCACTAATGGCTAGTCTACAAAATTACCATTTGATTCTTGATTGATTATTTGTTGTTTAACGTTTGATCTTTTTTTTTTGCATATAATGTTGAAGGCAGTCTGCTTTTCTATAAGCCAATATTCGATAGACTAGATATAGCATGGTATTCTTGCCCAACTTCCTTATATATCAAAATATATATTTTTCATCGATTTGTATTTTTATCGCACTTAATATAAAATCAGGGGTCGGATCTAGAATTTTGCATTCAAGGAGGAGTGAAAAATAGGCGAGGGACTTATCCCAAGTTTTCATTTCCGATATTCTCGCAAGTTGAACGACATGACTGCCTTTTAAAATAGAAATGAATAAAGTCGTAAAATCAGCAAAAATGCACCCTCCATACTCTCCAAAAAAAACATTTAACAAAAGATAAAAGTTTCTAAGTCTTTGAGAAATGATATAATATGTGATCTTCTTTAAGAATTATAGTTGATGACCCCAACCTGCATCAGACATGGTCGCTATAATGACTACAAAGAAAGGCGAAATATATCAAAGGGATATTCACACTCATAAGTCGAAAACAAACTAACAATGCCATGGCTAAAAATTGAAAACGATCAAAAGACAAACAACAGTAAACAAAACACCACATAGAAAACTAAAGACTAAACAACACGAAACCCACCAACAACCGCGAGTGATCTCAGGTACTCCGGCAGGGTAAGCAGATCCTGCTCCACATGTGGCACCCGTCGTGTTGTTTATGTAAGTTCAAACCCGGTGATAATTCGGTAGGCCACACTAGAGGAAAAGAGGACGGGATTGTGGTTACGATAATTGGAACATATCAGTCGTAATCTATGAAACAGATATTCCATAACCGTCAACCAACTAGTGATGGCGTCCGTAAAATTTTCGAATGGTATAGATTTCAACTTCACTACATGAAACTCTTTGTTTAATAGCATCCTTGTAAGTAGCAACCCTCTATCAATGAAATAATGATTAAAATGCAAGCTCTGGAATATCGTATCAACTGGGGGATATATACTCTATGTACAGGAGCTGCTAGAATGTTGCTGCATAGAAATCGAAAGTCACAATTGGGAATATAAAGGACCTAGTTGTCAATTTCTTAATATAAGTCAAGATATGGTGCAGACTAAACTGTATCTGTTGTATCCTTTATTTCAAGTTCGATGGGATAGATGCGTTCAAATAGAAAATTGGGCAAGTAAACAAATCAAAAATTCTAGAAACTCATTTAAAAGGCCAATTCCACATTTAGAAATGATACTTTCTGATAAACTTCCCAGGGTGCTAAGACACCAAAAACATACTAAAATAGAAAATTTGACAAAGACAACGTAATTAGCAATTCTGATAAAACTATACAATAGTGCAAATTAGGGCTGTAAATTCTCTAAAATAAACCTAGTGACCATTATTTGTGACAGGTTTTTTTTTTTATTTTAATGAGTTTAAACAATTCTATAAAATTTCTTTATTTTTTTTTACTCAAATATCTGAATAAATTGTGAATTGTATGTTTAACAAAAACTACAGTAAGTATATTTCCTTGCAATTCAACGTAGGCAACCTTCAAAAAAGTAAAGACGATAAAGATGTTTATTGCAATAATCATAATTATGCTATCATCATAGCATATTCAAATTATTTTTGTAAAATGTCCAATATAGGGACAAAGGTTGTCTGCCAAACTCCTCTAATAGCTTATATTTTTTCACAGAATATGCAATGATTTATGGACGATTGCAATGACCGTAGTATTGGCGGACGCAGTTGGTAAACATTTATAGTACTTCAGCGGACAATTTGGACGATAGAGATGAAGTAAAACAAATCAAATCTAATCATGAAAAAACTATACAGATTACCGTGACGTACGACATAAAATTATTTCAATCTGATAAACTTGAAAATAGTTAAAATAACGCATACAATTATAAAAATTGAAACATGATGTCATCTAAACAAAATTTTACGGCATGATTCCTATACCTGACTCAACATACCATGTGACCTGATGAACTTTAAACATATGTGAACACTACGAATCAAGACATCGAATGGATTTTGCAAAACTCACTTAGTAATTATTTAGTTGTATTGGAAACGTAGCCAATAGCTACTAACATGCAGTCTCTATGCGCAGTAATCATTATTATATAAAACAACTTGATGCATTATAAATATTTGATAAAGAAGTTAATTATTGCATAATTACAAATTATTTTCATATTACTTCGAAATTAATGAGTATATTATTCTTGCATTAGTTGAACAAATCTAAAGCATTGAGCAACTTTAATTGATTGTTAACGCGAAAAAATTAAATACATTTGTCGGAAAAAACATACAGAAAATATGTCCAATTTAACTATCTCGGCTAAGTCAAGCACAAAAAAAGTCGAGAACAATTAGTGAACTGAGCTTCTATTTTGGCACATGAAATTATAATAAGTTAAATTAATATGGAAGTGAAATGCAAATTCATTTATTCTTTTCAAAATACAATTTCCTAGCAACGTTTAGGTATGAGTATATTATCTCTTGGATGGATAAACTAAATGTTTTTTTTAACCATATCGGTTTGAATTTAGAAACATATTTCAAAAATTAAATATTTTTCTCTATACATGTCTATTGTACTTTTTGCAAGCACAGCTTGGAAATAACTTTGATCATAATTATATATTGCTAATTTTATTTTTCAATATATTAAAAATGTAAACCAAAGAAAAGAAATAAAGCTCCATGCTACTACCTATAAATAGGATAATGAAGTTTTCTAATATATACAGGAACAGATGTTTTTGCAAAAATGTTTTATTTACAAATTGGTAAAATTGTTATTAGATAGTGTAATTAACTATTCATGTTCGAAACAAATACTGCTTGGCTTTATATCACTCTAATTATTCTACTGACTTTATGAATCACTACCATGATGTAACGATTAAACTAATGACGAAAAGCTTTTTTTCCACATCTGTAAAAAATCGACGCATCCTGACCATTTCTTTAAGAGATGCCGACTTGATGTCTTTCTATAGTGTGAGTCACATTGTAGCCGACCATTTATAGAGAGAGAGGAAAAGTTAACGAAAGTCTCTTGACAAATAGATGATTGTTTGATGTTTCTGCATAAATATAATTGGTACAAATAGTACGTTTGTGCATAAAACCAAATCAAAGATCATAGGTCTCGGAAAATGGGGAAAACGCGGATCAAGTATAGATCATTTTTAATGTTTTCATGTTTGCATGGTTAACGTACTAACATCTGAAACATCTCTATCTTCATGCTATAGGGAAGACCATTACAATCTTTGAATTTAAGTAAGCAAAAGAGAACGTCTGCTTGTGCGTCATCCAATCATGTAAAAAAATATATTTGCAATTTTACAACTCACTTGAAAAATAGTTTGTTTTTTTTTTGGGGGGGGGGGGGGGGTAAATGTCATTTTTTAAAACTGTATTGAATTTTGTTATTTTTGATGTTATCATCATATTCTGTTTAAAACACTAAATAACACTTTATGTATATAAATTTGCTGCGTCCGAATCGCCTCTCTGGATTAACCTTTATGTGAAACGTTCAAAGCAAATATTTGAAAGCCAAGAATGAATAAGTATATTTAAAAAAGCGACTTATATGAAATAGAAATTTGATGTTTCTGCATAAATATAATTTACATTTATCTGAAGTTCTATAATTTTTGTAACGCATGCAATATGAAATACAGATCAAACATTATCCTATATTTATAGGTAAACAATTATCTGATCTATACTTACCAAAAAACGTTAGAACATTGATGCTTCAAATTACTGATGCCCCCTGAAGCATATAAGTTCAACCCATTCGCACACGCTGCGTGATCAGCCCTTGGTCTGGGTAAATCTAGGATTTCTGTCCATTTGTCTTTAACTGGGTCATAACATTCACAACTTTCTGTAACTTTCCCTCCAATTACTTCTCCCCCTGCAATATTTTTGAATACTAATTCAGATTTGTAAATAAAAAAAAATGAAAAAAAATACCTATATATGTTTGTTATCACTACATCTACACGAACACATATAAGATAATTATGTCATAATCAGTTCCAATTACAATTAAAATTAAAAATGGTAAAGCCTTCAGAACTGATATTTCGGACAGCTAGTGTGTAAATTTTTTTACTGGTTCGATTATGTCCTATTCCCGAGGGTGACATTTTGACATAGTGTGGATTTGCATGGCGGGTAAAGAATACATGTTGGAGGAGACGCTTACTCTGTCCTTTTTGATGTCATGCAATTCTCTCAGTTTGGTACCTTGATTTGCTGCAGTCTTCCCAGTCTAATTATGTGACTTGAACATCGGTAAAATACTGTTGCTTTAAATCATGCTGAGCTGCACATTAGAAATATGTTGCCCAAATAATTTCGTGTCATTTTTGACTGAATCTGAGTTTGCATTATGGATGATGCATACATAGTTGGAGACGCGTACTATGTCGACGCAACCAGTCTAGCTCCGCTTTATATTCAAAAAGGATTTCCAAGTTTTGAACTGCTGTTGACTTTATATGATACAGAAAACGTAAAAAGTCATTTAGTTTGTATTCGAATATTTCTGTTCATCAGAATTTCTGACTGCATTTCCCCCCAATATTTTAATTCGTTTCGGAAAACATGGCACTCTGATTTTGTTGTTGTAATATCTTCTACGTCGTACAATTAGGGGGGGGGGGGGTGTCAAATTTTAATAATGCTGGTGTCTGAGCCTGCACACAGATACAAAATGACATAAAAATGAAATTGTAAATTTCTAAGGATGCTTGAAAATGAATATTTGTATTCAGTTTTCGTTACCCCTATTTGAGTTTTCACGGATCGACAAAGAACCAAGTGAAAGTTAAAATTTCATATAAAATCATTCAATTAAAATGATTGAACGCAATATTGGTGATTAAAAAGCATGACTATACGGTACTCTAAAAATAGAAAATACCGAAAAAGAGGTAAAAGAGAAAACTTGTTGACATAATAACAAATTAACATCAACGAAAATCGCAATAGCCTGCATGAAGGGTTCTGCAGATTAAGCAATATAAAAATACTGCACTGATGTGACCCGGTTATCCAGTATAACTTCTGATTTGTTCGACTAAGACTACGATACGGTGACTGCTTTAAATAATCCTAACACATTTTGAAAGGGTGATAATTCCCAAAACCACCAATTACGAATGATAACGCGACAGCATGGTTTTATGTGCCGCATGGCTTAGGGGGAAATACTACAATAAATTATGCTTTCCTTCAATTAAAATTATAAAAAAAATTGTAATGGATATATTCAATCGTCTTAAATTCTCTAGATAAAAAAATAGGCAGCAATACTTTGTGTTTCCCTCCTTGGAAAAAGCATTAAACATTAACCAAATATGTGAATAAGGCAAATTAAAAATTACAAAATAGCCAATCGGTTACCGCAAATCAAATGCAGAGAAACAATGTAACGAATAAATGAAACAAAATAGAGACAAACAATCATCTAAATATAAAATTAAAGACTAAGTAAATAATAAAACGTTCTACACCTCGATGTGCTTCGATACCTTTGGGTTGTGCATGGTCATCTGATATTAGTTCGCAAATTAAAAAAGGACCAGAGATATGGAGACGTAACATATCCTTTTTCATCTGTGACACATATGTTCACCTCCAGTTTTTAATGGGGTTCGTGTTGCTCTGTCTTTAGTTTTCTATGTTGTGTTTTGTGTACTATTGTTTGTCTGTTTATCTGTTTGTCTTTTTCTTTTTTTGCCATGGCGTTATCGGTTTGTTTTCGACTTATGAGTTTGAATGTCCCTCTGGTATCTTTCGCCTCTCTTTTGTGTGTTGTCAGGTAAACCACACCAGCGTCCACACATCCTACCATTCAGAAGGTTCTTTATAAGAAGAATTCTGCTATCAAGGAAATCCCTATAAGGAACAAAGTTTATGGAGTATCGTTAATACTATTAGTTACATAGTGTGCTAATGGCCTAATACAATATATATGGGGTCAGTAAATTTCATATTGGGTGAGAGCGAAGCTCGAATCCCCATATGGAATTTACTGACCCCATATATATCGTATTAGGTCACTAGTACACTATGTAACGAATTTATCTTACCGACTATCTTAACATGAGGTATTTAGACTAGTGGCCTATCAAAGTGATCAAGTCTTCAATACCGTTAGTATTAAGAAATTATACTTCCATTGGTCTATACAAAAACAAATGCCAACAATAACAACTTGTTAGCTTTAGATGTGTTTTATGAATTTATTTCACTCGTTCATCATCAATTTCTTCGTCTTCTTCTTTTCCTCAACACCGTGTTGTTTTTATAAAGTTATACCACTACTAACCGTGTATTGAAATAAGCCCCGCCTACTAACGCAATATGGAATATACACGGTCTCCACGCGGTTGCTTTTAACCAATCATATTCCTAGAAATGTATAGGAGGTAAGATAATTTAAGATATACCGTCCATGGACACTGATGCTGTTTGATAGGTTCTACATATAAAATACAGAGTTCATCATGAATAAAATTAATAAAACATTAAAATGCAAGAGGAATTCCAAAAATAATGGACAATACAACAGACCATAGTAACCACATACACCCCAATACTCTGAGAAAATGGACGTACAGACAAAAGAACAACAACGAACAACACATGGTCCAGATAGCCTGACTTAAAATATGATGGGGTTAAACCAGCCGCTTACACCTATACATCTTTGGTCTCTGGTGGATAGTTGTTTCATTGGCAATAATACACCACATCTCCTTATTTATAATACGTATACGACCGACGAGATTGAATAAACTTTACCTATTGACCATGTTAATCGGTTTTTTTGTACGTAACATTCTTCTATCAAGGAAATTCATCTATAAAAACACGGTATATGGAATATCGTTTATAGTTTAAGATATACACTCCAGATGCTGCTTCATGTAGAGGAGCTTTATTCTGTCATTATTTAGTTTAAGGGTTTCTGTACTTTAGCGTTTTGTTTCAGTTTAGGTTTAGGTTAGGATTGATTTGAGGTTAGGGTTGTGTATTAGTGTTGCGATTAGAGCTTTGGTTATGCATACTATAGGTATGGACTAGCTTTAGGGTTAGGACGGTATAGATCTTTACGGGTTGCGTCTCTTTAGGCAAATAAGGGCCCTATAAGTCCGTTGACATACACAGAAAGTTCACGACGAAACAAAATATGTCATGTTTATCTTTCCCAGCCACTGAAAATTTACTTGCATAGTTGTATCTGTGGAACCCCTTATTCTAAGGTCATTGGAATAAATGCAACTAACAAATAAACTATTTTTTTTAAAATTATGAATAATTAGACAAAGAACATTTTATGTATAGCAGACCAGTTGCTTATCTTTTTATTAACAGTTCTTGTATTATATCTGACTCATGATTAAAGGAACAGCCGAGGTTTCTCTCCTATATATCGCCGGAACAGTGTGCAAAAATAAAATGAAAGGCATGTGTTATTAGCAGGTGCAGAACAATCGCCGAACGTTTCATGGTTTTGAAAGAATGGATAGGTAAAAATGATATAGGGAAAACACAAACACATGCAACCAAAATAAAAGATGCCATTTAAAATCGGAATTAATTATTTGACTAGAATTGTCGTCTAAAAAGACACAGCTAACATTTCCTTTACATTTTCTTTGATTTTTTCAACCAAAGTCTTTAACTTATTTAGATCAATTTACACATGTCCAGTAGATTCAAGGCGGCGACAAGGGATTATTCTATTCATGGTTTTAAAGCAGAGGAAACCTTTTTCTTTCGCACTTTTTGTTTTCAGTAAAAAGGTGAAATAATACCGAATAAAGCATCACAATACATAAGGACTAAATAATTCTAGAAGGGCGATTTCTTTAAAAGGTCGTTTCTAATTTGTCATAACTGTCAAATCAAGGCATATATTTCACTATCACATTCTCATTAGAGGCCGATCACGTATCAATTATTTGGTTAAGGCGACAACAGGAAAAAAAGATAAATGTTCATAAATAATTTGCGCCTTCTAATGAAGATTGAAGAATAAACTTGTAATTTGATCATTGGAAAACAATCCTGTCGGTCTTTTCAGTGTGCTCGGGTTATTAAATTAAGATGAGTCGCGCTAACAACGTTTTCTTAGGAAAAATTCCGTTACATTTAATATCGATGAAAGAAGGAAACACGATGCTGCTTAATTCAGCATGGAATTGACAGACTTGGATCGTGTTGATTTCAAATGAAACTTACACATCAGTAAAGCACGTGTTTGATTGGCTACATCTTGCAGCAGATACAGCGCGTCAGGTTGTTTATTGGCGGATTCCTGTGCAGTATCATATTAATTAATTAATATGTATTAGAAACAGCGAAAATAATTGGTCGTTTGCTGTATTTGGTTATTAATCTGTGCATGATTCATTCTGGAAATTAATTATTTGAAAAGTGGCATGACTCACATTTTTAAACAATTTTCTTTGATGGAAAAAGATGTTTTAGTAATTAATTTAGCAGAAGCTTTCATTAAGATTATATATACTATAAATCATAACGCACGAAATTATTATAGAGATTTCAAATTATATTGACTGTATGTTTAAATCTTCATTTTATTTGGAAAATTTAAATTATGAAATGTTTTTAAGATTTTGAAAAAATATTAGATGCAGAAAATTGTGATATTGCAAAATCTTAAGAGAAAAAAAAATAAAACTTTAAATAATTTTGTCATAGTTACCGCTGTTATTGAAGAATATCAAAGAGTAACGCTCACATTTAAAAAAATAGTTCTTTGAAATGTTGGCCTTTTGTAGATAGACCTTCACTTGTCTTTTTTTTAAATATATTTTCTCAATTAAACCTCACATTTCCCAGTTGATTTACATACGCCAAGTCACGGCATATTGGGGACTTACCACGAGGATTTATCCAATAGTAACTTTGCTTATAAACTTGTATTTCAAAACAATAAAAAATGTTGGTTGCTAATTTGTAAAGACAACAAACGAGCAAGTTAATGAATCTATTTATAAAAATGCTGATATATTTAGTTATAACTTCAATTTTTAAACTATAATATTTGATTAGCTGGTTTTCGGCTGACACTTACACTTGTGTTCTTCTTTGAGCAAAGCGTTAAATACACAAGCGCATTCCAGTTTTTATTTTTTAGAAAGAAGAAAGGAAGCGAAAAATGCATTTTTGAAATACTAGGAATTATGTATATTTCAAAGAAACAATATTCCTTTTCTCGCTAACAGTTGCAAGGTCACCTTTAACGATGAACTACAGAGTTCACATCTTAGAGCATGGACGAAGAGCCGTCAGCGTCGACAGGAGCGGTAATCTCTGATGTTCTTCAATAACTATAGTAGCTATTGCTTTAAGCAAACGCCAAATGATTATGCAAAGATCTGAATTGCTTTAAATAATGAGGTAAATGTTTGTTTCCTCTCTGAAGTACATTAGGCACGCGTCCTTAAACATATCTTTTTCATGTAACCTATAATTATGCTTCTAATATATCTTCAATTCTAAATATTGAAGAGACCCGGAAACTTTTAAATAATACAACTCATCTTAACCTTTATAAACCTCCCTTTCTTTTATATAGCAACATTCTGTCGAAGAAGCAAAAGCTATGGAATATATATAGTCTCAAGTACAACATAGACACTCCATATGCAAGTGTGTCTGTTATACATAGATTAAGGATATTTTTCAACGTACATCTGTATATTATGATCATACTTCATTGTGGTTAACTTGAAATAGACTTAATGCTAATTTACTTTTATTTATTCATTTCATAAATCAATTGATCATTATTTATTTATTTTTAGGGTTTTTACTTAAATCAGATCTAAGTATAATATTGTATTTATAAACAGGTTTTATTTCTTATTTGCAGAAATATAATTTATATGTACCGAAAGCCATAGAAACAACGATATTTGACATGTTTCCAAACTTTTGGCTAATCGGTTTCGTACCTGACCCATTTTTTTTCTAAAAGTAAGCAACATTCAAATATTGTAAGAATGGGGCGGGCTTCTAGCCTCCCAAATGGCCACTGTCAAAAACAAAGCAACTCATATGACTTATTACCATTTCATATCCACACATCGTTATTTTAGTTTCTATAGTAGAAAAGTTGCATTTTTTCAAGATAAATGAAGATTATAAGAAAAATATAAGAATGAATCAAATTGCAATTACTGATGGAAAACAGAATTCCTAATGAAGAAATAATAGACATATCTTAATTTTAGAATTGTTTTAGAAAATGTGTTAACTTAAATGTATCACCTAAGACGAAAATACTATCAATGGGCCAGTTCTTACACGGAATTGAAACTAAAATAATAGAGTACTAGTATCATGCATAACAGGAAATGCAGAATATATGTGAATGAGACAGCTACCAAACGACACAAAAACTCAACAAAGGACATGCATACAAACCTGTAATGTAAATACATCCATTTAGTACTGTTGCTGTATGGCGGCATCTTGCATTGATCAAATTAGCTCTTTGACTCCAACGACTGTTTGCGGGGTCGTACCTCCATGTTTTATTTATATGTTCTCCCGTTTCCCAGTCTTTACCACCAATCACATATAAACAATCATCTAAGACAACTACTCGAAAGTTCACAAGATTTTTCAACTTTGGGAAAAGAACCGTGTTCGTTTTGGGGAAAAGTCGACATTTTCCGACAGGGTCCACCATTAAATAGTAAACTTTCGGGCTTCCTGTACTCTTGTTAAACATGAAGACAAATTCAAATGATTTCATACCGATATTGGAATCATCAATACAGTTTTGTGCTTCTGTAGAGGGCATCCTAAAATAAACAAAGTTCGGATGAATAGGCAATAGTCTAAATACAACACACAAAGGTTTATACAAAATCAAATTGTACTCCTGGGATTAAAACAATTTCAATGATTTGAGTGTCCTCTGTCACGTCAGTTAAACGCTAGTATTGTATACAAGTCATATAATTGAAATAATTTTGTATTTTATTCTTCGAACATCTTTCATTCATTGTAAGCACCAGTTCAGCAGTTCAGTTAACCCTTTAGAGGTGATTATTTCATTGTTGTATCGTTTCAGACATATGTCTTGTCTTTTCTGCATCCTATATCCAGAAGTAACGGACTCAGCAAACATGCTAAATATGTCTTAAACAGAAACTTAATACGACATTCCCGTGAAAATCGAAACGTTACGACAAACACAACGACTAACATGGTAATGCATTGCCATTTTGTTTTGTGTTATTTCTTTTCCGGACTTCAAATGGTGTTTATAAATGAAATAATGGTGAAAGCATGGATGTTGTAGATGCCATTGGATTATGTGCTTTATTTTACTAATTGGCAAATTTGGTCCACTTAAAGGGAAGACTGTAAATATGGTTTTATACATTTATGATATAAGATAAGAGTCTGGTGGTGTATAGGCCTCTAGATGGCCACGCAGAATATTGCTCCGTATTGTTTTGTGAGAAATTTCTAACTGTGTTTCAAGAAAACGATTTTGATTATTATACATCTAACATCGGTAAATGCTATCTTCAACTGAAGTTCTAAAAGAAACATGTGCACCATTTAGTGTAAAGGAATATCTTTAGAAGAATAATGTCGTTCCCCTCTATTTATTGTACAGGCGATACTTTTTTGAAAGTTATTACATATATAAGATGATGATGTTATCTTTTTTTTGGATCGAGTATAGTTCAAGACGGATTACTGTTACCTTTTTTCATGTGTATGATAGAAATGATAAGTCGATTATTATAATATATATAGTATACGTTTAAACATTGATATACCGTTGAAACAATGGGATTAAGATTATCTATATGTACATTCGGTTACATGTGTGATCAACTTAACTGTTAATTTAGATCATATAAAAAATAAGGAAATATGGTATGATTACCAATGAGACAACTCTCCACCAAAGATCAAATGACGTAGAAGTAAGCAACTATAGTTCACCGTACGGCCTTCAACAATGATCAAAACCCATACCGCTCAGCAAACTGTAAAAGTTTCCAGAATGACAAGAGTAAAACAATTCAAACGAGAAAACGAACGACCTGATTTATGTACAAAACAATATATGGTATACAGCAATGAATTACAGACTCCTGACTTGGATAAACATAATGCATGTCGATTTGGTTCTCCTTTGATACTAAAAAAGGGTAATTCTTACAGGAAATATATTTCAAATGTTTGTATTGATCTTGAACATGTCATATATTTTTCTTCATTTTAACATATTAGTCGCTCACTAAAAGGCAAGTTTGAAATTTCAACCATCATTACCGTAATGATAAAACTAGGCAAAAATAAATTTTACTGGGCTGTTTTATGGCTGTGTGCTTTTAGAATATAAGTATTGCATTGTAATTGGGAAATCTCCGTAAATGCTTTGTGGGGATTTCCGACAAACAATTCATATAGTGTCTTTGCCTTACATAGAGAGCGTGCTTCACCGGAAACATTCGCCACATTATAGGTTCACTCTGAACTGTAAAAAAACCCAAAGATAAAGACTCATATTCTGATTCAACAAACTGTTCAAACAAATTATAAAAGAACAACGTGGAAAAAACTTCGAAAGGTCAATCTGTTTCTTACCTTATTTTTTGTTTTTGAAAAATAGGTAATAATCACAATTCAAACCATGTTTCATTAATGTATACCTATCAACAAGCTTAGTTCACATGTATTTAATTCTAATGATTTAATCATTATCCGTATTAAAAGCTAGAGAATGTATTCTATGTGTGTATGTTTTCGTATAACGACTCTTAGACAAAATATTTAATCTACCATCAGAATTTGTCACACCTTCATTGAAAATCTGAATACATAGTGAACAAATTTGTATATGGAATTTTAAAATATGCAAACCGATTTAATATGACAAATTGGATCTATTTTGAGACAACGAGAGACTATTTTAATGAAATCTTGCAATTGCAATTATCCGTAACTTACTAATGATATACAATCACAAACGCGTCGAACATTTAGCTTATGACACGCCGTCAGCAGGGGATAATAATAATAATAATAATAATAAATTCTTTATTTAAAGAGGGTAAACTCAGTTAGTTACAATAAACTAATCTTCCCTGAGGCCCTCACATACAAATTACAATACAATCAAAAAACAGATATTTACACATAGTTGAATTGACACCACCGTTATATCTTTTTACTTCAACTTTAGTTGTCAGCTCCAAAGAATGAAAACAAAAATGAATTGTAAATTCATATGTTTTAAACGAATGATGTGGCATGGTTGACGCTTATTTCCGAATGATTCCTTGGATTTTTTAGTCTCGTCTCTCATACACTAGTCTCATTCCATTCATTTCTTTTGATTTAACCATGATTGGCTGACACATTGTAAGTTGGAGTAAAGTTTACTATTCAAATTCAAAATATCCAGACAGACATACCTAAATTCGGTCTCTTCAATGGATAAAATAACAATTATTTTGAAATAACCGCTGAGGGTTAAGATCTGAAAACTACTTTAACCCCGCCACAGTTTCGTGTGAACGTCCCAAGTCAAGAACATAATCAAGGGCGTCCTTAATGATTTCCGTTATTTGAAAAATGGGTGTTTGTGACAGATATTTGATTATTTCAGTTCCCATGACGACACCTTATAATAAATAGATGTTGCGTTGAGAAAGATCAGTAAAGTCCTGTAAGGTTTAGCAGCTCATCACAATAGTATAAACAGTCGCCATTCAATAAATTAAGCATGACCAACCAAATTAACAATACGGGTTCTAGCCACTAGCAGGAATAATATTTATTTCTGCTACTTACTTTTTTATTATTTTTCTCTATTGTTCTGTAGTTTGAAATAGTCCACAAATCAAGAATAAGAAAAGTGCTATGGTTTGTGCGTTCTTTATTGAACATATATAGCTGTACTTTTTTAACGAAAATTCGTCTCACTTACCCGCGGCAGCTTTTACTGGGAATACTTTTTGGGAGTAAGTACTAAATTTTTGACAGAATTAATAAAAAATGCTGTGTTTTATATATGATAGAAATGTTAAGCAAATGAATTATTTACAAATCCCACACACCCCTCACCCCCCTCCCCAAAGAAATAACCACATCAAATATGTATACCCAATTGAATAAAAAATCAATTTTATTAATAATAAAAATGGTAAAAATATCAATCCTTCTCTATATATATTAAAGTGTTCACTGTTCAGATCCTGAATCGTTCATTTTTCTGTGTTGTGTTTGTATGGCTTCGTCGAGATTTACGTGTAACATAACTCATTGCTTGTCTTTCAGCAAGTTTTCTCAATTCTTCTTGGTTCAGTCTGTAAGCAGTAACTTCCATTTTATGAACTTCATCTAGTAATTTTACTATAACTTTTTCTCCGCAGATTTCAAGTCCATTTTGAAGAAAACTCTTTGTTTCTTCAGCAGATCCAAATTCAACAACCCATCTACTTGGAACCATTGAATTTCCTGCGCGAACATCGACTGGATCATACTGGATAGTGCGTGGTTTGAAACCAGTTTTATTCTTAATCAAGTCCATTATTTCTTGGTGTGTGTATTCCTCATTGCTCCTGAGACTGAAACACACGCTGTTGGGACTTGGAGTAGGTAGAGACTTTCTCATTTGCATAGAAGGAAACAATCTTTTGCCATATGAAACTGCTTCTTTTAATTCGTCAAGTAGAGATTTCTTTTTTTCTTTTGGAACCAGTCTGAAACAAAAGAATTCAAATTAATGGCTTAATTTTTTCAGTTTATGTATAGTAAATTAGGTTGAGAGGTAAATTCAGATTTTTTTTAAACATAGCTTTATTAATGCAAGAATCTTCAGCTACATGATTCGACGATTTACGGACATATGGTCCAGATTGACAAAAGTGGAGTGTTTGTTCGCGTAAATCTGGTTAAACCCCACTACATTGTGTGTCTGTACCAAGTCAGGCTATCTTGACCATGTGCTAGTTCGTTGCTGTTGCTGTTGCTGTTGGTGCTTGTGTTTTTTAGGGGTTTTGTTTTTGGTGGTTTGTTGTGCTGTGCGGAATATTTTTGGTGATTCCTGTTATATTTTTGATGTATGAATTGATTTTGAATGACATTGAAAAGTATTTTACTGTAAGCATACCTGTCATTTACTGCAGCGGTAGCACACATATCACCGACGTTGTCTCGACTGATTTTTCCTATTGGTATCGGGCGTGGCTTCTGGCCAGGAGGTGATGGCATAAACTTGGCATCTTTTGGAAGTACAGTTGAGGAGCATGATATTATATCCCTTGAACTCTGTCCTGACACAATTCCTGTTGGTCTTCTCTTTCTGACACCAAGATTTTCCAACTGTGCTCGTCGTTTTTCTGAAGCTAATAAAGTACAGTATTTGATACAGAAATATTAAAAAACAGAAAGACGAGTTTACCAACATCATATGAGTACAAATCATTTGAACTGCTATATATAATTGTTTTCATAAACTGTATATGTAGGCAAGTCTATATGCGATCCTTGAGAAAAGCGATACATCATACGTGAATATTGCGTTTGGACCTTCTTAAATCTGTTTCCTTTTTACAAATGATTCTATACGGAAATCTGTTTAAAAGAAGAATTTTTATTTTTAAAATAAAAATTCAAACTTCATTGAAAAGGAATAATTAGCATTAAAGCTTTTAAAATTGGCCATATATTTGGCAAACATACATCCTTGGAAATTTAAGAAAAAGGAAAAGGAGTCATGTAAAACTTTCAAAATTGACGTTGCTGTTCACCTTGATTCTCTAAAGTATTGTTGCTTCTAGAAGTAGTCCATTGATCAGTGTGGTCAATATAGCAAGGTGGTGCTGCTTTGTCGGTACCAGTTATATTCTGGGTATTAGGAACCAGTGGAACATTGCGATAAGCCTGTTGTGAAGCAACCAACCAACGAAGAGCTTGTGTTGTTGCATCGTATGATATGGTTCCACGATAACCTTTTACGTTGACTAGATTCTGAAAACCTGATCCTTTTGCAGTGTTTTTCAATCCTGGTAGTTTGCTCTGTTAAAAAAATAAAGTTTTATATTGTGTGTACCAATTTACTTTTTAATTCCAAGTTAGCTGCTATTGTATCTAATTTCATCATTATAATATCTAGAATTATCTCTTATCTTCGTTATTGAAATCAAACGATTTTCTTGGCTTCATTTTGTAAGAGCATGAAAGTGATACATTGATATAGTACATCCGTGGTAAAATGCAATTGTGACCTTAAAGTCTTTTACCTGGTCTTCAGTTTCATCGGATACAAAATTAACTATATTTTCGAAGCTCTTAGAGTGAAATCCGATGAAAATGAAAATCCCATGAAGTGGTTCGTTATATTATATATATTTTTTATAAAAATGGGATATCAATAAAGATGAGTGCAAGTAAGATGTTTGTTGTAATCGCCTAAAAATATCTGAAAATCATTGGTTATTTCGTAATTTACTGTATTCTTCAAAATTGCTAAGAGTATGTATGGTACGATGAGTTATATCTAAATTTTAATTATAATAAACACTGTAAATACTTTAACGTTGTATACTGTTTAGACAGCATATTTTGAGTCATATATATTTATGGACCTTTTGAGTCTGGAATAAAGATTATCTTATCTTCTACTGTATAGTTTTTCTTACCTTGCTAGAACTATCGGAATTTCCAATATTTATCAAAGGATAATTAGGGGCAGTTGCTGGATAGTGTCTCCTTGGCACCCTAGGATCCTCCCCTTCATCTGTGATAACTATCAAGGCTTGACTAGATGTCGGCATGTTCTTTGTCTACTGAGAATATTGAAAGCGTGGATGTTTGCAGAGCGTAGTCATACAGCGCTGTGCATATGTCAGATCGTCACGTGATTAAATTTCTAAGCGCAACGTTAGTGGCGTCATTGGACATTGTGACGTTAGGAATAGGAGGCGTTACTGTACAAGTCGGTTCCATGCAATCTTGTTACAAATTGTCCCAGCCGTATGATAATCATTGCAGGCTGTATACACTGCGGTATTAAAAAAATACAAATAATATAGCATCAACGTCAAGCTAAATATATTGAATGATTTACAACCCTCATTTCCAAATATTTTAAGGATTAACAACCATAATCGGATTGCAAAACCCTCAACTTTGCAAATTTCATGATACTTATAAGACTCTTTCTTACAGAATAGAATATCGTGGTCTCTGTGGAACACACAAAAACAATATTCTTTGTTTGTATATGGATTTTCCCTCAATGAACAGAAAAATAACGGGTTTTTTTTTGTGAAATGATTTAGGTCAAATCTTACTTTTGATTATTGTATAAATTTAAGAAGATTTGTTATGACTATCAATAAGACGGCTGTCGACCAAAAACCAAAAAGGACAAAACCATATTGCTTGATGCAGCGATTCGGGTTTAGTATCTAATCATCGTTAGTTCAAAGTTAAGACTTTAAAACTGTAAAGTTGCTGTCTCGTATTTAAGACTAAATGTGCTCGAAATCCGAATAATGTGTCTTGATCTTTTTGTGGGCCTTTCATGCATGCAGGATCATGTAGCAGGTTCAAAATTCGAGCCGGGGTGTAAATACAGTACAAAGCGGTTTTCACATGCACGAAAGAAGGTGCGGGGTTTACGCCAATAATACAACAACTAAAAACACAGAAAACCCAGAAGACATCTCAAGGTCAAATACTAAAGTATCTATATACAATATGTCAAGCTCTAAATTTTAACGAATTCGGACCAGTTACGAACAAATTAAACGGAAACAAGTTTTTAAAGGACATAGAAAGTAGACGAAAACTAGATATAGATAAAAACACCCATTTACGGAGGTTACTGACTAGAGTCAGGCACATTAATATGTTGTTGGTTTCAGAAATTTCTCATCACTTTATCCTAGTTCTGAAAGTGGCGTTAAACAACTAATAATCAATCAATCATTATCCTGCTACTTTTTTTTTTTAAATGATCAGTGAAAAAGAAAATTATGTAGTACATAAAATAACGTATAAAAGCAGTTCTGAAAAATTTCACTGCTAAAAGTCGTTGTAACAGACGACCCCGTCTCACCATAGAAAACATAGGTGCCATTAAAACAATTCTGAATAATATTGAACCAGAGAATTCTCACTCTTTCTTACGCTAAGGTTAAAGTTCTTCTGTATGAAATGAAAAGTGGGTTATATGTCAATGAGACATCAACCCAACATCAATATAAACACTGCTGTTCAACAAAAGTTCTTAGACAAGTGTCAATTCAAAACTGGTAGCCCTCCCCCGAAAGTTTAGAAAAGTTTTAAGAAGAGAGGAAAGGCCAATTTACAGTGAATGTATTGCAAACAACGCCATTTTCTCAAAGCCTTTAATATTTATCATAAAATTGACATTACCACAACTTCGGATGTGTTTTTTGAAGGCTTTTGATGCTGTAGGGCGAAAAGTGCTGCTAAATGAAAAGGACAATGATCTAGATGTTGGTTAAATAGGTATAACTTATACCAAAACAACACTATATCAAAGCTCAAACCAGCCAACAAACTGCAAAATCAGCACTAAGAACTTTTTGAAATATCAAGAGGGGTTAAATTAGGAGATTCTTTATCTCTTTATAAAAAAAATTGATACTGAATTCTCAAAAAACGAAATTTAACCTTGAAAATTAGTTTCTTCTGATGTAAGTTGTCTTTTGGTTACAGAGACGATTAACTAATTATAATAAGAAAATAAACAAGATTTGAAAAATAGCTTTAATAATTTTGAGGACTATAGTGATCAAAGGTAACTTACATTTAATGCAGCTGTAACAAAACTCATGACAAATCATAGACATAACACGATAACAATTTCTGGTTAAGTATGAAAATTTAGATCTGCTAAAGTTTCAGGTTATAATTTTCTAATTTTCTTATTAAACATAATGCTAATTTTATTCATAGTTCGAACGAACTGGTTAAAAAGAACAAAAAATAGTAATTTTACTACAATAAATTCCTGTACTGGTCTCTTACACTATTTATCTATTTACAGGTATATAACTATTATGGATACATGTTTATCTCTATATGTGGGGCCACACAAAGAGCAAGTGTATCCCTTAATGACATTTATTATCTTGATCTTACAGTTGAATCTTGTTTTCAAAAACTTCACTTTAATATCTTTTTGTCAATATATTCTAGGAACTATAATTAGAAAAAAAATGCCTTGAATTTAGCAGCGAGACCAGAACTGTATCGTTATCCTTTAGAAATGAAAATAAAGGTCAAAAGTGTAGTACAAATATTTTGACGAGACTAACTATGTGAATCCTTTTTTTTATGTAGAATCTTGACTTATCAGGATGTTATACATGGTTTACATATGTTTAAAAAGCCATCGTAACGGAGGCTCATGTTAACTGAAAGAAATTAGAGGGTTGTGAAGATACAAACCAAATAAAAGAGAGGCGAAGGATACCAAAGGGACATTCAAACTCATAAGTCGAAAATAGACTGGCAACGCCATGGCTAACAAAAAAGACAAAAAAGAAGACAAACAGACAAACAAAAGTACACAAAACAACATAGAACACCAAAGACTGAGCAACACGAACCCCACCAAAAACTGGGGGTGATCTCAGGTGCTCCGGAAGGGTTAGCAGACGCTGTTCCAAATAAACTGCTCGGTTTTTAATATCGGTTTTAACGCGCATTTTTTTGTGGGCCTATACATCATTTCTTTGTATATTTTTGATGAGTGCCTATGTAGTAAATATATTTTCTTTGTCTTTTTAGACTACAGTAGTTGTCACTCAGTATTGGTATCACATGTCAACTTAAACCATATTTTTGTCTTAAAATAATCTAAAGAAAGAGAAATTATTTGTGTGTGGCATCACGAAAAAAGAATTGATATCATGTAGTTAATCGCCAGTCAAAATCAAAGGAAGCAACCACATACCAAGAAATTAGTACATTTTTGTGTTCTTATTCCTCGAAGGTGGCGGAAGACTTTTAACGTTGTGCACATGTCTTACATGCAGCAAGATTCAGTTTGTTCCGATTGTTTTCATTGATGTTAATATGTTATACTTGTTGTGACATACAGTCCATATTTATTTGTCAATCAGACAGAAGAGAAACAACACAAACTAAAAACAATAGAAGAAACAAAATGGACATTGTCAATTTGACCAATCACATTAGTCATTATGACTATAACATATACTATATAAGTCATCCTGATTTCCTAACATAGTTCTTATTACTATCCTACTTGGTCAAATGTGACTAATCATAGAGAGACTGTGTATGACTATTAACATAGTCAAATTGATTACAGTCATTGTGAACTAGCGGACAGTTAAAATTACAAATTAAATTAATCAAATTGACCAATTTCGGCTTTCAGTTATATATCGAAAAGTTAAATGACTTGAAGGATAATGAAATAATAAAATATATTCTCTGCTTACCAACACAAAGACTGGTTGAAACCATAGGGTCTTATAAAAATCAGTCGTTTGTACGCGATTCGTAATTGAAATATAAACTTTTATCATAAGTTTGTTTAAATTCATACATGCTTTCTTTTTGTCATTTATATGTGTTTGTCAAACTATGTTTTGTTTGTTTTGTCAAAAAATCATATAGATTAAGTTAAGTGAAATGACAATAAAGTTGAGAAATAAAACTAATTTAAATTTCGATTTTTTGACGACTTGATTTCAAAAGAATATTTTACAATTGTCATTAAAGATAGAGAAAAAAAAAAACCAACTGCATAATATCCATAACGTATAATGACATATCAAACTAAAACATGATCACTCGACCAGCGAAAACAACGTTTTTAAAAGTTCACAATGACAATGTTCCTTTCTATTGTGTTTAAGAGAGAGGCAAAATATACCAAAGGGACATTCAAACTCATAAGTCGAAAATAAACTGACAACACAATGGCTAAAAAAGAAAAAGACAAACAGACAAACAATAGTACACAAAACACAACACAGAAAACTAAAGACTGAGCAACACGAACCCCACCAAAAACTGGGGGTGATTTCAGGTGCTCCGGAAGGGTAAGCAGATCCTGCTCCAAATGTGGCACCCGTCGTGTTGCTCATGTTAGTACAAAATATGTTTAGTTATGACCTTTCGGGATTCTCTGATTTTGTCGTAATTATAAACCTCGTAAGCGAAGTGTGGACACAGGAACAGTAGTTTAATCAGATTGTCTAACTGAAAGGTCTACTATATCAGGTGCGGATCCAGGATTTTGAAAACAATGAAGGGGGGCTGACAAGCCAACGTTTGGAGTGATACTTGTAAAAAGTCTATGCATTTATCATAGTATTGGCTTTAGATCATAGTGTTTTGCCGTTGATCTCCAACAGATTGAGTTCGAATCTCGCTGATGAAACAATGTATATTTGCAAATGAAAAACTGCAATTCCAACTAAGTTTTGCGAATTTAAGAACAAGAACATATATTATTACCAATTAAGGGACCACAAGAGGCATATTGAGCATACACGTATAAGGAAAAAAGAACATTGATCAGCATAGATACATAGAATTTAAATACACAATCACAAAACAATTAGACTAATAAAGCCCTTGATTTATAGTATATAATAGTTTAAGATGTAAAAACAAATATATATAAATATATATATACACAACAATGTTAAATCTGCAAATTTGCGGAAGCAAATTTTTGTTCTTCCCTCGCCGGGATTCGAACTCATGCTATTGGGATATCGTGACAATACTGCCTGCACTGTGTCCAGCGCTCTAGACC